CGAACAACACTACTATTTTTTTGCAATATCTGTATACGAAAAAGGCTCATCAGGTCCTAGGGCATTAATAGCTGCAAGCGCAGCCTCAATATTAGCCATGGTGGTGGGGATACGACGCGTTGAGGTTGAGGTGGTTGTAAGGCGCGCGCGCACTTTGTGGTCGCGCGCACTTTGTGGTGGGGCTAGTTACTTTGTGCATCAGTCAGCAAAGGATTTTCTTCTTAACAATGCAGCCCAAGAGATTTTCTCAGCCGGACGCGAGGTTGTCCACCACACCATCTTTGCTAGATCACTTCAAATCATGTCCTCTACTTTAAAGCGGGATATTTATGGCCTAAAGGCTCTAGGCACCTCCATCAAAGACGTTACGACGCCAACACCAGACCCGTTAGCAGCGCTGCGCTACTCGTGTGTCCACTGGATCGACCATCTGTGCGACCTGAAGCCTACAACTTCCGGGACCTATGCAGAGTTTCTGCAAGATGGAGGTGTTGTTGATGATGTGTTATTGAGAAAAAAAAGTTTCTGTACTGGCTAGAGTCTGTGAGCCTTTGTGAGAGCATGTCGAAAGGCGTAGCTTCAGTAAGGAAGCTACATATTTTGGTGCAGGTATGTCCACGACAAGTGGCCTGCGAGATATCTTATAATAACCGTAACCAGACACAAGGAAACACGATTCTTCCATTTACTCAGCTTGTGTACGATGCATATCGGTTCAGCATGCACAACAGACAAGTAATCGAGAATAACCCTCGTCAGACGTATGCATCTGCGCTGTTGTTCAGCCCAAACCAAAGTTTAGTGAAGAAGCTGTTTCGGCACGAAGAGCCAAAAGGGATTACCATAAAGCCTGAAATGATGGATGAATGGAGCGCGTGCCTGCAGACGTTAGAGGGCCATATGGATTATGTCATATCAATGGCCTTCTCGCACGACTCGACACGGGTGACATCAGTATCTACAGACGGCATTGTCAAGATATGGGATACTAGCGGAGCGTGCCTACATACCTTCAAAAACGACGGCTATTACATCGGATCCGCAGCCTTCTCGCACGACTTAACGTGGTTAGCGTTAGCTTATGAAGATACTACTGTTAAGTTATAGGATATGAACAGCCGCATGTGTCTGTAGATATTCCAGGGCCACACTAGTACTATTAGATCAGTTATCTTCTCAAATGACTCAACACAGGTGGCATTAGTATCTGAAGACGGCATTGTTAAGGTATGGGATATAGGCAGCGGTGCATGCCTACAAACGTTCGAGAGATATTACTATGAGCTAGTAGCCCTCTTACTTGACTTGGCGCAGGTGGCATTAGTATCTTGTAACACTATTGAAATTTGGGATGCGAGTGGCGGTCGTGAGCGTCTACAGAGACTTGAGGGTCATGCCAGTAGCATTATCTTAATAGCTTTCTCGCATGACTTAAAGCAGCTAGTGTCTGGATCTGCAGATGGAATCATCTAGATTTGGGATACAAGTAGGAGCGGTGAGTATGTACAGACGCTCGTGGACAATCGCTTCGGGGTCTGTATAGTAGCATTCTCACACGACTCAACACGACTAGCGTCAGCACATTACGAAGGCAAGATCAAAATCTGGGATACGAGCAGCGGTGTATGCCTACAGACGTTTCTAAGTTATGACGGTCATGAGGCCTCTCACATTGCTTTCTCACACGACTCAACACGACTAGCGTCAGCGCATCGCCACGGCACGATCACAATATCGGATACAAGCAGCAGAGTATGCCTGCAGGCATTTCAACCGCGTAAAGTTACTCTCATCTGGAACATCGCCCTCTCACGCAACTTAAATCAACTGGCGGTAGCGTATAATAATTGCATCATTGATATCTGGAACATAACCAACACCATCCACCTGCGAACGATTGATGGTGGTAATGATTTGGATGCCTCCTTGATAGCCTTTTCGCACAACTCAAAACGGCTAACGGCAGGTTCTTACGAGTGTACCGTTAAGATATGGGATTTGAGCAGCGGTGTGTGCCTGAGGAGAATTGACATTGACAAACCCATTCGCAGCTTGTCATTCGATGCTACTGGCTCATTTCCATCACTGACATTGGTTCTCTCAATCTAACTTCATTCATGCATTTCGATATACAGTATCCCGCGGTACTTCAACGTCCCCGGTACCCAAGTTCGCAGATAAGGCAAGATGAGAGATGGATCACTTGTTACGGCAAGGACATGCTCTGGATACCATTAGATTATCTCGACCATCTTTACGGGATATGCCATGATGTATGTGGGAATATGATTGGCATAGGTACTAAAGAAGGCAGAGTATGGATTTGTCATGTTGATCCTGAAACGGTATCGGAGCTTTACCTGTGAATAAGTATGGGTGGCTCATTGGTTTTTGAGTTGTACCCCTTTCTTTTCTTTGTACTGTTGTTCAATTCAGGGGCACGAGCATGCTCAAGTATGTATATCTAGGCCACTTCGAAATTCCAACAAACTTGAACAAAATCTCACAGCCGCCGTTGCAGTCACATAAAACCAAACAAGCGTCACATATTGACGCTGACAAAGTCCAGATTACAGTGGTATATTGTAAAATCATCATATGCTGAGATAGGTGACGTGAGAGCTGCATATTAGCAGCGTGTGTATCTAATAAAGACTCTTTTGTATGCCTTTTTTTTATGTATTCGCCCTTCCTAAGAAAAAAAGGATATCAAACAATTAAAACGCAAAACACTAAAACTGCACCTGAAATCGCTTATTCGTCCTAATCCGCTCACCATAGATTCGAAACAAGATGGGAACGGGGATGAAGGCCATGCTAACGAAGGCAAGGAGTGAATTACCCCAGCCCAGTCCTAGCGCATTGTACATGCTCAAACCACAGAGGGGCAGGAAGGCGCCAAACATGGATCGGAGAATGGTATTTGCAGCAATGACCGAGGCAGAATAGATGGTAAAGGAATCAACAAGGTATGTCTGGATCGTCATCATGGCACTGACATTGCCGGCGCCGACCAACGACATGAAGATGATGGGTACAATCCAGTGCACCTTGTACTTTGTAGTCCAACCGTAGACGATGACGCCAATAGGCAGGCCAATCGCGCCAGGGAGTGCAAGTACGAGCGAAAGTCTATGCTCGGGCTTTGTCCTGCCGTTTTTCTGGTGCTTTAAGATGATCTTGTCGGAGAAGAAGCCCACGAGGATCATGGCGGTTATCATGCCTATGCCGAGCCCAATGTACGCCAGGCCGATAGCTCCAGAGGAAAATCCGTACTGGTCTTTAAAGACAAAGGTGATTGTTGTAAAGAAGAGGTAGAGAATGCCGTAGTTGATTCCAACGTACAAGCTCATGAGGCCGATAATGGGAGACAGGAGGAGCATCTTCATGGGGCGCACAATGGCACGGATGAAAATTTCCTTTGCGGGCAGGTCTTGGGCGAGTTTGGAACGCAGGGCAGGGTTTCCGGTGGACTTCCTTAGGGCCGCTGCTTTGCGTGCCAGCAGCACAGGCTGGTAGGTTTCGCGGCCGACGGCGAAGAGATGAAGGCCAGCGGCGCCACCGGTGATTGCCAGGATCCAAAAGACCCAGCGCCAGGAGAGGTTCTCGACGAGAAATCCGCCGCAAATTGGGCCGACGACGGGGCCCAGCAGTGGACCCATGGACCAGATTGCCATTGCGCCCGCGCGTTGGTCCTGGGGAAACATGTCTGCGATTGAACCGCCACCGAGGGTCACAGGCGTAGCGCCTGCGCATCCACCGAGAAAACGAAAGGCGATGAGCATGCCTATGGATGTGGACTTGGCACATGCAATGCTGAAGACGACGAATAGGACGTTTGAGATGTTGTATATGGGCATGCGGCCGTACAGCTCAGACAGGGGTGCAATGACCACGGGGCCGATGGCGAACCCGAGAATGTAGACTGACACGACGAATGTGGCGATGACACTTGATCTCTCCTTGAACTCGCGTAGTACTAGGGGTACACCCGGAGCAAAGAAGGACGAGGCCAGTGGTGTAATCAAGGTGATGAGACCGAGGGGGAGGACGATTCCCCATTTCTTCTTCGCAGTCCAGTTCTGAGGGTTATCTGGGTCATCAGGTCCGTCCCAGTCTACAATGTTGGGGTCTTGGTCAGCTTGTTCTTGGTGTTGGCCTTGTTCGACGGGGATGGGACCGGTGATCATCTCTTCGTTCGAATGCGTCGACTGCGGTAGACTCTCTGTCGCTTTTTCTGGGTCTTGGAAGTATGGGTCGTCTACCTCTTTTTCGTTTGCCTCGTCAGAATGTTCAACTACTTCTTTGCCTTGTTCAATTTGGGGGTTTTGCGCATCCCGCACGGCATCTGGCGACGAAGGTGTCGCCATTGTAGAGATGGGATGTGAGATAGCCTGCAACAAACTTGTTAGCATCTATGTATCCCATAGAAAAGAGCAGGGGACTGTCACATGCTACGCATCAGTGTAGCAAGCTCTCAATCACCACAAGCTTGAAGTAAAATGGATGATTACCAAGAAGTGTATGGGACTCAGGCCGTTGAACTGAACAGGTAGTTAACTGCCAAGTCGATCATACGATTGCAGATTACTTTGAACACTGTGTTGATCGAATTACCGTCTCTGGCTGATACCGGCAGGTTGGTATTTTGAAGAAAAGGTAGGGAGAGAGACGGAAATTGGACATGAGTAGATGCAGAGACCGAAGTAAACGCCCTTTTGCCTGCAAAAGGGCCGCTAAACTTAGAACGGTGAAAGTGGAGAGTCTCCCGGCCGTATAGAGCGTATTCATGCGGTATTAGCCCTTCTCCACACCGGCTGAAAGTAAGCGTTAGTTCCGCTGTGACCACGCCCCTCGAAGGAATAGCAGAACGAAACTAGGGCACCGCAAGACATTACAACAATAATATGATCGCATCAACACAGGACAAGTTAACTTTGACAATGCTTACTAGTTATCACTGCGAGCGTAGGATTATCACACCTGGATTAGGACACATTTTGTGAGTCGTGGTTCAATACATGTAGGCTGGCTACGGAGGATCGGAGGGTCGCTTCAGTCCCTCGTCTGGCCAGACTGCTCTGTTCTTTGCTGACAGTCACTGCCAGGAATAGCGACGGAGTCAGTCATGTTGCTACAATTTCGGTAATCAGGGTTTCACTATGGACGGAAGTACGGCATTCAGCACTCCGCCCACTGGCTTGATAGTCGGCGTTTCCCCCGTCGGGCTCGCTAGCTATAGTAAGTATGGATGCGGGGGCGGAGGCAGCGGTCAACCCGGTGAACCTCGTAGCACTTAGTAATCTATCTCATCATTGCCGACAGACCAGGACTCACCAAGACGCCTTACTGTGTACTAACCTCATGACCAACATGCGATCAGATGATAAGCTGGCAAAGTAGATGGGAACAGGGGGTTACCGAGGGTACTTGTTACCATGCACGACATTAGGTGCTTACTCCACACTGAAGTAGGCATCCCTGCCTCAGGCAACGAGATCGACGGTCCCAGCGTATTCCAGAACCTTTTTCTATTCTCTTCCACATCATACATCTTCGACATAAATGCTTATGACGAAAAATACAAGCATAATTAAAAGCTTAGCCAATACTGGGTGCTGACGTTAGGTCTTAGCCAACAGTGATGAGAATGTCAAGTAGTATGGGGAAAAAAGGGGGATGTCAATGTTCAATAAAATCCAATGACTCGAGAAATGTTTACTTGGTCTATGAGTGATTTTGACGTGCGGACGCAGTGGCTTTCACAACGCAGTAGGGTACACAATATAAAATAGCGGTGAGGTACTATACATGGTACCTGATACATAATAAGCAGGCAGTAGTATAGCATAGTCAATGTCTGCGAAGAGTGAAAGTCTTTAGCAAACACGAGACGTCGTTTATAAAATAGACTTCGATGTGCAGCTTCTTACAGTAATGTTTGATAGCAAAAGCTATTCGAACAACGCGAATTTTGACTGACGGGTTATCGAGATATGCTTACATTGGTCGCTACATCTAAGCATGCATACTGGAGCCGGCTAGTCTGTATCTGCACCGCATTCTATGCTTTTCGCCAGCCAAATTCTTCCTTCCATCCCAGCATATCTCTCATCTTCTTGTTGCACACAGGCGCCTCTCTCTCGCCCATCTTTCGGGTGATCTCTACTCCCGGACACATCTTCTTCAACCAAGTCTCGGTACTTCCCTCTGACTGTGGTACCGTAGTCTCATTGTTAACCGCATTAAAAATCTGGAAACCCAATCCATGAGTCTGCAAACCAGCATGTACCATGTTCGCCAAGTCCCTTGCGTCCGTGTAGCACCAGCCGTGTACTTTGAAATCCTGTGGCCTTGTTTGGTAGGCTTCGTACTTCTCTGCTTGCTTTTCTGGCTCGATGATATTCGAGATGCGGTAACAATAAATGTCTACCCCTGGAAAACGCCGGGCGAACGAAGCCGCAGTTTGCTCCATGCAGATCTTCGAGGTTGCGTAGACATCCATAGGCCGCGTCGGCGTGTCCTCGGTTACAGGGAAGTGAGCGTAATCGACATCACCCTCTGCATAGCTCACGCCGTAAGCTGTCAGACTTGAGGCCAGGATAATCTTTTGATGGCGTCAGTCACCTCTTTGCTTATCCCTGGAACCATTCTCATACCTTCTTGATGCCAAGCTTACAGGCTGCTTCGATAACATTGTATGAACCCATCATGTTGATACGAAACGTTTCGTTGTCCGTTCTCCTCATTGGCTGTGGTATGCCAGCAAAGTGCACAACTGCATCTGGCGTCTTGACTGGCTCCATAAAGGGCTCACTAACACGAAAATGGCAAGACAGGCTGTTGAAGGCTTGCGCGCCATCGGTCAGGTCTGCCTTGAGTGTATAGACGTCTGGATTGTCCAATGGTGCCATGTCGACATTGAGGATCTCATGGCCGTGAGAAAGAAGTCCGGCGATGACATGGCGGCCTGCTACCTAGGAAGACACTGGTTGTCAGTATATTCCATCCAGTGCTTCTAGGACAGGTCTTTGCACGCCCAGCAATGCAGAAAGGTGATGTTGGAAACCAGCTATTTGTAGAGTGTTTGCAAAAATGCAGAGCGAGGTAGAGTTTTTTAGGACCGAGTGTACATACCCCAGACCCGCCTGTGAACACGATTCTTTGTCTTGATCCGCTTGGAGGTGACATTGTTCTTGAATCAAAGATGGAATTCGTAACGTTTTCGTCGGAACTACAAAATATTCCGAGACTGTAGGAAGCCGATGATATTGGTTCGTTGCAGCTATGTTGCTCCTATCCCACCCGATTATCGTAAGCGGAGCGGAGTGCCCCGGTGATATATGGTCTTGAGTTCCCCGCTTTGGCGGAGTTCCCCACTTGTCTACGGCGGTTCTTAGATTCGGGGATCGTCATTTGGGTTTGAACTGCGCAAGTTACGCCAATTGCTGGTATGAGTGGTATCGCAAAAGATGCACGGGTCTGACTGAAAGAGACAATAAAGCGGCCGAACCGTTAGTGGTACATTCATTCATGTCTATCATCTGGCATTTAGCCACTCGTTGGCGGCGCCTTCTTCCATCATGCGGTCCTTTCCATATGACCCGTCTTACACGGTCTGCGTGCCGTATCCCCTGATTCTGTCTGCAAAGGCCCAGCTCTGGTTCTCCAGCTTCACGTTCTCGTCTAGCTCCACACCGTCCTTGGTCACGACCGCAATAGAGTACTTGTCCATACTCCTGGCGTCCCTGTAGAACAAGACCTTCATGCATTCCTTGACCTTCTCTACTGCCTGCTCCTTTGTGACGTTCTCCACGGCCGCCTCGTCTGGCAATATTGTCCTCAGAATTGGCTGAGCGAGATGTGCACCGAAGCCTGTAGCTAACGACGGAGAGGTAAAGGTGGTACCGAGAAGATCTGCGCTTGCGAGGAAGGGCTTCGACTCGCCATCCATACCAACAATGAGCAGATGGTTCCACAGCGGGTCGAACTTTGATCGGCGGTTGTACATGACTTTTGCGAGGTAGGTGTGGAGGTTCTTCGCGTTGAGTGAGTTCTCGGAAGAAGAGTAATTCTCGCGGATGTCGAGCGAGTTTAGAAGGCGGTCGATGTACTGCATGTCGGACACGTCGCCTCCGAAACCCACAACTACCTCATCGTTGAACTTTCGTAGACGCTTGACGTCTGTGAAGCGCGCGAGAGAGCCGTATGAAGCTGCATCACAGCATTAGCGAGACTCGCTTCTATAGCCTATGCTCTTATGTCATACCCAGGTTGTCTGCCGCAATGACTACGCCGTCCTTGAATTTGGCTGCAAGTACTGAGGTTCCGGTAACGATCGGGCTCTGGGTGTGCTGGTTTGGTCCATCAGATGCAAAGTGCGAGGGATCATAGGCGCCATAGACGTCGTCTCTAGGCTGTGATGCATTAGTACTATGGCTGTTGAGGGTAGACGGAAGACATACACGGCCCCATGCTTGCGGAAGGTGGTTCATCTTTGAGGCGGTTGTTGAAGCTTGGATTGAGATAGGGCAGGAAATTCGGGACCTGGAAGCGCAACCTGAAATCTCACAGTGGGCTGCGAGGTGAAGTTGTTGTCACGATGGTCGTAGGCAGTCGGTGGTTGCGCAGCTCGCCCGCCAAGAGATGGACTTGGCCCAAGCTCCGTATACTCAAGTCAGTTCGAGACAGTCGCCCACGAGCATTGCGCGATTCAAGATGCTCGGAATCGATTACCCAGATAGTGACGAGGAAGAGGTCGCGCCGGCGACAAAGACAGAGGTGAGACTCGTAAATGTACATAAAGGGCTTCGACCGCTACTAATAGAGAGTTGACCAACATTCCCGCGACAGTTGCGCCAGCTCCAGAACGTGCCACTGCGCCTCCACATCTTGAACAAGCTTCCGGTCCCCAAGGCCCAGTCAACGGTCCTTCGCAAGGGCCTACAGTATCACCGCCTCCGACAGAAGATGGACCACCAGGCGATGTTGCTCCCGGATCACCCTTCACAACGACCCGCGCGTTGATTCAGAACCTCACCCTGCCAACCGTTCCCAACTTCAACATACCACCTTCACCGCCCGGATCGCCACCTCAAACAGCGACGAAGAAGTTTGCGCAGTTTCTCGACCTCAAGAAGAAGAACCAGCATTTCAACCAGCGATTAGAGGGCTCGTCAGTGCTGCGAGATCCGGGACACTGTCAAAGGTTGTTAGATTTTGCAGGCATCAGTGAGGAGGAATCCTATGCTTCTACGCTTTCCGAGGACGTCGCAATACCAGCCGTCTTCCCGCCGTGGGCCTACGTGGAAGAGCTGAAGGCTTCGCAGAAACGCATCGCGAAAGCAAAGGAGCAGGAGAAATCAAAGACACCGAGAGAATCTGTTGACTTTGTCTCTGCGACCAAATCGGGGTCCTCGATCTCTGCCTCAGGAAAGCGCAAGGAACTGGAGCATAGGGGAAGAGAAGATTCGAGCTCGAAAAGCACGTTGAAGAGCAGATCAAGATCACCTAAGAGAAGAAGATCCAAGTCTAGGGAGACGAATAGTAACAGGGGCACTGCCTAAGCCATGTACATTAGCGATGATAGACATGAACCCTAGTTCGAAGGTGAGAACTAGCCATGTCTCTTCAGAAGCTAGCTATAATTGAATCCATATGCAAAAACAGCATAATATCTTTCGTATCGCCTGTAGACTTCACATTCAGTGAGGTAAAACTGCATCCTGCCCAAATGCAAGATGAACGTGTATGCTCTGCTCTCACTACATCAGCGCCAAGACACTAGCGCGTTGAGCTCCCAGGCATTCGAGCTCCCGCGTACTACAGCTGCATCACCGACAGACCAGAATCGGCGGCCGACCGACTCACTCCGCTTTTGCACGCTGACACGGAACTTCTTTGCAGCTCATCCCCTGATATAACACCCAAACTCTACAATGGCTGCGCTCTACACCGGTGCACCTCCGCAAGGCGGCCCAGGCTACTCGTTCAAGCAAACCCCCACAGCGGTTCCGTCAGGCGAACGGCAACATGGCTTCTACCCGTGTGTATATCCTCAGCTACACTCACGACATGCGTAACTGACAGTCCATAGCTACACCGACAACGGAGGTTCGACGCTGGGCATCTCTGGCGCCGACTTCGCCATCCTAGCGGGCGACACCCGTTCGACGTCGGGCTACAACATCAACACACGGTACGCACCGAAGCTGTTCAAGATCGGCGGCGAAGGGTCAGACAACAAGGGAGCCAGGATAGTGCTGTCGGTTGTTGGCTTCGCGGCCGACGCCCATGCGTTGAAGGAGCGTCTCGACACCATTGTCAAGATGTACAAGTACCAGCACGGCAAGCCCATGACGGTTTCGGCATGCGCACAGCGACTCAGCCACATTCTGTACAACAAGCGATTCTTCCCTTACTACGTACACGCTATCTTGGGTGGCCTGGACGAAGACGGCAAGGGTGCGCTGTACTCGTATGATCCGGTCGGCAGCTACGAGAGGGAGCAATGTAGGGCAGCTGGTGCGGCGGCATCGCTCATCATGCCCTTCCTGGACAACCAGGTCAACTTCAAGAACATGTACGAGCCAGGCAGCGGTGTAGGCCACGAGCTCCAGTCGAAACAAGCACAGCCGCTGCCGCGGGACCACGTCGAGGATCTGGTCCGGGATGCGTTTACAAGTGCGGTTGAGAGGCACATTGAGGTCGGTGACGGCCTGCAGATGATGATTATCACGAGCGAGGGCATAGCCGAGACGTACACGCCACTCAAGAGGGATTAAGCGTGTGCGGGGGCGGTGATCTGGGTGATCTGGGTGAGGAAATTCACGAACATGATGACTTGAAGAGTGCAGAGCAACATGTACGAATAGCATAACACTTGCTAGATTATGGTAAGGACCTAATCCTTCTACCAATGACAAGGCAGGTTCAAAACCATTTCACTGTGTCTTTGCCCCTTTTACAACTCTCGTGGGTTCTTTCGTTTCTCTTTCATGAATCGTGCACATGTACTCCGACTACCGCCAACTTAGCTTGTAGAAGGCTTTTAAGCGGGAACATTGATGAGAAGCAGATCCAGTTATCGATTGGTCCTTTTGGCGTAGTGCGCACAAAGGGTTGCTATATGCTAGGTTTGCAGATATGTTCAACGTTTCCTCGTCTTCAATACAGACCTTGACACCGCCGCTTGTCATATATCGCCAAACAAGACGGTAACCTAACTGTACATTCAAAGACACCAACCAGGGACAGCACTTTTATGGATGACGAGTATCACATCGGATGGTATATCTTTATATTTTGTATACATGTTTATCCTACTCCTTTCAGCTCAAATCATTCTCCATTAATCGTAGCGCTTCTTTTTTACAGCGCACGCGACCGTTTATCTTAGTCGCGCTTCCATCATGACCTGTCTACAAGTTAATGGCGGTCCTGAAGTTGTTGCCAGCGTAAATGGCGTTGTCACCGAGCTCCTCCTCGATACGGAGAATCTGGTTGAGCTTGGCGAGACGCTCAGATCGAGCTGGCGCACCAGTCTTGATCTGACCAGCTCGCAGACCGACGACAATGTCAGCAATGGTGACATCTTCAGTCTCACCAGAGCGATGGGAGACCATTACACTCCAGCCGGCACCGAAAGCGTCCTTAGCAGCTTGGATGGCTTCGGTAATGGTACCGATCTGGTTAACCTTGAGGAGGAGGGCGTTGCACGACTTGAGCTCGATGGCCTTCTTGATGAACTCGGGGTTGGTGACGGTCAAGTCGTCACCAACAATCTGGAAGTCGGAGGTCTTGAAGAAGTAGGACCAGGCCTCCCAGTCGTCCTCAGCGAAGGGGTCCTCAATGCTGACAATAGGGTACTTCTCAGCCAAGGACTTGTACAGCTCGGCGAGTTGCTCGTATGTAAGCCACTTGCTCTTGTCGCTGTCGGGGTTCTTGAAGTCAAGGTCGTACTTCTTCTCATCGGCCTTGTAGAACTCGCTGGATGCAACATCCATGGCGATCTTGATCTTGCCAGTGTAGCCAGCCTCCTCGATGGCCTTGGTGATGAGGTCGAGCGCCTCCTCGGGGGTCTGAATGTCAGGGGCAACACCACCCTCGTCACCGACGTTTCCGGCGGATTGGCCGTAGGTCTTCTTGGCGAGGGACTTGAGCTTCTGGTAAACTTCGGCACCCTGACGCATAGCCTCAGAGAATGTGGGAGCCTCACTGCGGCGGGTTAGAATCCATCAATGGACGGGGGCATTGCGGTTAGCTTACGAAGGGACGATCATGAACTCCTGGAAAGCAAGACGGCCACCGGCGTGCGAGCCACCGTTGAGGACGTTTTGGACTACAGAGTCAGCGAGGCATCTTTGCGTCGGAGTGGAAAGACGTACAGGGAACAGGCAGGACGTAGGGCTTCTTGGTGCCGGCCAAGTCGGAAATGTGAGCGTAGAGGGGAACGCCCTTCTCAGCGGCGGCGGCCTTTGCGATGGCCATGGAGACACCGAGGATGGCGTTGGCACCAAGGTTGGTCTTGTTCTTTGTGCCATCGAGCTTGTTGAGGAAAGCATCTACGGCAGACTGGTCCTTGACGTCGAGCTTCTCCTTGATGAGCGCGGGGGCAATGGTGTCGTTGACGTTGGCAACAGCCTTGGTGACACCCTTGCCACCCCACTTGGACTTGTCGCCATCACGGAGCTCACAGGCCTCGTGGGAGCCAGTCGAGGCACCAGAGGGCACAATGGCACGGTGCAGGCCAGTCTCGGTGACAATGTCAACCTCGACGGTCGGGTTGCCCTACAGCAGGTCAGCAGTGCGGCGCGGGGCGGCAGCGGTGGCGTGATCATACGCGAGAGTCGTAGACAGAGCGGGCGTGGATCTTGGTGATGGCCATGGTGACTGGAGTGCTGTTGAGAAGTCAATTGATGGGAGCAGGGCGCGGCAATGGACAGAGCAGGAGATAAAGGACAAGGGCCGGATGCGCGGGTCACAAGGCCGGCCGCGGATAGGATGCGGAGCAGAAAATTCGACGTACTAGCAGGTTGTAGAAGCGCAGGTCGGGGTCAGTGATGTTTTGTTTGGGTGGGGTGTCCAGGAGCTTATAAGGTCCCGCAAGGTTTGGAGGGGTCGTTGAGGCAGATTCAGCCCCGCTATGACGCTGCAGCCTCATTGGCAGCCACGGCCTCTCTCGTAAGAGCATGCAGCAACATTATCGCGAAAAAAGCATCGACGGGGGGATAGCCACGCACGCATCCCACAGAAGATGGGGCTGTCCGCCGTCTGAGACCCTTGAGGCTCTCTTCTGGGCTCAGTCGTCATTAAGCGCGGGAGATCGCCTGGCTAAGCTTAGCTTGTTCGGCGCAATTTGGCCCTGCCGCCAAATGCTGCAACAAGACATGAATGTCGGGTCTTGGTAGGCGTAGGTGTAGGAGAAGGTTCATGGTGCTCGAGTAGTGCAAACTATCACCCAGTTTGCGAGAGGGTCCAGTTGCTCTTGGAGTCCAGGCTAGACATACATAGTTTGCCTAAGAGAAGAGTCGTACATTAGTACCTGGGTGGATGCGCCACTTGAGGGCGTCCGGTCAATCGAATGCTGGGCAAAACGTGCATCAAGTCGGACGTGGCAATTCGCCCGTGTGTTTATCGCGGCAAGTCTCCATTCCAAGACACATGGTACATCTGGGCAAGGAGGATTGGCGGTAAGGCGGATATGTTGCCTCGTTGCCAGACCGCTTGTATGTCTCGTCCGGGGAAGAACTGGAGCCGATGCGGGATTGTTCTGGAGTCTGAAGAGTGGTAGTTGAATTGACGTTGAGTTTGAGGCGATATATCAATCAACATTTCATAGCATGTGTGCTCGTAGCCTTGCAAAGACGGGTATCCAGCCTCACTGTAGGTATAGCTTGTTGAACAGTCGGAGAAGGACGGATCGGGCGCGATACAACTGAAAAAGAGACACACAATGGGATATTCAGTCGACTCGTAATGATCTGCAGGCTCCCCAGGCGCTTCAACGAGAGCAAACATGTCTTTGCATCGATCAACATGATGATTCACAATTGCAAGCAGAGCTCGCCCTACGCCAAGGCCTTACGTGGCCCAAGCTCCCGCGGTGTAGCCTGCGCGTCGACCAGAGGTACCTATTCGCGTCAACGCCCCCTCCAGCACCCAGGCCTCTCTGAACCCCTCCAGGCGTCACCGAGACAGCATTCCCCGAACCACAATCATCAGCCTTGACAGACTGAGCAGCCAGCAACCATGGAGGTCCTTCTAGGTATCACGGGCAAGGACTTCACCCTCATCGCCGCCTCCAAAGCCGCCATGCGAGGCGCCACCATCCTCAAAGCCTCGGACGACAAGACCCGGGCACTAAACACGCACACGCTGATGGCCTTTTCAGGCGAGGCTGGCGACACTGTCCAATTCGCCGAGTTCATCCAAGCAAACGTCCAGCTATACTCGATGCGCAACAACATGGAGCTGTCGCCAGCTGCAACGGCCAACTTTGTCCGGGGAGAGCTTGCATCAGCCCTGAGGTCACGGAAACCTTACACAGTAAACCTTCTTCTCGGCGGCTACGACACGATTGCGGACAAGCCTACATTATACTGGATTGACTACCTGGCGAGTCAAGCATCGCTTCCTTATGCGGCACATGGCTATGCTCAGTATGTCGTCTTCTCGCCCACCGAAATCAATGATGCTAACACATGCATTCCAGGTACTACTGCCTCTCCCTGCTCGATAAGCACCACCACCCGGACATCGACTACGAGCAAGGCCTCAAGATCATGCGCATGTGCACCGAGGAGCTCAAGCGCCGTCTACCGATTGATTTCAAGGGTGTCATGGTCAAGGCCATAACAAAGGACGGCATCAAGGATGTAGAGTACGAGGATGATGTGAAGGTGGCAATTCCATAGAGGCTATAGGGCTTGAGGGGGTCTAGAACACTTGACGGTACAGAATCGGTAGCCGGCATGGAAAAGGCACCGGCAATGATTGCCATGTTCACGAAATCAAGGCATGACAGCTATGCCATCAATTAATGACAATGATGCATCATGATAGCCTTCGTACATGTCCTGGTCTCGATTGATGTAATCTAGCATGTCGGGCTGCGGTGCAGCAGAGTGCCAGCATGACTTGCGCAAGTCGGTCATGAAGTATTCACCCAGCACCGCGAGCAAGACACAGATACGAATGCTCGTAACCAGCAACGCGCTTCTGCGCAATGCTAGCAGACATATTTCCCAGTCACCGCCAAAGGTCCACTCAAGGAAAAGTATGTCCTCCCAATAAATCGACACCGCCATCCCATCGCCATCACCAAAGACGACCCAACGAGATGCCAGCTTCCTACAGGAGATATCGCTCTTCGACCCCACGCCACCGTAGTGGCTGGCAACTAAAAGACAAAAATGTTCTAGTAGTCGTGGCTGGGGTCGTTTGTATTTTTTTGATCGAAGAGCGAAACCCGGTGGAAGAGGGACGGCTGGGTTTTATGCCTGGTGCCAAGACCCGCGCACGTGCCACACGCTGGATGGGAGGAGATTTTTTTGGTGTGGAAACGACGCACGGGCCAGAGGGACCGAGGTCCTCATCCTTCGCTGTGTGCTCGAGCTCGAGTCTTCCTAATACACATGACAGGACGGTTGGGGGTACCATGGATTGATATTTGCCGGCCATAATGCTTTGAGGAGAGGGTTGCGAGATGCGATTGTAACTATCGGCATGCGCTACTCTCTGCGCAACGAGCATAACAGCAGCAGTCTACAGCTCACAGGTTCAAACAGCTTACAGATTGAAACAACTTACAATTTCAAGCAGCGTACAGGTTCAAACATGTTCATCACCACGCAAACAATGACCACAGTTTAACGTTTTGACGCCATCTAAACAAAGTCACCTCTCGAGGCACGCACGCCAAGCAAGATATATCACCCACGCAAATAATACCGATCATTTGATCTTTTGACGCACGCTGAAAGAATCACTACTCGAGGTCACAAGAATCAACAAACTTGGATACAGATTCCGAAAGTCAATATATTTTTTTGATATTTATGGGTGGTTCATGAGCAGGTCGCTATCCATGCAGGATACAACAGTGCTACCGCTCAGAAGAATCTATTCGTTCTTCTTCCACCATCTGACATGCGCTTGCCTAGTCGGACTTATTCGCAGCAATGTCGTCGTCTAGTTCTTGAATCCGTTCTCGTATCCATTCACCATGACCTCCTGCAGACCCTGAGGTAGCATGTTGGCATGGCCCTTGGCGGAACCGTTTACAGCACCATTGCTCATGCCGTTCATCACCTTCTTTGATTCGTGCATGGCCTCCTCAATAGGCTTGTCGTTCACCGTGTACCCAGTGTCGGACGCATCGACATAAGCGTCGAGACCAGCACCCTGGCGAGGGTACTCCTTCATCAGCTCCTTGTGTCTTCGGAGAGCCTTGTTCATCTCCTCGGCAGAGACATCATTGAGGAAGACACAGGTTCCGATAGGGTTCGGTACGGCAGCGCGAAGCAAGCCGTCACGCGTCTTCAAGATGGCCTTGGTGGCCTTGTCGAGCATCTCCTCGTCGAAGAGCTCGTGGTCCATGGACAGACCAGCCCTGGAGAACAAGTTCAAAAGCCTCTTGTGCTCCTCGTCACTAAGTAGGCCACGCTCGTTAGCCAATGTGGCAGAGTAAGCCATGTCAATGGAGATGGCATGGCCGTGACGAAGTGGGACCTTGGGTGAGAGCTTTGAGAAGGTCAGTAACGTTCAGGTTCACAATTTATAGCATTCTTACCTCGTGCAGAGGGCTCCAGGTGTGGCCGTAAGCAATGACACGGTCAAGACCGATCTCGTGAAGGTTGGGTGTCTCTAGCTTCAACATCTCATGGATACCAGCGCGGTTTATTTCATCCGCAGCCTGGAGAACCTCCTTGTCATTGCCCTCACGGCCGAAGCGGGAAGTAATCAGCTTCTCGCAGTACTTGTCCAGCAAGTCGAATGTCGGCTTGTGAGCACAGGTTGAAATCTTGATCAATTCTGCGAAACCATTCCGTACCTGACCCTCGGGTAGGGTCTTGAGGAACGAAAAGTCCAAGAAGGTGTGCATGGGAGCGTGGTAAGCTCCGAGGCGGTTCTTGTAATTGCCATAGTTGACAGCGACCTTGATGCTGACACTGGCATCAATCAGGCCGATGACGGTTGTGGGAATACGAATGAAGTTTGTATTCCTTCGGTAGGCGGCACAGGCAAATCTAGGACCACGAGTTAGCTCTGCCTTCTCAACGCAGTCAGGCCAGAGTGCCTTAAGAGCTATATTTTACCCAGCAACGTCAGTCACTAATCCACCGCCCTACAATGTGTCAGCACCAACCAAACAACAACCGACTTCACCAAACAACTTACGACTACAAGAACAGGCTCCTTGCGGATGATACCAAAGTCAGTCATCGAGTCAACGATGCTGAGAAGAGTCTCCATGGACTTGGCCTTTTCGCCAATCATGGTTTTGTGGATGGTCAAGGGCAGGTTGTGGTGGTCAAAGTACTTTTGCATCTCGTCACCATAGATGTTGAAGATGTTCAAGTCCATGACGGCCAGACACCGGCCCCAGCGCTCATAGCACTTGGCCAGATTGTTGTTGGCAGGGTTGAAGACGCCATCGAGGAAGGTGAAGTCGTATTCAATCTTCTCGTACCCCTCGACATGGAAGCCGTTTTGGGTCTCGACGACGGAAGCCTTCAGGTCTGACATGGTGAAGAGAATGGGAAGAAATGTGAATGAGAGAAGTTGAGTTCTGCAGGATCAAAGTACGGAGACATCTGCTCTATATAGGATTTCAGGGGACGTGTGTCACTTGCTAGTACTGGCATGACTTGCGGTCCACGCTCTGCTTCCATTGGCTCTTGAGCACCGAGAGCACTCTGGAGACGTCAACCATACGCACCGTTTTCGTTCATGATGCGGCCACTCGTACATCCCTTGTTGTTCAGACTTGGTACGGGCTTACTAGGAGCGAAACTAGACTCTTACTGGTCAGCAATGATGTTATGACTCTGGAGGCGAGAACTCCCGTAGCGGTAAAATCCGGCTCTGGCACATGGAAGATGCGATTTGCCCAAGCAGCATGGGCTTTTGCATGCTTTGGAAAAAGCAGAACCAGAGTAATCGCAATCGGCCTGGGGCGCAATTGGTGTAGTACAAGCTGCTAACCGATTCAGTACCAAACACGGAGTCTCATCCGTATTTGTGGAGTGAGGAATACACTACGACTGCGGGGCAGGCATGGAAAATCACATCATATCCACTATAATCTGCTGCCTGCATTGAACGGTAACTGACACCCTAGAGACATGTTGAGGGAATGACCAGCGAGTAGCAGACGGGTGCTTTGTGTAGGCAGGACATCGTAAACTCCCGGTACCACAAAATGCCACTTTCAACCTCTCCGGACTCCAGGGACGCTTCAGGCACCGAGGTAAAAAGTGGGAAGATCGTAGGGAGTTTTCGATGCTAGCTCCCGCTTCGGGTAGATAAAGTTTGGCGGATCTCCAGATCGCTGAACGATATTGCCAGGCAAGAACAGGCTTACGCTGTCATGGAAGCAATCCGCCAACCCCAACAGGCTAGGAGATACTTCCCAGCTCTAGATCGTTGACGACAGGTATATGGCCTTTAACGTCAATACCACACGGAACCAGACTTGCACCAGTGAAGCGGCCCACATACAGAGTATCCACATGGTACCCCCCATTGACCTCGCCGCAGTTAGTGCCAAGCGGCTTTGTCGATGCACAAACGGCTTGGACGCACAAAACTGGCATGATCCAACGTCTCAGCTACATTGGCATCCCACGCGCAATACGGGGGTTTGGCAGCAAAAGCAATTCTGCGGCGGCTCATTGCGGTATGCCGTTGATAATGCCCCAACATAAGCGATGGCACCCGAGCTTCTCGCCACGGAATGCGGTTTTTGTAGATTGCGTATTACTGGGAGACAAAGGCCTATCCACCGTTGTACATGTTCCTGCATGGATTTCGTCATGATTAGCAGTAGCCCCGCACCACACTAATGCTAAGGTCGACGCGTTGAGGGGCTCCAAAGAAGCCCTCGGACGCGTCGGGTTCACGGCCATTGAATACATTTTCATATCGCCATCAATTGACAATTGAGAGCAATCATGGGCAGCTTCGACCAAAGCAAAGCGTACGCAGCGCAAGAGGAAGAGGGTGCTTTCTTCGACGACGGACGAGAAATTGAACTGCTGCACTTTGTTTACTCACACCCCAATATCCAAAACATTCGAGGCTCACCGGAACATGTCCTGGCTGCCATTGACGAATACGGGCGGACAAAGAAGTATCTCATGAATGTGGGAGAGGACAAGGGCCGCATTGTCACAGACTTGATTGCGGAGGTCAAGCCGAAAACCATGGTATGCCAATCCCTAGGAATAATGACAGCCTCTGACAATGCTTTAGATAGAACTCGGTGGCTACGTTGGCTACTCGTGCATTCTTTTCGCCAACGCAGTACGCAAAGCAGGCGGCGAGCGATACTTCAGCTTCGAGCGCGACCCCGCATTCGCTGCAGTCATCATGTCTCTCGTCGACCTCGCAGGTCTTAGCGATCTGGTCAAGGTAGTCGTGGGCTCGAGTGACGAGGGAATCGCGCGTCTTGCAGCGTCTGGCCAACTGAAGCACGTTGATCTCGTGTTCCTAGACCACTACAAACCAGCCTATACGACAGATCTGAAGCTCTGCGAAGAGCTCGGTCTGGTGACAAAGGGCTCGGTCCTCGCAGCGGATAACGTCGTTAACCCTGGAAACCCGCCATACCTGAAGTATGTCAGGTCGAGTGTTGAGGAAAAGGTCAAGGACGCCGGAGAGGGCGGCCCAGTCAACCTCAATGGCATTGCTGGGACGAATGTCACCATGTACGAGAAGCGATACGGCAAGGCCAAGTTCAGCGAAAGCAAAGGCAACCCGTACTTGCAGTACGAGAGCCAATTGATCAACAGCTTTGAGCCCACGGGCGTACCAGTAGGTTTGCACGCTCAGGCACTCCGCGGACACGTACTGAGCAGCACAGGATGGCATCGAGATTACGCGATGCGTCGCGTAGGTGTAGAGGCGCCTGACGGTGCAAAAAAAAAACAAGCGCGGCGCAGTTGGAGCAGGCATTGGTTCTGGTGCTAGTGGGTCAAGGACGGCTCAGTGACGGACGTGGCATGCACATGGCAGCAGGCCTGGAGTTGGAATACGTACTTGAATGGCTACACAAGCCAACGTGACCTGGCATGCAATCCTCCATGCTGATGGGCCAGCTACGGGAGTCTTTGACAGTCTTTGCGAGCGCCACGGAATGCAATGCAGTGACTATGTATGCAGCAATATGCCGGCTGGGATTGCACAGAAGCAAACATGCAGCACCTGCAGCCGCCAAATGAAGCTGAACCCTTGGAGCCCATCCGCTGATCACGTTCCAGATCGCATTCCCACTGCCCAGATCAGGATCCACTGTGCTAAATGCCACTCGGGGCCCATTTCTTCTAGCGTGCCAGAAGTCGTACATGGGGTGAAATAACGATGACGTGCAAGACTAGCCACTGAGACTTGCCCGACAACATCCCCATATCTTTTGTTGGCTGCCCCACGCACATCGCCCCCTTCCCTCACCCATGCACGTACGGACAGCGTGATACGGAGCCGTCTGAGCCGCTAGCATTCATTACGTGCAGCTTGCAGCATCTGCGTGGATACACGCCACTGGCCGCGGCGCCTGGGATCAACGTAAGGCCGTGGTGGTGTGTCAGGACCGTCTGAACGGTGAAGCGCTGCACGAAACAAGTGCCGAGGTCACGAGCTCCTCCCACCAGCACTCGCGACGCCAGAAAACATGGTCCAAAGCAACAGAGCCGATGCAGCTGTGCCCTTTTACTACAGCCATTTGTGGAAGAATGTGCTTCTACTGGCCCTGAGCGCGGTGCTCGCGCCTGTCTCGGCTGCTCTGGTGCTGCTGGGCCTGGCCGTGACGAAGCTCCATGGCGAGCGCAATGCAACATTCACCAAAGAGGATAAGAGACATGTGGCAGCAACCAGACGACGCAAGACGGTTCTCGTTACCGGCGTGTCCATGACAAAGGGCCTGACCATTGCTCGAAATCTGGCTCAGCACACTCCGCACCGCATCATTGGTGCCGACATTTCCGCCCTATCACCAGGTCGCTTTTCCACCGCCATCTCCCGATACTACCGCCTGGAAACGCCCAATGGCGACGATGCAGATCCATACATTGACTCTATCCTCTCCGTTATTCGCCACGAAAAGGTCGATCTATGGATATCCTGCTCCAGTGTAGTCGCCGCTCTCGAGGACGGAGAGGTCGTCCGGCTGGCAGAGAAGCAGGCAAAAGAGCAGGGACGCCAGTTTGAAGCCATCCAGTTTCGCGAAGATGTTGTCGAGAAGTTTCACGAAAAGGACAAATTCATCGACTACATTGGATCGCTTGGTCTGCCGACCCCGGAATCACACCGCTGCACGAACGCCTACGAAGCGCTCGATGTGCTCATGAGAGAGCTTCATAGGACCCCGTGGGAAGACAGGAGGGGAAACGGGCGAAAGTTTATTATGAAGCCAATTGGTGTCGACGACAAGGCCAGGAACAACATGATGACTCTACTTCCTTTTGAATCACCGGATGCAACCACCGAGTACATTCGCTCGCTCAACATCCGCAGAGACAACCCGTTCCAGCTCCAGCAGTTTATCAAGGGAAAAGAGTACTGCACACATGCACTTGTCATCCGCGGAAAAGTCAAAGCCTTCACCAGCTGCCCCAGTCTCGAGCTCCTCATGCACTACGAACCGCTTCCCGCGTCCTCTCCCTTGAGCCGGAAGATGCTCGAATTCACCGAGCGCGTCTGCCAAGATGGCGGCGAGAGCTTTACCGGACATCTCAGCTTCGACTTTCTGGTTGAAGACGACGACAAGGGCAACGATGCCAAATTCTACCCCATCGAATGCAACCCGCGCGCCCACACAGCCGTTGTACTATTTGAGCAGACCCCCGAAATGGCAGATGCCTATCTCTCCGTTTTCACCAGTCCCGACCGCATACCCTCCAAGACCAAACCAGGCCCCGTCTTTCCCCGGACACCAACACCCAGCTACTACTGGATTGGCCACGATCTCGTTTCTTTCGTCATCCTGCCTTTTCTCGACTTGTTATCTGGCTCCACCTCCTCGCAACAACTCATGCACAATCTCACGACTTTTACAACACACGTCGCGTCCTGGAAAGACGGCACGTATACGTTTGAAGACCCTGTTCCCTTTTTCGTTTTGTACCATGTCTATTGGCCTGCGCAGTTTGTTCGCGCGCTGAAGAAGGGCGCGCGTTGGAGTCGGATTAATGTTAGTACTACCAAGATGTTTGAGGGGTAGAAGTGAGAATATGGTTTGGGGTGGGTGGTATGTGATGTGGGGTAATAGAATGGATGGGGGTGGCTGGGGAAGGATGCGTGTGAGGTAGACTGTTTATGATAAGCAAGAGTATAGTGGGGCGGCAGCGAGGTATACACGGTAATTGTAATGAAGGCGGCGTATTACTAGGAATGGGCATTTGAAATATATGAGGAACCTGGTTTGTAGCGTTCTGGCAGGTTAGAGTACCAGTACTTTTCATCATCGCTCCATTTCAATTACTAACTTTGAGTTTGACGCAGAACTTTCATTACCAAATGTTTGAAAAAGACGCTCAAATCATTCTGTTTTCTCTGTTTGATTACCACGTGCTCACGCTATCTCTTCCCCCACCCATCTGAACCTCGTCCATCCCATTCCAACATCCCGAAACAACAAATTCCCAAAGCCGGACTCAGAATTCCATCTAAGCTTCCATTCAGCCTGCACATGGCACAGCGTTCTAAGCAACAACAAGCGCAGCACTAAGCACTAAGCACAATCAAGAATACCATTTTGCCTTTTCGCAGCTGCAAAATATAAATACGAAGACTAGACGAAGCAAGATGGCCAAACCACACACACACATACACACACACACGTACGCTTGTACTATATTTCAAATCCACCACCTACAACACAGCGCGCCACTGCTTACCAACCGGCCTCTCAATTTCCAAATGATCACACAGCCTACCGATATAATCGACGCCCCAGAAGCCTTCGGATTCGCCTTTGGCATTGGTAGCTGTGGGGACAATGTTAGTTGGTGTATATCACTTACGTACACACACACACATATATATATATCTCTTCCCCTCCAAAGAAAAGAAAAGAACAAGCCCACGGAGAAATCTAGACAGGTAGGAGAAAGAAAGTGGGCAGAAAGACGGAGAGAGACGGAGAGACGTACCCACAAACCACGGGAGTCCAAACGCGCCCTCATCAAATGCCCTCATGGTCCGTTCCGTAAGCAACTTCTTCACCTGCTCGCTCTTGGCTCTCTCCATCACATCCTGTGCCTCCACCTCACTGCCCAGCACCGTCGTCAGCAGCGCGCGCAGGTTCTCCGGCTTCTCGGGCTCGTTGTACGTGGCCCAGAAGTTCTGCCAGATGAGGTCCATGGCGGCATCGAGTTTGTGTGGGTGCGATAGCGAGAGCGCGGTCAGCGCGCGCTGCATGGGCAGCGTGAAGATGGGGAAATTGGGGATTGGGGTCGCGGAAAAGGGGATTTGGAAGGCTGTAGTGAAGCGTTTGCGTTCGCGCTCGATCCATTTGCCTTTGTCTTTTTTTTTGGGGGGTTAGACTTGTCGTGTTGCTGTAAAGGGGGTGTGAGGGGGGGGGAAAGCTATGGAGTTTGAAATCGAGGGGGGGTGTGGATATGCATCATCATCATCATCATCTCTTTTCTCCCTCTCTTTCCATACGTAAAAAACGTATTTTACATTACCTGTATGCCATCCAGTCGAGAGAGAGGGAATGAGCCAGCTCGACAGACAGAAGGAGGGGAATGCAACGAGGGAAACTCATCATCCGCCAAGTCCAGATCAAAAACCAAAAGAAAAACAGCAGCAACATACTCTTAACATTCATCGGCGCCACATTCCCAGTCGCATGCATCAGACCGCCCAGGAAAACGGGTACATGAGTGATTTCGACTTGGTTGAAGACTGGCGACGTCTATTTTTTCAAAATTCTTCGTGTTAGTCACAATTCTCGACATACACCAACCACCGCTTTCCCCAATGCTCTTCTAGGCAACAAACATGAAAACTCGCAGGATAAACACACATGCCTCCGTATTTTCAGACTGTCTTTTTATATCGCTATTTCCTACCATTTGAAACATGCCTACTTCTCCTTCTCTTTCATCCAAACACAATTTAAACGCTGAAAAGCGACAGACAGACAGACAGACAGACGGACGGACGGATAGAAAGACAGACATACCTTGAAAATATAATACGCAATATACGCAAACGGACTCACGATATCAAAGTAAAACGTGATTTTCCTCTTTCCCTGTCGCTGCTTCCCCTCTTTCTGCTGTTGTTGTTGTTGTTGTTGCTGTTCAGCCATCTTAACCACTACAAAGCAAACACTACCTGCACTCTACTCTGATTATATCACACTAGCGAATACGAGGCGTAATCGTAGTCGTAGTCGCCGTAATCGTAGTAGGAATAGTGCGGATAATAGTAAGCAAGCGAAAAAGAAAAAAGACCGAAAACTGTCCCCTCGGTGTGGTCGAGCAGATTGTATATACTTTCGGTGCTCTATGTGTGTGTGTGTGTGTGTGTGTGGGGACCGTGCGTTTGATGATGATGATGATGATGCGGGGGGAGGGAAAAAGAGAAAGAGAGAAAAAAGCCTGGGGGTGTGTAAGAAGGGGAAGGGAAGGGGAATGGAGGGTGGTTGCTTCACGCGCGTGCGCGCGCGCCGCGGCACCATGATTAGTGAGCTTGATGGCTGAAAGCGGTAACGCGGTGGGGGAGGAGCCGAGGCACAAACAAAAAAAGGGTACAGTAAAAAGGGGACGATGATGGCTAAGGCTGAGCATTATGTCATTGGGAGAGAGAACACACATGTGCTGACTTAGTTACACATCTACATTCACACACAGACATTAACAGGGGCACGAAATATTTGATGAGAAAAACCAGCGTGTACGTAGGATTGTGGCTACAGACTTTGAGTAAAAAAAAATCTAGTGTGCTTCAAACATAAGAACAAGAAAAGAAACCACGTCACGAAAAAAAAAGGTTAAAAGGTTTGCTGACTACTGTCGGCCGACTTCACCATACGACGCCCCGCCAGTCAAACGCGCCATCGATATTCCGCCACTTGTTCTGGATAATGGCATTGTCCCAGCCCATCATGACGGCCAAGAGCTTGCAGGTCGAACTGCTCACCGTACAAATGACTGTGTCGGCCTTGCTTAACATGGCCAGGTCAAGGAGATAAGCGCGGCCGACGAGCTCACGTAGTTTCATGGCATCAGGAGAAACTTCGGCAGGATTGATCTTCTGCGTGTCTTGGGCGTTGCCCACGGGTTGGCCGAGCGAGAAGAAAATGTTGCGATAGAAGCCGCCTTCCCAGCCCGTGATCTCGTCAATCCACCGGTTCTTCTTGGGTTCTTTTTGAGCAGCTTCGAGCTGAGCCTTGGTAGCGAGCGCAATGCGGTCCTGTGCCCGCACACTGTTCGGGCCAAGCTCCGGTGAATCGTAGACGAGTGGGTCGTCCGAGGCAAGCACCATCTTTGAGCTGGTATGGCGCGCTTGGACGGGGTCTTTGGAAAAGGGGGACGAAAGTAAGTTGCGCTTCTTTGGAGACTCGCCTTCTACAATTTCAATATAGATATCGCGCGCTGTGTCAATGTATCTCGTAAGCGGGACATAGTCCTCCTGGTACTGGAATTCAAAGGGGTGCTTGTCTCCGTGCCGGACGTGCATGCCAATGCTGATCCCACCTTCAGCCTTGATAGAACCGTACATGTCCAAAGACTTTTGAAGCACGTACTTTTCGTCCTCCTCGCGCATCTTAAAGAGAGCTTCGTATCCAACGCGGGCAAGGCCGAAGATGTTAACTTGTCGCAGTACGCCCCCCTTGGTAGGATCCTCCCATTCCTCGGTAAAAGCGTGGCCGAATGTGTTCCTAATGGTTGCGGCACTGGTCATGATGTGGCGGGCTGTATGTGGACAAGGGACGATATGGGAAGTTGGCGGAGGAAGACAGTCTACAGCAGGTGGGGGTTGAAAGTAGGTCAAGTACTTGCCGTAGGGCCTGGTCACTGTCAGTTTCCAATAACCCCGGTGCTTCTGTGAGGTTAGGAACTTACCAGCGGGAGTCGTCAATGAAAAAGGCACGGTTCTCGGATTTTGCCAGACCGTACGACATCCACAATCGCATCAGCGTAGTGCCAAACCCAGGATCTTCCGTCTCCATGACGTAGGTCAAGCTCTTTTCACAGACCTTGAGCCCCTCCTTTGGCACTCCATCCTTCATCGATGCATCGTCGACAAAGTTCTTGGGCCTCTTCCCAGCCTTGGAGGGCGGCAACAGTGCCTGTTCTTCCGCCTCTTGGATGTCGATGTAATACTGGTCCTTTTGGTAGTAGCCCAACATCCTCCTGGCCAAGTTTGACGATTTCTGTGCTCCTTGTCGGATTTCCTTTGCCACCTCCATAGACTGGTGGCAAATGTCGCGGTAGTGTCTGGGTTCCAGGGGGAAGTCGTAGGTTGCTGGTATCGATATTGTCCACCTCGTCTTGCCCTTTGCATCCACGAGTGCGACAGCAGAGGGCTCATGTGGCAGTCGGCTCCCTCCGACCATTTCCCAGTCGTTTTCCATCTCGTCCTCGTATCCAGTTGTGTGGTGCGTGTTTACGTATACCTGTCTCAACACGATCCACAACACAAAAGCTATGACACAGCATCCTATGAGTATCCTCTTGACCAGCTTGGTGTGGTTTCTCCTTGGGTTCTTTCCATGCTTTGGTAGCAGACTCGGAAGACTCGGGCTTGCAGGGGGGGATCTTGCAAGCAGTCCTCGCCGTGAGGGGGCTGTGGGAGAGAGGAAAGCGCTTGAGGTGGCCGAGTGAGGTGGGGGTTCCAACTGCGAATAGTGGGCTGTCGACTGTAGAGACAGATTGGGGTTCCGTCGTGCGTGCATCTTGGTCAACTTTTTCGTGGCCTGGTTCAGCATATTGGACACTGAAATATTGCTCAGTTATGAGCTCTGCTGACAGCTGAAGGTGAAGCTGGGGACAGGTGTGTGATTCCGGCCCAACCGGGCGATCTGATGGCCGTGCGTGTGGTACGACTTGGATGATGAAGCGTTATGCAGGACACCTCTGACCCGTGCAGAGTGATCGCTGTGAACGGGGAAAAATGCAAAGGGTAGTCAAGGAGGGGATAAAGGCACTGCCTTTCAAGCAAGAAAGTGTGTACAGTAGAAGGAAAGTCGAAGTGTCAGGACACAGTCCCCGGGCCTTGAGAGTATGTAGAGAGAAGAAAAGTGAGGGAGAAGAAGAAGAAGAAGAAGAAGAAGAAGAAGAAGAAGAAGAAGAAGAAGAAGAAGAAGAAGAGAAACAAGAAGAGAGGAAGAAAGACAGGGCGCCTTCACGAATCCATACAGACAAGTTGGCAACAAGGGCGGCGATGGGACATTTGCACAGGATGCTGGTCCCTGGTGCAAGAGTGGTTTCACAACCCAAACGAAGTCGGAGGGGAATTGCGCAGACAAACGATCGTCATCCAGGAGCCAGGTACTCGAGTCCGACAATCTCGGAGGATGCGTTGCAGAAAGACCAGTAGGCGGGCCGGGTGCACGGGAGGGCCGACTCGAGAAGGGCTGCAGAGGCCGTGGTAGGATCAAAGGTAAGATTGGGGGAAGACGGGGCCTTAGTTATTGCAGCGGCGGTGGCATGAGGATGGCGGAAGGCGTCGTGCTACCACTAGTCGGAGGGGAGCTCATTTCGTTGCGTGTGCGGGGGCGAGGGGCGAGGTTGTTTCAGCGTGGCCGGTTAGTGGCGCTCGTTGATGCGCCGGCGCTGAGCGGAGGCGCGCTCCGGCGCTAGCGGCGAGCGAGGAACCACATGACAGCGTCCGCCACCGTTGCCCATGGCCGTTGGCAGCCCATGGCCATCTATTCGCTGCGCAGTGGAAATAGAAGCAGCTTTGGCCACAAATAGATGCTCTGCAACTGTGTCATGCCGAGCCCGCCATGTATGCAGTAAGACGGCCACGGCTCAGCCTCGTGGGATCGACCCGCGGCTACGATGCATCTGGCCACTAGCACCATCACCATCACTAGGATCACAACTACACCTCCACTCCACCTACGCCATCTCCGTGGTATTGCTCTCTCTAGAGCTTTGTTCTTCAGAGCCATACGTATATATATATATATATATATATATGTAAACATCATGCAACGGCGCTTCTAGCTATCCTACTGATGAAACCAGTCCATGTCATCCATCCAAGACGGACCAAGGAGCTACTGAATATGGCTACTATATGTGAATCATAAACAACAAACCATCTGCGGAGCTATGTAAGATAAAAAAGGGGTATCAGGTCGAAATTCCCTTGGCACAGGAAGATAACAAGAAGAAGAAAAAGCGCAGAAAGAGAAGAAGGAGAAGGAGAAGAAGAAGAAACAAAGTAATAGTGTACAATCCGCCCGGGGCCGCGTCGAATGGGGGGAGCAGCAGTACAACAGTAGGCCTCCCCCATTCACACATGCCCGTGCCATACCCATCTCGTGTGCGGTTCCCGGTTTCCAGCTCGGGTCCCATGCCTTTGCCACCATTATGCTCCGTGACCCAACCAACGCCAGTCGCTATGGATGCCGTCGAGTCTAAGAGAGATTGCTGAACGCGGAAAGAAAGAAGAAATAAAAAGAAACTTTTGAAGTACTTTGTCCGGCACCGCCGATGCTGGCATTTCTCATCTCCATTACGGTACTTCGCTTGTTCATGGACGAACTGATGCGGTACTGTTCGCCCTCGCACTCGCTGCGTGGCCAAGCGCCCATCAGCCTTCAGTGACTGGCATCAAACTGCTGCGCCTGGCAGTCTTCTCAACGCGACCCGTGATCATCTCGTCAAGCATGCGTGTCATCTCTTCAATGTTCTTGGTCGAGCCGTTGGTCGTCGCCCCAGGAAGGAAGTGTGATTTGACGCCGCCAACAGGCGACGTTGGGCCTTTCTGGGCAAGGCTGATCGCGCTGCCGTCGCTCGCACTGCGTTGGTAGCCCGAAGTGCGACGGCTCCCGGGGGATTCGCTTCCCAAGTCGTGTGCTGTTTCGCTCTTCTTGCGCGCTGACGTAAGGGCCGCAATCATTCGCTCCTTGTCTTCGAGTTGTGCCCGCAGATTCACAATCTCGTTGTCTCTCTCGGCAAGAGCTGCAATCATGCCGCCTTCCTCACTGCTCGTGAGTCGGTGTGTCAATGACAGAGAGATGCGAGAATGGCTTGCTCTTCGCGCGTGCAACAAGCGCTTTTCCAGCGTAGCAATGTACCGGTTCTTGTCCGAAAGGTCGGCTTGCAGTGCTTGTATCTGTATGCTCTGGCTTGCGTACCCGTCGCCGTTGTCGCCGATCGAATCGTCCTCTTCGGAACCGTCCAGGTGTAGCTGGGGCGTGCTTTTTCGATGGCTGCAAACTCCCAGCGTGGCATGACTTGCAGAAGAGCGGATTGACACGGGCCTCATATCCGCGGGCGTGTTGCTCATCACGGAGCCGCGCTGCAGGCTCAGGGATGAGAAAGAACGGCCATTGTTGACCCCAAGTGACTTTGAACTCAAAATCAAGCGATTCAAATGCTCGATTCGCTCCTTCAATGCAGTCCTGGCCAGCTGCATCTCAAGCATCTGCTCTTCGTGTCGTTGCTTGTCTTGGAGCTCGCGGGCCTTCTCTTCCTCCTTGTCTTTCCTCAAGTCGTCATCCTCTTCCTTTTGCTTGGTCTCCTTGGACTTGCCCTCTGCAAGCTGTCTCTTTAGGTCTTCAATCTCCAATCTGTAGCGGTCCAGCAGCGCCCGGCTCCCGGCATCTCCACCAGCCCCAACAGAGTCGTCGGCCTTCTTGGCGTGGCTGACAATATTATTCTTAGCTCGAGATGCAAACTTGAGAGTATTCAAGGTTTCGCCGGTATGGCTTGCCGCGGCTGCAGGACTGCCACTAGCGCCGATTTGAATCGTGCACAGAATGCTGACCAGCGAGTTACCGGAGAGCGCGGGTTGCAAAAGTCGTGTGAGTTTGCTGTCTCGGTATGGTAGATGCTTGTCGCCCTTGCCCTTGTCTTTTTCAGACTTGTCCTTGTCAGAAGCCAAGCGGCCGATGACTGTACCCAAGGTAAGTAAACTCTTGTTGATATGCGAACCTTCGGTCCGTCTCTCTTTGCTGTCAGCAGCCTTTTCCGACCCGGCTAAATCGATCAGACTCAGTGTCGAAACACGGACGCCACCCGGTACAATGGCTGACCGTTTGTCCCCGCCCGATGCTACAGGACCAGGTGCTCGCTCTCTGCTTTCGACGACAATCTGCACAACAGCGTGACTTCGCGAACTGCGGGCATTGAACTGTGTGCCTGCCACCTTTCGCGAGTTGTCTCCTCGGGCAATCACTCTCAGCAGCTGTGTCGGACTCTGCACAATTTCTTCCTTGAGCGGCGTCGCATAAACACCACGCTTGCTGTCCTCGCGCAGCTTGATTTCCTCAACAGGCCCAGTCTGACCGTTCATGCCAGCAGGGGGTCCCACCAGCAAATCGATAATCTTTTCGTTGTAAATTTCAATGTAGCTGACCCGCAGGAGGAATTCACGCTGGGGCGTCTCTCGGATGTACGAGAAGATGTCCGTGATGGCCAGTGGGATTACACCAGGGTTGGTTGCCGTGCCTTGCATGGAGAAAGTTTTACCAGTTCCAGTCATGCCATAGGCGAAAACGGTACCGTGATAGCCTTCCATGACCCGTCGAACAAGTCGCTTGGCTGCCGCATCGTAGACGCGTGCGTTGTTATCTTGGGGGTCGAATACGTTATCTAGGACACGTTGAGTCAGCTGGGCCCAGTCGTTGCAGGAGTCGGCGTGTGCAAACTGTACCATAGTAGTAGTCTCCACCCTCCTTGCCCCGGTAGGCTATCAGGGCGCGCTTGTTGTTGACCTCCCATTGCAAGTCGGGCTTGCCATCTTTTGCAGCGTCCGGGCGCACTCGTACGCTGACAATGACGTTGCCTTTTCCGTCCTTGCCTGGCTTGCCATCTTTTTGCGCGCCGTCCTCGCCATCTTCAGCGGTAGTCGCGCTTGTTGTATACGAGCCCTGGGGAGACGAGTTGCGGCTGTGCGGCGGAGAGGGGAGACTCAGATGTCCGGCCTCGATGGCGACCGAGTCTGCGCTGCCGTTGAGTAGGCTGGGAGGGGAGAGGGGCGACTTGGGCAGCAGACCCCGCGCGCCACCCATATTCGAGGTCCGAGGCATCTTGAGACTGCTGTCGCGCGAGGGTACAGATTTATTCGATCCGGATGAGATTCTGGAGCCGGGAGCGTCTGCTGCGGGCGTGGAGCTTGTCGCGAGCGGACTTCCGGGCGTGGAGCGTCCGCCATGCCTTGGGGGTTGCGGAAAGGAGCCAATGCTGACGGTCTTGCGTAGGGCTTTGCCTGATGCAGTGCCAGAGCCGCCCTCGTCCGAGGGCAAGGCCGAAGCAGTGGAAGCGAGCTTGGAACTTGACAGGGACCGGTGAGGCAGGGCAGAGGAGGACACTGTGCGGGTGTTTGTGGCGCCGGGGAGCAGTGAGGGGCGGGACGTGGGACCGGCATTGGCGCTGCGAGACTTTGCGACGGGCAGCGAAGGCAGCGGACCTGTGGGCGGCGCAATCGAGGAGCGCGCAGGGCGAGGGAGCGAGTTGCCCGACATGTTGGAGGAGCGTGGCGCGGGTGTAGGAGTGCTAATGCCGGCTGCGTGGCAGATGTTGGCGCTGGCCTGCTGGCGCGATTGCCGTTTGTTTTTTTTTATTTTGCAAGTGGTGGTCCCTCTACGCCACTGCACACATGTCCGTCGCGTACCCGGCTATGCTCAGCAGAGTCGGACAGGCGTGGCGATGCAAGGAAATAGAGGCGTGGGAAGCGGTGGGCGTGGACTCACCCGCAGCATTCACGCTGGCACGCTCGTATGTAGACCGGCAGCGGGCAGGGGACGCGGGCGGCGGGAAACAACAGGCGTGGGCGGCGGCGGCGGCTGATACAGTGGCAGTGTGGGGAGGAAGGGATTTCCTGGCGTGCACGCGCGGCGGAAGCAGTCGGGGGCGCGAGGGGGAGGGGGTGACGGCGATATGGCGACGATGAGGATGGTCGGGATGTGTCAGGACAGGCAGGAGACTCAGGGTCTTGGGGGTCGGGTGCCGGTCTCGCTCGCGGGCTGGCGCTCTCTCTGTGTCTCTCTGCGCGCAGTGGCAGCCAGCACAAGCAGGGCGTCGGGCCCGGCGTGGTGGGGAAAAAGGAGCGTTGATGAATGGCTCCGCTCGTCGCCGAAAAGCCCAAGCGTGCTCCTCCCCTGGGCGGCGGATACGTGAAGGGTGCAGGGGGCCCGAGAGAAGGAGCGACCGACAAAACCTCCGCTACAGGGCAGGGCAGGGCAGGAACGAGTGGGAGAGTTTGCTGGCTGCGACTTCCCCAGGCGCGTGCGGAGACGGCAGGCGCGATCCAGCCGGTGCAGGCGCAGGCAGCGTGGGCTAGCCGGCACCTGCCTCCTGCGTGCGGGCTTGGTGCTTGGTGCTTGATGCGTTGCTTGGTGCTGCGCTGCAAAAGGGGCTTCACCTTCACCTGCTCCTGCCCTGTCCTGCCCTGCTCCTGCCCTGTCCTGCCCGGCCCTGCCCTCCTACCCCCGCCTATACACCTCCCTCCCTCCCTCCCTCCCTCCCTCCACCCACGCACCCACCGCCACGACACCAACACCACACCACCCACGTTGCCCCGTCCACGCACACGTCCGCGTCGACCATTCTCTTTTTCTTACATACGCGGGCCACAGACTTAGCAAGCACGTTAGGGTAGGCCTTGCCGTCCAGTAGTCCAAGCGTACGTTGGCTGCTCCCCCCAAGGACCCTGGCTCTGGCCCTGGCCCTGGCCCAGCCTGGCTAGCCTGGGCCTGCACGCCCATGATTCCGGCTATATGCAAGCACCCATTCGTCGTCGTCGTCGGCACGCCTGCTGCTCACTCTCGCCCCATCACCAGCCGAGACGCCCTCGTGTCCGGTCAATCTCGACTGCGCCCTGGCTCCCATGTCTCCCACGACCGCTCGTCTCCCGCCTCACAAACTCTCGCGCTGCTGCTGACTCCCTCTTCCGCTGCACCCGTTTCCCCAGCGACGGCTTGCGTCAACGGCGTCTGCAACAACACACGCCGCCCCGGAGACGATCCCCTGCGCATCCCTCCCCGACACTGCTCTTCATGCCGCCCGCGCCTCTTTGTCACGACCTCAATGCTCCACTACGCGTCGCCGGCTGCCGGCACTCGACGCATGCTGGCAGACGTCTGCTCCCCTACACCAAAGTCATTTGCAATCTCCGCTTGCCAACGCCACGGTTGACTTAAAACGGCCTCCTTGCATTTTAGCTCGTCCAATCGCATCTGCTTACGGCAGTGCCTCGTCGACGGGATGACTGAGTTGGGTAGCGGACGGCCAGTGCGCCCCCCCATGGTCCCGCTTTGGGCCGCCGAGAGAACCCATCCTGGTGTACGCGATAGCGCTTTCTCCGGTCCGATCTCAACTCAACACATCGCATTCCGCAATCGCTACACCAGTGGGTTCGATCGCCCATACTGCATACACTTTGGTGGGGGAACTGGCTCGTCGCTAGGATCAAAAGGGGGGCCAGTCCCACGCGAATCGTGGAGAGGTCGCCGCTGTGCTCTGTTCGGTACTTTGCTGATGCCGGCACTCAAATCTAGTCACTCGTGAAACACCCAAAAGTGCCACTTGGAGGCCATTGCATCGGGTGCTGCCGACCATCTCAACACAGGGACCAGTCAGAATATTCCCATCAAACTTCAGCCGTGTCATGCAACGCCATGTCACCGGCACTGCCTCTTGACACCTCCACCCTCCAACATACAGCCAGACAGGCACACTGACAAGCTGCTTTACAGCACACCCCACCCAAACACCTTCTGTCCAAGCTGCGTAATCACAAGATACTGCCACTCCCATAGACGGAGATCAATCGTCATCTCCAACGCGCCACAGAGCGCTATCCGCGAAAGCAAACTGCCCACCCCGACCCAGCTAAAGTTATTGACAAAGTCTAGTGAACTGACGCTACGGTGCGGGCCTGCGTGCAGTCCTTGGCTGGCCAGATAGTGCGAAGCAATTGTGCGTAAAGTCACCATGCGGATGGGAAGCATGGCCAGACCAACAAGCTGAGCGCGTACCATGGCACTAATCATCTGAGCAGGCTCGCACGACAACTGAGTCACTCGATGATACGACTTCTTGTCCGCCAAGTGTGCTGCACTGGACAGATCGCCAGCTCCGTGGTCTCGAGAAGAACCAAAGGCTTCGGCAACCTCGGTATGAGTGGACAGTGTCCGAGGCGGAAGACGAACTTCCATCTCCACAATGCCTTCCCGTGACGTAATACGTATCCGTGGGTCGTTTTCGTCTTGCTCTGACTCTGCTGTTGAGGCCGGTGGCGTCGTAGAACGCATCAGCTCTTCCAATATGTCCATCTGCATGTTGATCACTCCCATATCTATTGGCTCGCTCCCGCTCTCTTCCCGTGTCTGCACGACGGGTAGATTTAGTGGTGTAGCGTTCGTGACTCGTGTGCCACCAATGTCTATCGTCCGGTCATTTCTTGAATCTAGTGTGGGGGCAAGCTCAATGGCTTGCTTCTGCACTGTGCTCGGCCATGTCACTGGCGAGGCCCAACCAAGCATTGCGAGTACCGTCTGGATGGCATTTCGGATTAGCGGAGGTGATTGCCGGCGGAGCCCCAGCACAGCCAGGGCACGGTCTTTCCCGTTGGCGTCCCGGTGAGGCGTATCAGGCTTGTCAGGGCGAATAATGGACGACTCGACAGCTTCGTACACACAGGCGTAAATCCAGCGCTCCATCGAGTGTTCCACACACAAGAGAACCACTGGCGAAGTCACAATAGCCCTGAAAAAATCCAAACCGGAACTACAGGCGTCGTAGTGCAACGAGAGTGGTAGTAGTGGCGACGAGCTTGTAAAAGGGATAAGAGTGCGCCACGATGGGAGTAGGGGGCGGGCGGGTACGAGACCCAAGCGTTGCAATGCCGCGTGATAGAAGAACGGGAAGCAAACAAGCTCCAGGCCGAAGCGAAGGCTACCCAGGGTAAGCGAATACACAAGCCGACGCATATGCAACATACCTTGATTTTAACATTCCTCTCGCCCGACGGAAGAAGCTTCGTGTCTTTGCACTCGCGCGCGTTGCATAGAGCAAACGTTCAACCGGCTGATACAAGAACGTGCTATAAACGGCAGCTTGTATGTTCATCGTAGCAAACACTCGAGGGGCAAACCCTGCATAAATCAGGGATGCCCCAGAGATGGTGCCTTCGGAAACAGCAATTTGATTAAAGGAAAGGCCATGGTGAAAGCGAAATGTCTGCCAATGTTAGCAGTGGCTGCTTCAGCATGGACCCAGTGCGCCGCACCAGCATCCTCTCTCGGAGGGTCCCAATCCACCATGTGCACATGTTTTCCACGAGCGTGGTAGCCAAGGCGATTGCATTTCCCACCGTGTCCTCGGCTTCAAGCAGTTCAAGGCGCTCTTCGCTTGAACCCGGCAGTCCCTCGGCGGGCGAGTGTCTTCGTTCCACCACGCCCACCGATGCAAGCACATCATTCTGGGCACTTCTCAGCCTTCTTCCATATTGGTGAGACCGTGGGTTGATTGGGTTGCCGCGCTCATCGTAAAGTTGGACGTAGTTATTAGCTGTGGCCTCGTGGTATCGTGATGGTATCTCGGACTGTGCTGATTCCAGCTGGACGTAGTCTCGAGACTCTGAAGCAGATTGTGTAGGCTGAAAGGCAGACCGCCCCTATTCCTGGACATTAGACATGTCTTGCGCGGGGTGCTTGGGCGGGGTCTATACAAAGGCAATCTTGTCCAGGTAGGCTTGTCGGCCCATGGCGGTAGAAATGTGGGCGAGTATTATAGGGCGTAAGTGATGGTGAATGCAATTCCCGCTTGCTCCGAGTGCAATCTTGGGGACATGCTGGGTGTTGAGAGCACTGTCGACATTGCGTTGGTGGTCGAGTGCTCGAGAGACAGGCGGCCGACGGACGCGCTTGCGCCAAACGTCAGCGCGTGGCTGCGGCTGCCGTTATCGATAAACTTTTTTCCCTTCTCAAGTTTCGCGACAGGCCTCGCCCACCACCTCGCCGGCCCCAGACACCAGCACCCTTCACACCACCATGGCCGCGCAAAGAACTGCCGTAAAGACTACATACGAGGTCGCCCGCACCTTGCAGCCTATATACTCGGGCGGGAGCCTGGCATTGAGCCAGGACGGGCGCATTCTAGCTGCGAGCTTGGGTGAAGATGTCCTCCTCACCAACCTCTCCAATGGACAAGAGCTTGGAAGAATCGAGGGCGACGGTGAACCCATCACTGCACTGACCTGTAAGGGTGACGTCTTTTCTGTAGTCACAGCCGCTAACCCGCGCCAGTAACGCCCTCGGCATCGCATCTCATAGTATGCTCGCGATCGCTATCTATGCGCCTCTTTTCCCTCAGTCCCTCAGAGAGCGAAGACGATTCTATCGAGCTAGAGCTCCTCCGTACGCTCAAGCCGCATACGTCTCCTGTAGTGACATTGGCGACAGACCGCACGGGAACACTGCTGGGAACCGGAGGCGCAGATGGTGTCGTCAAGGTTTGGGATATTCGCGGCGGCTACACTACCCATACCTTCCATGGCCACGGTGGTGTTGTTTCCGCGCTTCACTTTTTCGAGGTAGAGGTCGCCGAGGGGGACGATACATCCGAGAACAACAAAAAGAGGAAGAGGAAGTCGAGGCAGGAGGGCATAGAGGCGGAAGAAGCTCAGGGCGAGAGCCGGATACAGTTTCGACTGGCATCTGGTGCTGAGGATGGCAAAATACGCATCTGGGATCTGCACAAGAGAAAGAGCGCCGCAGTACTGGATTCGCATGTTTCTGTGGTTCGATCGCTGCAGTATTCGCCGCACCAAAAGGTACTTGTCTCTGGCAGCAGAGACAAGACTTTGATTGTGTGGGACTCGCACAAATGGAAAGCACAGAGAACAATTGCTGCGCTGGAAGGAATCGAAAGCGCTGGTTTCATTGCAGATGGCATGACTCTGTACTCTGGTGGAGAAAATGGCCGAGTCCGACTTTGGTCAGCATCGAGCGGACGGGAGCTCACCGCAGAGCAAGAGCCTGGAATAGAGACGGACGAGATTGTCAATATCCTCCACTACCCGTCATTACCGTACCTGATCTCGGTCCATGCCGATCAGGTGCTCAACTTCCACTCTCCCAAATCCGCCGAGTCGCTTGTTATGGAAGAAACCATCGAGCCTCTGGCAGTCTTCCGCCGCGTCTCTGGAACGCATGACGAAGTCATTGACATTGCATACGTTGGCCGCGACAAATCTCTTATGGCATTGAACACCAACTCGGAGGACATCCGGATCATTAGGCTAAACGAGTCAGACGGAGGCGATGCGACAGAAGGCAGATACTTTGGCGCAGATGTAGGACTTCTCAAAGGGCATGATGACATTGTCATCTGTCTGGATGTCGATTGGTCAGGGCATTGGCTCGTTACAGGTGCAAAAGACAACACAGCCCGGCTATGGAGATTGGATCCTGAAAACGGATCGTATACGTGCGCAGCAGTCCTCACCGGCCACGCCGAATCACTGGGGGCCATTGCGCTGCCTCACACAGTGCCCCAAGAATCCTCGGCTGCATTCACAGACCCGCTATCACATCCTCCAGCCTACATTGTAACCGGATCACAAGATCGGACGGTTAAGCGATGGGACACCACCAAGGAAATGAAGGGAAAACTACGAGCAAAATACACCCGCAAAGCACACGACAAGGACATTAACGCAATCGACATTGATCCGTCTGGGACGCTGTTCGCTTCTGCCTCGCAAGACCGCACAGTCAAGATATACTCTGCTGCCGAGGGAGAGGCTATCGGTGTCCTTCGAGGCCACCGACGTGGTGTTTGGAGCGTCAAGTTTGCGCCAAAAGACTCACAGGCTCCAAACTCGGGTGGCAAAGGCTTGATTGCCACTGGCAGTGGAGACAAGACAGTCAAGATTTGGAGCCTGGCAGACTACAGCTGTCTGCTTACCCTCGAAGGACATTCCAACAGTGTCTTGAAGCTCGCATGGCTCCCTTATCGTCCGGTTGATGCGCGAGACAAGCGAGGACCGCAAGTAGCCTCTGCCGCTGGTGACGGACTGGTCAAAATCTGGGACTCCGTCTCAGGCGAGGCCATGTCCACACTCGACAACCACACCGATCGCGTTTGGGCCCTCGTTGCGCATCCGCAAACGGGTGCTCTCGTGTCTGGCGGTGGCGACAGCGTCATCACCTTCTGGCAAGACACGACAAGCACCACGCTCGAAGCGGCCACCAGCGCCGAAACCGAACGCATCGAGCTCGACCAAAAGCTGCAAAACTACGCCTACGCCGGAAACTACCGCGACGCCATCGTTCTCGCCCTGCAAATGGACCAGCCCGCCCGCCTCTTCTCCCTCTTCAAATCCGTCGTCGAAACAGACAACCCCGACACAAACAGCCTTTCAGGCCTCGCCTCCGTCGACGACGTCCTAAACAACAACTATGAGTGTGAAAATATGACATTGAAATGTGCACACGCCATAGTACATAAATTCAGGAAAAAAAAAGAAGAAAAAAAAGAGATAAAACCCCCCCCCCCCATATCTACATACATAACATGCATCTCAACCATATTTTTTTGGCAAACCCGCCTACGTACGTACCTACTCGACCATAGCCACATCCCTCTCAAGTCGCATCTGCGCGGTACCATTAGGAACAGCAGCCAGCTCGCCAGCCACCTCATCCATTTCATTGAGGGTAAAATCAAGCAGATAGCTCTCATCGACAAGGTCCTCAACGCGCTTGTAGTGCCTCTCAGAATACACTTTGATAGCGTCGAGGACATCCTTCAAGCTACCCTTGGCACCGACCTTGGCGCGGGGTCGGAGGGCGGCGAGGCGGGAGGCAGGATAGGATTTTACGATTGTAAAGAGGATTTTCTGGGCGATGGGGGCGGTGCGGACGTTTGTGTTCCAGTCGCGGAGGCGGAGGAGCAGCTTGTAGAGCTGTTGGTCGGCAAGCGAGGCGCGGTCTGATTGGATTGGTGGGGTTCTGTGCAATGAAATCGGTCAAAAGTGGTAGTATCTGATGAGTGAGTGAGTGCTGGTAAAAAAAAAGGAAAAATTTGCTTCTTCTTGTTGTGTGTGTGTGTGTGTGTGTGTGTATTTCGCACTATGTGATCAAGGTATATGGCATCTCTCTCTCTTTCTCCTTCTCTCTTTCCAGAAGTCCCCAAAAAACAAACTATTTATACAAAATAACAACAGCAATCCTGCCATCCCTCCCTCTCTCTCTCTCTCTCTCTCTCTTCCCTTCCTCACTCCCTCCCGCCCAGCGTCCCCTACCCACCACCACCTCCTACGACCTCCCCCTCCCCTTCTGCCCCCTCCTCCTCTCCCAAACCATAAGATAGGCCTCCTTGGTAAACAGCGTCTCAGCACGCTCCTTTTCAACAAACAGATCCTGAATGCCATACCAATCCTCTCTCGCACGGTCCTTGACCTGTACTCTCCAAATCTTGCTTTCCTGCTCGCCCTCAACACTATCATCCTTCTTCTTAACCGCCTCATGCGTAATGTTGGCTACGAGATCGTACCAGATGGGTTCGCCGGGGGGATATTCGGCGGGATTGGGTTCGACGTAGGGCGCCATGTCGAGGGAGTGAACGGGGAAGGTGACGATAGTTGGGTTGCGCTCAGCTACGAATTTGTTTTTGGAGAAGCGCTTGATGTTGAAGAGGAGGTAAGGGGGTAGCGGGTGGAGGAGGCGGTATCGGACTCTGTTTTTTGATTTTTCCTGCGGCGTTACGCCGTTGTATTTGGAGAGGATGTTGACGAGGGGCACTTGGGGGATGATGTTTTTTTCGAGTGCGTCTTGGAAGAGCGGGGCGGCGGGCAGGTCGAGGGTTAGGACGAGGAATTTTGTGGTTTCGGTTTGGACGGCCGCGTCTTCGAAGCGGAGGCGGTCGCCGGCGTCGGCGCGGGCCGTGATTTCTTGTTGTTCGATTTTCAGCGTGCCTTGGAAGACTTTCTGGATGATGCTGCTGTTGGGTTTTGTGCGTGAGCCGCCGACGGCGAGGTGCAGGTTGTTGAGGAACCAGGAGAGGAAGTCGACGGGGTCGGATTGGTCGGTTAGTGTGAAGCGCTTGGAGGAGCGCAGGGCGATTTCCTGGAGGAGTTCGTGCGGCGACACGTGCGTTTTGAAGGCGCGTGGGTTCCAGATCTTGCGGACGAGGGTGCTGAAGCGCTGGGCGAGTTGAGGCCGGCTTGACAGGTCTTCGAGCATAAAGTAGTTTCGCAGTGGGACGACGTGCGCCAGTGCTTGGATTACCACGTTGAAGTAGTCGTTTGCTTTGATGTTGTTCATGCCCACAAAGCCCGGTATGTATTCGCGATTCGACAGGTCCCACGACACCTTGGGCTCTTTGTCCAACTTGGCTACTTCCTCCTTGCTCATGCGCGGGTCTACGACAAACTTGATGTCGTCGAGCGACTTGGACTTGACCTCGTAGCCCTCTGGAAGCACATAGACCTTCTTTGTCTCCATGTTGACATACACATGATGCCCCTCTTCCAGCGCGTGGAAATATGCTTGTGACTTTGGCCCCCGACCCTGGTAGTATTTCCCACACACCAGACAAGCATAGACGTTGATGTTGGATAGCGTGACGGAGCACAGCTTCTCAAAGTCGAAGTCGAGAACCTTGCGATTGATCGTGTCGAGGTAGAGATCGGTATACCCGGCTTCTGGGGCCGTCTGGCGCTTCGGCGCAGCGACTACAGGCTCGTCGTCGTCTTGGTCGTCTAATGCGCCAGCTTCTTGAAGCTCCGCATGCTCCTCCGCATCTGCGCCCAAGATGTCCACCTTTTCTTGATCCTGCACCCGCGGATTCATGAGATGCCCATTGCTTGTCGCGCCGTTTGTCTCAGAGTCGTCCATTTCTTCATCCTCGACTTTTGGGCGCTTCATGGCCGGCGATGGCGCGTCGTACGTTTCCTCGAGAGGCTCCAAGGCCGGTCGCTTCGACATGATGCGCAACGAAAAATGGCGAAATTTTGGGGTTGCAAAGTGAAGACGGCGCCAGCAGCGCGATACGATCAGAATTCCAGCAGCTTCTCGGTGGGAGGGTGTCGGGGAGCAAAAGTGGTGGGCATTCCCAAGGTCACGGACTCCGGTGGAACCATTGGCCGGGGACAGCTCCGCGCAAACACCGCAAACACAGCTGCAACGCGGGCAGGACAAGAAAAAAAGTCGCGTCCAGGCACCACTCGGCCACCAACGCCACACCTTCTGAGATACCCCTCTTTGCTTGCCTAGCAACAACAGCAAGATGGTATAGGCCCTTGTATTCCCTCTCCAACAAGCGTGGGTGCTGACCATACGCCCAGTCCAACCCCACTCAGATCTTTGCCGACGACGTAACGGAGGAGAAGGGCGAGAATGCGCGCCTCTCCGCTTTCGTGGGAGCTATCGCAGTGGGAGACCTGGTGAAGAGCACATTGGGCCCCAAGGGCATGGACAAGATTATGCAGTCTGCGTAAGTGTATACTGCCCCGCTCCCAGCATGCGCTTCGACTAATGTCTATGGAAAGTTCGACTGGCGAAATCATGGTCACAAACGACGGTGCTACCATTCTCAAAGCGATTGCCCTCGACAACGCGGCCGCAAAAGTACTGGTCAACATTTCAAAAGTGCAAGATGACGAAGTCGGTGACGGCACCACGTCGGTGACGGTGCTGGCCGCCGAGCTGCTGCGTGAGGCGGAGAAGCTGGTTGACCAGAAGATCCACCCCCAGACCATCATCGAGGGATACAGGATAGCAAGCAGCGCGGCGCTCAAGGCACTGGAGAAGATTGCCACGGACCACAGCAATGACAAGGACGAGTTTAGGAAAGACCTCGAGGCGATTGCCCGGACAACGCTCAGCTCCAAGGTGCTTTCTCAAGACCGCACACAGTTTGCCAAGCTTGCCGTCGACGCAGTGCTCAAGCTCGGGGGCTCGACGGACCTGACACATATCCAAATCATCAAGAAGGCTGGAGGCAAGCTCAAGGACTCGTACCTGGACGAGGGATTCATCCTGGACAAGAAGTTTGGCGTGAACCAGCCCAAGCGGATAGAGAACGCCAAGATTCTGGTGGCCAACACAGCCATGGACACGGACAAGATCAAGATTTTCGGTGCACGAGTAAAGGTGGACTCGACAGGCAAGCTGGCCGAGCTGGAGAAGGCTGAGCGGGAGAAGATGAAGGCCAAGGTGGAGCGCATCAAGGCTCACGGCATCAACTGCTTTGTCAACCGCCAGCTGATCTACAACTGGCCGGAGCAGCTCTTTGCGGATGCCGGCATCTGCTCGATTGAGCACGCCGACTTTGACGGCATTGAGCGCCTGGCGCTGGTTACTGGGGGCGAGATCACATCGACGTTTGACCACCCCGAGAACGTCAAGCTCGGACACTGCGACCTGGTCGAGGAGGTGATTATTGGCGAGGATGTGTTGATTAGGTTTTCAGGCATCAATGCGGGACGAGCGTGCACGATTGTGCTGCGTGGAGCGACGGAGCAGCTTCTCGACGAGGCGGAGCGATCGCTGCACGACGCGCTCGCAGTGCTCTCGCAGACGGTCAAGGAGCCGCGGACAACGCTGGGGGGTGGGTGTGCAGAGATGAACATGGCAAAGGCTGTGGCCGAAGCAGCACAAAACGTAGCGGGCAAGAAGGCGATTGCCGTCGAGGCGTTTTCCAAGGCGCTGCAGCAACTGCCCACGATTCTGGCAGACAATGCGGGCTTCGATTCGAGCGATCTAGTGACGCGGCTTCGCAAGGCTGTCTACTCGGGCTTGACCAACTCGGGGCTGGATCTCCTGTCGCCCGGAGGAGGCATTACAGACATGAGGGAGCTAGGCGTGATTGAAAGCTACAAACTCAAACGGGCGGTGGTATCGTCGGCCTCGGAGGCAGCCGAGGTAAGTGACGCGGCGGCAGCGAGCGAGCAGCGTGAATGGTGTACTAACTTTGGCAGCTCCTGTTGCGCGTAGACAACATTATCCGCAGCGCCCCGCGACGACGCGAGCGCATGTGAGGGCGAGGCGAGGCGAATCCAGACGACCATGGCAGGCATGCAGGCACACTTAGGTAGCGTGTATATTATGAAGGCACATGAATGCAGTCGGACCAGTGTGTTAGGGGCGCAGCGTGCATGTCTTGAGCGGTCTGGGCATTGTGCAGCGTGCAAGAAGCGTGTGTATGTGAGTGAGTGAGTGTGCGTGTGTGTGCATGTGAGTGTACATGTGTGTGGGCTGGTGGTCGAGGGCGCGTTCACGTGATGACACATGTCAGTGCAGGTGTTTAGCTGTTGGGCTACTGCGCGCCAAAGGTCCGGTGCTGACATGCGTTTCATATCCTTGTCTCGCCATTCCACCACACGCCCTGAGACGACACACCTCAGCACCCAAACGGGCAACTTTGGCCTGATTTTTTTCTCCTCGCGTACCTGGCTACCGCACACCAGGCCTGGACAGGCGTGAGGGTGTGGCAGCCAGGTGCGGGCGGAGCATCAGTACATGTGCGTCTTTGGCCCAGGCTGTCGATGGGCAGGCGAGATGCAGGCGAGATGCAGGCAGCGGACGCCGGGGGGTTTGGGGATCGTGGTTGTGATGCGGGGGTGTGTGGGATACACTTCGCCTACTACGCCACCATGGCGTATGGGGCTTCGCTGCCCACGCCGTGTTTCCTGTGCCTCTACCCGTACCTTGACGGGGGGTGGAGGGGGGCTGGCGCATGCTCGACGTCGAGATGGGGGGGGGGCAGCCCGGCTCCCAAGACAGCAGCAGTGTTATGGTGGCGGCGGCGGCGGTGGTGGTTGGGCTTGTTGTTATTACATGTACTGCCATCACCACAGCCAGGAGCGAGGGCCCGTCTGACGGCGGTGATGACGGCTGACTCCACGGCTGGCCCAGCACGACGAAAGAGATTGACGCGACAGTGCGCTGCAAGTTTGGCGGGCGGTGCCATGGCTGCACCGTCGGCCGCCGGTGCAGCGCGAGCCAGCCAGTCGAGGTTGAGGGCGGCTGCGCGGGGCCCGGCTGGGGGCCGTCGGGGCGAGGAGGAGCTAGTAAACGAGAGAAACAGGCGAGTGTATCGACACGGAGCCTGCTAGTCGAGGCCGTTGTGGTGGTGAGCGACGACGCCGACGCCGCCGACGACGCACACGGCGTGGGCTGACGAGGCCCCGGCCGCTGCCCCAGCTGCACTCGCCCACCCCCGCGCGCGTGCTTAATATCGTCTCAAAATCGCTGCCACAGGCACCGCCCCCCCCCCTCCACAACACAACACACTCACTCACTCACCCCCATCACGGCTCGCGGATGCTTCATCTCCCTCGCCCTCGCTGCCTTCTGCAGGCCTCGCTCTAAGCTTCCCCCTCTCGTGCCCGCACCCACGCAATGCCGCGTCCGCGCCGGCCGCCTGGTGCTGGCTCGGCCCTCACCACACTCGCCCTCGTGCTCCTCACGGGGCTGGTGGCCGCTCAGCAGCAGCAGCCACACCCTCCACCACTCGCAGCACAACACCCACCACAGCAGCCCCCCCAAGCTCCACCACACACCCCCCACGCCCCGCACCCGCCCGTCCATGTAGACCATGCACCGCACCTCCTCCACCACGACCACCGCGACCACGACAATGTCCGCGACCACGCAAAGCCCGCCCACAAAGACGCGGCAGCCGACGCAGACGGCCGCCGCCCCTACCCGTCCCTCCACAGCCGCAACGTGCGCGCCCTAGCAACCAGAGTTCCTTCTGCTCCAGCCATCAGCGCTGTCAGAGCCGATCCTGCCAGATATGCAGCCTCGGGACGCCTCGTCCCCGGAGCGCGCTCTCTGCAGGATTGGGAAGTTGAGGACTTTGTGCTCCTGGCGACCGTCGACGGCCACATCCACGCACGCGACCGCTACAACGGCGAGGAGATCTGGGAGCTGACGGGCCGCCCCATGTTGGAGACCATCTACAACGCGTCGGGCGGCAGCGTCGACCCCCAGGACCAGCCCTTTGTCTGGATTGTCGAGCCGCGCGAGGACGGAGCCCTCTATCTGCTCTCGCCCGGCCCCTACCCCCATCTCCAGCACCTGGGCGTCACGGTCAAGCAATTGGCCGAGAATGCACCTTATTCGAGCGACGACCCGGGCCTTCCGGTCGTGTACAATGTCGAGAAGAAGACGTTTATGCTGCTCGTCGACGCCGCCTCGGGCATCGTCAAGCAGAGCTTCAGCTCCAGCGGCTCCTTCCCCCACGACGACAGCTGTGCCCCCGAGTCGACAAACTACTTTAGTGCCCGCGAGCGCGATTGCCGGGGCGTCATTGACATTGGCCAGACGCAGTACACCATCACCATCCACAACAAGAAGACCAACGAGCACATCTGCACCCTCAAGTACGCCGAGTGGAATCCCAACAGCCGCGACCGGGACCTGCAGTCGCAGTACGACCAGACGCTCGACAAGCAGTACATCTACACCACGTACAATGGCGAGGTCATTGCCTTTGACTACAAGCGCCCGCGGTCTCACCAACGCCCGCTGTACCGCCAGCGTCTCCCTTACCCAGTCGCACGCGTCTTTGACGTAGCCCGGCCTCTGAACGACCAGTCTGCAGACCCGCCGCTCGTCCTTTTGCCGCAGCCTGCAGGCCCCGTCTTTTCAGAGGACAAGGCCAACCATGTCCTGCTCAACACCACCGAGTCAGGCGCCTGGTATGCATTGTCTGAAGTCAACTACCCTGCCGTGACCGATGGCGCCCCAGACGCAATGTGCTACAAGCAGAACCAAGCCGTCTACGACTGGGATGCTGCCTACGCCCTGCCGGACAAGAAGAGCCTCGTCGGAGTCCACAGGCTCGACTACAAGATCCCGAACCTGCCAACGCAGCTGCTCGGAATCCCCGCCCCAACCTACTACGAGTCTATGAATGACCAGGTCATCTCAAACCCACCAGCAACATCCCCGAGGCAGCATCATCAGCCGCCAAGCATTGATGCCCCGCCAGAGACTCCCGTCGATGGGCGGTCGTCGGTACATGTCTACCTCTACATCCTGGTGGCCATCTGCCTCTTTGGCGGGGTCGGTGCCTCTGTGAAGCCCACAATGGCCGAGTCCTGCATGAGCTATTTGAAGCAGCTCGTCCATGCGAGCAACATCAAACAGCCTCTGCCGCCATTGGTTCCCTCGCCAGAACCTGAGGCCAAGTCAACCGACGAAAAGGTTCCTGTTCTCTCCAATGCGGACGAGGCAACTGAAGAAAAGCCCGTCGTGGAAACCACTGACAAGGACGAAAATGAGCCCCCTGTCGTGGTAGAGCCCAAGGAGAAGAAGGTGGTTACCTTTGCCGTGCCAAACGACCAGGAGGAAGATCTTGCACCGCTCTCTAGGACTACAACTGCCGATCAAGGCTCTCCAGCTGGAGATGAGGCTGCTCTGCCCGAGGCAAAGCTCAACGCCGACGTTGAACCAACGGCCAACAGCACCGAAGACATGTCGCAAGATGCTGCCGCCGCGCCTGCTACACCAAAGAAGAAGAAGACACACCGAGGCAGACGAGGCGGTCGCAAGCTGAGTAAGAATCAGCAAAAAGAAGAAGACGAGGTCAACCGCATCGTCAATGCAGCCAAGCAATTGGAAGCCGGCCCCCGCCTGCATCCAGATGAACTCACCGTCAGCGGTAGTGATGTGCAGAATGTGTCTGAGATTAAACGTATCGGCAAACTTACCATCGACCAAGACAAGCTCTTGGGTAACGGAAGCGGTGGTACGTTTGTCTTTGAAGGCAAATGGAAGGTATGTTCACCACTGCTGAGTATCCACCACGCTCGTGCTGACATGATTACAGGAAGTCAAGGTGGCTGTCAAGCGCATGTTGCCCCAGTACTTTGGACTTGCGGAGCAAGAGGTCAAGCTCCTACAGAACAGCGATCCGCATCCAAACGTCATCCGGTACTTTGATGATGAACGAGACGAGAACTTTCTCTACATCGCCGTCGAGCTCTGCCAAGCCAGTCTCTTCGACCTGTACAAAGACGGGCGGCCTGGAGAAGAGCTTAGCGAGGAACATCAGCGTTTGGTCAACAAGATTAGCGGCAAGGCATCGTCGTGCCTGTACCAACTCGCTGCTGGTCTCAACCACCTCCACCACCTCCGCATCATACACCGCGACATCAAGCCACAGAACATTCTCGTCGCACAGCCTATGATCACATCCAAAGACGATGTGCGCTTGGTGATTTCGGACTTTGGGCTCTGTAAGACTTTGCCCGACAACGTTAGTACTCTTGTGGGTACAACTGGCAACGCAGGTACCGTGGGCTGGAAAGCCCCTGAGCTCATAACACAACCCAAGGAGTTGGCCAGTGGAAGCTCTCAAGGCTTTTCTCGCGACTCGTCGAGTTCGACGGATCCGGTCGCACAGGGTGTCAAGCGCGCCGTAGACATCTTCTCCCTGGGCTGCGTCTTCTACTACGTACTGACGGGTGGCTGCCATCCATTTGACGACGAGGAGGGCTGGATGCAGATTCGAGAATACAACATCAAGAAGGAAAAGTCTAATCTTGACCGCCTTCTTCTCGGAGCTGACTCAGTGGAACCACACCACCTCATCCAATGGATGCTTCGACCACGCCCTGAATCCCGCCCGACGGCCCTTCAGGTCATGAACCACCCCTTCTTCTGGGACGACCAGAAGCGGCTCGACTTTTTGTGTGACTGTTCTGACCACTGGGAGCGAGAGCCCCGAGACCCACCATCGGACCACCTCTTGCAGCTTGAAGAATACGCACAGGATGTCCTTGACCACCGACGTAACTTCCTGGCCAAGCTCGATCCCGGCTTCGTCAACTCTCTGGGCAAGCAGCGCAAGTACACGGGCGACCGGATGTTGGACTTGTTGAGGGCGTTGCGCAACAAGAAGAACCACTACGAGGACATGGAGGATGCCATCAAGGCCAAGGTTGGGCCGCTGCCGAGTGGATATCTGAGGTACTGGACTGTCAAGTTTCCGCAGTTGCTCATGAGCTGCTATGAGGCGGTGCTGGCATGTGATTTGGAGTGTGAGCCAAGGTTCAAGAAGTATTTTGAGAGTGCCAAGTAGGGTTTGGCGAGGGCATTGTCGTTGAGGTTGTTATTGTTAACTAAAAGTACTCGAGTAGAGTTGAAGGGACGTCACCAGCTTGCTCAATTGAATGGACATGACCATGCTCAAGGCTAAATATAAGCTATTATCTCTTCAGTGCACTTCCATCTAAATCTGCCAGGCTTGCTTTGGCCATGGCAGGGTTGTTCTCCAAGAGCTCCTGCACCCGCCTCTCAAAGGCCTTGACCATGTATTCAGCCACCCTAGGTGCTACGCCCCCGCTCAAAGCCGCATACATTGGATTCGCAAACGAGAACTCGACAGCCAGACTGACATGGGTTTTGGCATCGTGCAGAGGCTCGACCGTCCATGTACTCCGCAGATAGGTCAGCAAGCCATTGCTCCCTTGGCTTCTATCCACCGCCTGTGCCGCCTGCTCGAAATGGTGCTGAATGTCCTCGGCCTTGAGTGATGTTTCCGCATCGCCTCCTACACTCTCTACATAGCGCCCCGGCACGCAATACACTCTGCTCGCAAAACTTTCGGTAATGCCGCCAAAGCCCGACGTCAGCACGCCTTCAGAAGGCCAGCGCCGCCCGTAGGCTTTATCTGGGGCCGACCATTTCGTGATGGAGCTGTGCTGACAGTAGGGCAGGAAACTTTGGTAGTTGGGCACGTCGGCTATGATGGAGTAAACGGGGGCCGAGGGGTACGGCAGTGTCCGCGCAGCAGTAAGGACTTGCGGCGCAGACTTTGCGTTTGGGAGCGCGGAATTGAGGGCTTCGAAGGGGTTGGGCAGGAAGGCTCGTCGCTGGTGGGCGCAACAGAGTGGGCGGAGGCGCGTTGAGGTTTGGGTAAGCGGGCGGCGGGCGGATCTGAGCGTCGCCATGGCGGGGTCGATGCTGCTAGACGGGCTGTTTGGGGCTGAAGGGCATCGAGGCGTGTCACTTTGGCTTCATGACGGAGTTGAGACGGAGGAGCACAGCAATGCCTCAGACAGACATGCGACGATTTGCGCTAGAGGCGTGCGGCTCTGCCCATGACGCTATTTGCTGTCATGTCAGGGCACCGCGTGCGGCTGAGCCAAGCCGCTTTGGGCGCTAGCGCGGGAAATTTCCCCTCTGCCGTCGAGCCCCTCCAACAATTCTGAGAAGTCCCCCCCGCATACGCATTTCGCAGTTTACGCCATGGCCGCTGAAACAGATGCAGCCACCGCGCCAGCCCAGCATGTGGCGAGCGGCGCGCATTCAGAGCAGTCCAGCGACCCGAGATTCCAGACGGATAACTCTGTGTCGCGCAAACCGCAGCCAAAGCAGCAATTATCAAAGGCCATGGAGCACATGCGCTTCGCAGTCACTGCAGACCCCATTCCGCATTCGTCGACGCCAAAATCACCGCCACAGCAGCCCGCACGAGATGCGTCGTCTCCCTCTACAGAACAGCAACAGATTCCCGAAAATGATGCCTACGGGGTCCCCGCCTCCTTCGCCCCCGTGCGCGCCCCGCAGTCTCGCTCCCACGACCCGTCCAACAACCAAAAGCGCAGTGATCCCTTTGCCTTTGGCAGCCGCTACCTCGAAGAAGGCGACGACATATTCGAGTTCAACGCCTGGGACCACGTAACCGTCGACGCCAACTACCTCGCCTTTTCCGAAGAGCAGTACTCGAAGCAGCGCTCCGAGCCCGTGTCCGAATTCGACCGCAAGCGCTTCAACGAGCAGCCCGAGAAGTGGTGGAACCAGTTCTACAAGAATAACAAGACAAACTTCTTCAAGAACCGCAAGTGGCTGGCGCAGGAATTCCCTATTCTCGAGGAACTCGGCGCCGAAGACGGGCCTGAGGCGACTTTGTTGGAGGTTGGTGCTGGGGCGGGCAATAGCGCTTTTCCAATCTTGCAGCGGAGTAGGAATAAGAGACTCAAGATTCATGCGTGCGACTTTTCGAAAAAGGCTGTCGAACTCATTCGCAATCACGAACTCTACAACCCAGAGCTCATCCAAGCCGATGTGTGGGACGTGGCTGCGTCCCCAGACTCAGACAATGGAGGCCTACCGCCGGGGCTCTCTGAAGGAAGCGTAGACGTCGTACTCATGATTTTCATCTTTAGCGCGCTGAGCCCCAAGCAATGGGACCAAGCAGTGCGCAACATCTGGCGCGTCCTCAAGCCCGGCGGCCAAGTCCTCTTCCGCGACTACGGCCGCGGCGACCTCGCGCAGGTGCGCTTCAAAAAGGGGCGCTACATGGAAGAAAACTTCTACGTGCGCGGCGACGGAACCCGCGTTTACTTTTTCGAGCAAGAAGAGCTCCAGCAGATTTGGGCTGGAAAAGAATCGCAGCTGCGTGATACTCAGACGGGGAATGTCGCTGATACTACTACCATCACAACAACAACAACAACAGAAGACCCCCACGCCCTCGCAGACAAAATCCAAAACATCGACCTCAGACATCCAGACGTCCAGTCCCCCGCCCAAGCCAACGCCGACGCCGCCGACCTGCTCACCCCGCGCCCTGCCTTCCAAGTCGCCCACATCGGCGTCGATAGACGCATGCTTGTCAATCGCCAGCGCAGACTCAAAATGTATCGTTGCTGGTTGCAGGCCGTGTTTCGAAAGGCGGGCGAGGAGAGTTGTGTGCCGACGAGTACGTTGCGGAGGGAGGTGGAGGTGGAGGTGGAGGTGGAGGTGGAGGTGGAGGTGGAGGTGGAGGAGGATGGGGATGGTGGGGAAGGGGAAGGGGAGGTAAGAGGGGAGGTAAGAGGGGAGGTAGGAGGGGAGGTAGGAGGGGAGAAGTAAGGGGGAGGGGGTTTAGAGTTGGAAGCGTTTATATATCAATATATAGAGATTTTGGATAGAAAAAGAGGGGGCAGAAGGACGGTGGGAGGGTTGGAGGAAGGGAGGGAGAGAGGGAAATGATACCATTACTTGATCTACTTTTCTGTATCTTATAACTTGTTTCAAAAATCAGGTCTAGTATGTACATTCATCCATCCATCCATCCATCCACCCATCCATCCATCCATACACTCCGCATGAGCTAAAGTTGAAGTTAAACTTGAAGTTGAAGTTAAAATGACTCCAAATGCAGCCTTTACTGTACGACTCATGAACTCTAACCAGAACAGGAAAAAGAAAGTGACATATGGACTGCGATACACATGATGCTGAATATCCATCCATCCATCCATCCATCCATCCATCCATCTATCCATCTATCCATCTGCATGCAAGAAGGAACCCGAGAGAAACAGGCGAAAAGATAGAGTAACGCTGGTGGAATCCAACTTTGAATTTTTTTTATTTTTTTGGGGGGGTAGATGGATATTTAATGCGTGTTTTTTATATGGATGAGATAAGATATTTAGATAACGGGTTGGGTATGCTGTGCTGAGGTATGTTATGCAAAGTATGCTATGTCATGGTATGCCCATGCGGAAATCCCGCTCAACGCGCTTCCAATGCCAAAAAAAATAAAATAAAAAATGCAGGGTACAAGATGGAGGAGAAATAGGAACATGAGATTTCATGTCTTGGGGAAAAAGAAAAGAAAGAAAGAAAGATGATAATACTTTCCACGCATCTGTTTCGCACGTTTGTCGGGCTGCGTGTGTATTCTACGCCCCCCCCTTTTTTGTTTGTACCAAACGGCGACAGTATGTGCTGCTGCTGCTGCTGCGCTCTCTCTCTCTCTCTCTTGTGTGTGTGAATGAATAAAGTGCAAGTAAAACAGGGATGCAAGACAAAAGACTCGCTCTGCAAACAGCAACAAAAACACAAAACAAGTGTACAAGACAAAAGACTCGCTCTGGAGACTGTGACTGAACTAAGAAGCCAACATTGAAACAGTAAGACAAAAAAAGAAGAATACTCACGTTAGCTTGCATCGCCATCGTATCCCATACATGCATGCATTCATCATTCGCATTCACTCACCCACCCAACCACCTATCCACATCAACTCATGTAGTCCCCATCTAACACGCCGCCTCCAGAATGCCCCGCAGAATAGCCGCGCCGGGCCCCGCCAGCGAATCCGCGAGTTCCTTTTCGGCAACCACGCTCGCGACTCTGCGCTCCTCGACAACCACACCTGGAAACGCCTTGCCCCTCCCCCTCCGACTAGGTGTTGCAGCGCCGGCGTCAAGCGACCCGGCTTTCCCCTGGACGGCGGAGATAAGAGAGAGGGATTCCAGACTGGCTATGATGTCTCTGAACTCTGTGCTGGTGAGGGGGTGCAGTGTGTTTTCGCGCTTGCAGAGGGCCGTGTAGGCTTCGAAGAGCTCTTTGAGCGTTGGCGACGTCGTGTGTGAGCGCGAGGGCGTGGATAGCACTGTGTCGGCGGCGGTGGCGCGTTTCTTTTTTTCAATCGAGCTGAGGGAGCAGAGAACGGCTTTTTGCTGGAGATTGAGATTGCGCAGACGCTGGCTTGTGCCGTTGCTGAAGACGGCGGCTGTGATCTTCGCCATGTGGCTGATGGTGGCGCGCGGTGCGGTTTCGATGGTGAGGGAGCCGAGTGAGGCGGCGATGAGGGCGCTGAGATCTTTTGGCTTCGAGGGCGAGCGCATCGCGGGGAAGGCGAGGTTGTCGTTTTCTACCAGGGGCGCTTTGGAGGGCGACGGCGTGGGCGAAGGAGTGGTTTCAGATGCTTTTTTCGCGTGTTGGTCCCGTGTCTCGGCTTCGATGAGGTCGATGGCTCGTCGGCATATGTCGAAGGCTTTGCGCAGGTCGCCCGATTGAGCGGCTACCTTTTTCGACAGGAACATGATGGCTGTCGGGTGGATGAATGGGAGTTGGCTGGTGCTGCCTGCTGGAAGGAGGGCCTTGAGTTTCGACGTGATGACCGATGAGATTTGCGTTGCGTTGTACGGGAGGAAAGGCAGCAGTTGTGGCTTGAGACCGCGAGCCTTGAGCCTTGGAAGAAACCGGTCCGTCAGATCGAGGGCGTTTGCAATGCCAACGAGAATCAAGCTGGAAGACTTTTCCAGCGACCATTCGAAAATGTTGTAGAACAGGTCGATGTCGAGTTCCAGGAGATGATCGACCTCGTCAAGCGTAACAACGTAGGAGCAATCTCGCTGCATAAAAACATTCCTGAGCGCATCCATCTCTTGTCCTTCCACAACCTCGGTGATGTCGACGAATTCTTCCAGCAGCGTCCTGTACAGATCGCGCGCATTCTTGACACTCATGCAATTGACGTAGCCTGTTTCGACGGATTCCTCGGACGCAACAGAACGGCAGACATCGTTGACGAAGGCGCTCTTGCCAGTGCCGGGCGGGCCTGATACGTAGATGCATCCGGATTTCCGGCCTTTGGTGCGTGTGGTGATGAAGGTTTGGAGCTCCTTTTTCTCATTCTCTCGTCCAAACAGCACGGTAGGCGCAGATCCCCTGGCGAATACTTGTCGGGCTTCGTTGTAAATGGTAGGCGCGGTATGGCGGGGAGTTCCTGGAGTGTGTGGTGTGCGCGGTGTCAGTGGGCGTCCGGGGATGATGAGGCGATGTCGCGGTGTAACGGCAACCTTGGCGGCAATAGCATCGCGGTGTCTGGGCGTCGAAGGAGTAGGCGCATACTTGTCGGGTATGTCGACAAGCGCCTTCTGCGGAGAATTTTCCTTGGTGGACGAAAGCGCAAACTGCGAACATGGCTCGATCTTCTTTGCGGGAGTGGTGCCAGCCCTCCTTCCGCGTCTTGTCGATGGCTTTTCCGCCGAGTCATCCACCTCCATTGCATCCTCATCGCGTGCATTTTGCTTTTTGGGCGTAACAAACGGATTCTCAATCTCGCCTTCATCGTGGATAACAAACTGGGCCCTCCGCTTTGCGCGTGTGGCGACGTTCAATTTTGCATCTGCAGAGCGCGTTAGAGACGTGTGACCTGGGAAGGAGCGACTGGAGCGCCGGCGGCCCGTACCTGAGGCATCTGCACGTGCTGAGCTGCGCGTCCTCTTTCCCAGAACAGTGGAGGCCATTGCGGGTGTCCTTGGCGAGGAAGGTGCAATGGGGTTTGTGCCGTGTGTGGTGTGGAAGGAGTGACTGACGACGAGGAAGGAGTGAGTGAGCAGGATCGTCGCTAGTTCGAGAAGGCGCGACGGACGCGACGCGTTAAGTGGTCCCAAAACGGCTTAGCGTAGCCGCGTCCGCCAGTTCCCCTGTCCACCCACTCTTTACCTTGACAGCTCCACACTCAGCACTTCGACCCCTGGATGCCAGCTGAACAAAATTGCTATTTTATGGCAGTCATCAGAGCGACACAATTATGCCTTCTCCCATGCGCGATCAGCATAACACCTAGGCCTGGACCGAGGCCACCGTCATCATGATGCTGAGCGTCTTCCGCCCGCCGCCTCATGGACAGGAGAGCAAGCGTCCGAGTCTCCTGATTCGCATCCATTTTCATGCTCCATTCGACCGGAGTTACTCAAGCGGCGGTGAGCATGTCACACACGCCGTGGCTTTGTCGAATTGTTTGCTCCAAAACCCTTGTGCCTCGCAATGGATGACCAACAAGAGCCGCCTCCGTCTGGAGCACCTGCTACCCATCTACTGATTATGGAATGACATGCAGAAAATGACCTTGTCTACTCACCGCTGCCACTGTTTGCGTGCCACCATTGGGGCTGTCAAAGTCATTGTCCTTGTTACTTGGTTGCACAGACAGCAGGGCTGTGATTGAATATGACACAAGAGAGGAGAGCACCTGTCAGCATCAGATAAAAACCTGTTGTCTTCTCTCTTGCTGCATGATGAAGCTCTTTGAACTTGAACATACCAACAAAAAATCTTGCACCATTTCCCTCGTCAATAGCGTACCCCAGAATGGCATACAACTATTGGCCCTGGCTCTGGCCCTCTGGCTACGACTTTGATCCTCCAGTCCCTCATATGCACCGCTTTCGTGATCCATGGACAGCCAGGGGTGTGCGGGCACCACGATGGGCCTTCCCCAGCTACTCTGATGGGCCATGCTGTGAATTCTGCAGTACATTAGGCAACATTGTAAGTTGAGTGTCAAAGACCGCTCCTAATGAGTACTTGACGCTAACTTTGATCAGCCTGGCCTAGATGCGAGTCTTGCTGATCTAGGACAATTCCCTCCAATCTTCCACCCCGTCATCCAGGCTCTCAACAACATACACTACCATTACAAACTGAGTTTGGATAGCGACGGTGAAGAACCTTTCTTTCTGGCTCGGGAAATGGAAAGCCTATCGCGATATCTCCGCAAACTCTACCAAGCGTATCCGCACATGATTGAGCTCGCCTTGTGGGCGGACCAACTAAAATACATGGGAAGAGACATGCAGATTGGTCCGAGACGCCTTCGATACAGCCCAGTAACAAAGCACAGACACAATCGTAGGCTTTTGTTGCCACAAATTGCCTGGTAGACGGGTAGCAAAGGCTGTCGCTGCACTTATGCGATGAAGCGCGTTTCTAGGCACAGGTATGTCGAGTAGGATTATCACTCCCTTTTGCTAGCAGCTTCTTTTTGAATCCTGTTACATCAATGCCGGGCCTACCAAGTATGCAATTTCAACTCGACTCCTTGTACCGTGAAGGGTTGATGTAACAGATCAGAATGTCAATCGTCATCAGTAAGCACAGCCCGCAATAAATGACAAAGTGAGGCAAAGTAACAGTGGAAAGGATTGAATGCGAAGGAGTAAATCATTGTTGTACGATAGCTGAATCCTAATCTAACACCCTTCTGACGTGCATGACAGAAAGGATAAAAGAGTGCAAGACAACGTGTGGAATGATACAGTAAAACTAATAACTTACCGTAACTGCCGCGATGATAGTGTGAAAGATCACGGCACTGATGAAACCTTCGTCTAGTGGTTACCAAGGAACATCCAAGCAAGCTCGTGGTGAGCTTTGGGCAAGTTCAAAGGGTGGTGTGGTATATTTGCTTCATTGTCTCCGCACAGCCATGCTTAGCGTGTAGTCATTCCACCCCTATCTCTGCAGTAGCTCCATTCCTGCCAACGAACTTTGCATTAACCACTCAGTCAGATAAAAGGCTCAGTCTCAAACAGGAGACATCCAGTACATTACCTCCTAGATCTTGCGCGGAATATGTCAAGCAGTATGTATTTGTTTCGGATAATATGGCCGAAGGCACCACTGATACTCAGCGCGCTCGTGCAATGTACCCCATGGTCGAGGTAACGTGCTTGGCCAAGCAAACCAATTTTATGCCAACCGGAGTAGAATTCTGTAGGGACGTTGCAGAATCTTATGATGAGGCTACCTGAAGCAACAACATGCCCAAACCCAGTCCGCAAAATTCAGGATCGATCTGTTACTAGCGCATCGGCAATTCACATGGAAAACGCATTCGACACCAAAAAGCATCGAGCTGCTTGTTATGCCCACAAGGTTGCTACTACTTTGCTTCTTCGTACCCCTGCTTGCTCAAGCCATGGTCAGATGACTTGCGAAAGACGGCAACAACTACGTAATATGAAGAAGAGGTGGAATTCAAAATGTTCCTGGTAGAAGCATGTGAAGAAGTTTCAAAGTGATTGGGCTATCTCTATGCAAAGAAGACTTTAGGGTCAAGGACATTGATCCACTCCTAGCATAGAGAAACTACAGAAACAGGAGTGTGACGAAGGTCTCTGATGGCGGAGACAACACGAGAAAACGAAAGCCGCGACAGCTGGACACAATGCAAGGTACCGGAGAATTGAGATCTGCAACACTGCGCTGTGAAAAAGCAAGAACGGGTAAGATGCTATCATTGCCTGCATGAGGAGGGTGTGTATTAAACGGTGCTAGATGACTACTACCAGATTTCAGGCAGGCTGATACGTCAATAGACGAGAGAGACTGGGGTGCTGGGACGCTAGGATACCAAGAAATGCTTGTTTCTGTCATGTCCTTTTGTTACCAGCTGATTTTAGTCGACGACATTGTCGACCCAAGCCTTGGGAAAGCTGGCTGCCAGCCACCATGCATGGAACACCTTCGCCAAGTAATCACACACCCAATATCAATCGAATTATTACTCCATCCCTTCCTAAGTCGGCAAATGTGCTGCTTAGCCGGGCGGCGTCGATCTAATTTACCTAAGGAACATTGCTAGGGCGAGCGGTAAATGCTTAGTATTGTTCCTCCACCAAGCTGAACTCCCCCGGGCCACCTTGACAAAGGGTTAAGCCGTTGATCATTTCCATATTTTCTCGCCACGCGAGGAAAAGAAAAAGAACAATGGGCTTGTCCAAATTCAACAGGTTTCTTCCGGGGCGTGGCTTTTGCTGGCAGAGGGCAGACCAATAGTGGGCATGCGCACGACTGTTGTCAGCATGGCTGCCGGCCAGCGTACTTTCTTGCTGGGTCTAGACAAGCGGCTGGACATCATATAATACGCAGGTGCCATCGCCATGACACTCCGTCATCTGCTTCATTCCCAAGCAGTCAGAAATGATGTGGACATCCATTGTATTAGGCGCGGCTGCCCTTCTTGCATCAGCTGCGGCGCAGAATGCTTCAACTACAGATCGTCAACCCACTTTGAACGCGCCGTTACCTAACCCATGGAAGCAGCTTTCGGAAGAGGAGACTGCAAGTGTCAATGAAGTGCTGCAGAGGAAACTGAACTTGAGTGGCAACCAGGGCTCCAGTCAAGATAGCTACATGTAAGTACAAAAGACATCCGATGAGGCGCTGGTATCCTAATCGACCGTCAGAGTGCAACTCGCGCTTCTACCGCCTAACAAGACCGACGCTGTTCCTTTCTTCGATGGTTACTCCAAAGCCCCTGGACGATATGCACGCGCTACAGTTCAGACTGGCGCTACTGATTCGGCAGACATGTATTGGCAAGAGTACATGGTCGGCCCTCTGCCAGCTACGAACGAAACGCGAGCTGAGCCACTCACTTTCCCGTTCCAAAATTCCAATGCCGGACAAACAGGAATCCATAGAATGTATTCTAAAAACGAAGGTACAAGCTTTCTCCTCAAGTTTGGAACGGAGCATGAAGACATCGCTCAGCGTCTGTTCAACACTGTAAGTGACATGTCATAAAGACTTGTTTGAATAACTACTGAAAGTCTCCAGACCTTCCTCAGTGGAATTGTCGGTCTTCGTTTTGGCGTCCCATACACGGATGAAAACGGTCGCATCATTTCTTGGGGAGCGGCCTTTGGTAACCCTGGCACCGATCTTAGCAGCCTCACGCTTCAGCCCCTCGGCTTCAATGTCAAGTTTGACCTGACTTCCAAAAACTGGGAGGATTGGAAGGTGGTCGGTTGGTACTCAGTCGGAGAATTCTACGCTACCACTGAAGACTTCCGGGCGGCAATCAATGCTGCAGACTACAAAGTGCCTTCGCCAAATGTGCAGGGCGAATGGACTTCTACTGACAAGAACGGCGAGCCACTTCCACTGGATGATCAGCCGCCTCCTGTGTCTGTCGCGCAGGGCAACCAACGGTTCAAGATTGACCCCAAAGAGAACTACATTTCCTGGATGGACTTTGACTTTTACCACACTGTCTTCCATGATCGCGGCTTGTCGCTGTACAATGTCAAGTACAAGGGGCAGCGTATCTTGTATGAGCTTTCACTCCAGGAAGCATTGACAGCCTACACGGGATCGGACCCCTTCCAATCGCAAGCGACATACTTTGATACCACAAGCGGCATGGGGGCGGATCTACAGCCGCTTGTCCGGGGATACGACTGCCCAAGCCATGCCACATACCTGCCAGCCTCGTGGAACGAAGGCAATGGTACCAAGACCCAAGAAGACGCCATTTGCATCTTTGAGTTTGACGCTGGATACCCCATTCGCCGTCATTCTTTCTCCCAGGTGGCACCCCACACCAGCGTTGCAAAGAACATCCAGTTCATCATGCGCACTGTGGCGACCGTAGGCAACTACGACTTCATGATCGACTACACCTTCTTCTACGACGGCGCGATTGAAGTCTCATCACGCTTCTCAGGCTACATCTCAGCGACGTACTGGGAAAACGAGCCCGAGTACGGATTCCACATCCACGACTTCCTGTCGGGCAGCGCGCACGACCACACACTTACCTTCAAAGCCGACGTCGACATCCACGGCAGCAAGAACAGCGTGCAGAAAATCTCCTTCAAGCCCATTTCGACCGACTACCCCTGGAGCCAAGGCGAGGTATTCAACACATTCAAAGTGCAGCGCTCGTGGGTCGCCAGCGAGCGCGACTCCAAAATCAACTGGGCCCAAAACGACAACACCATGTACGCCGTCGTCAACAAGGATACGCCCAACCGCTTCGGCGAGTTCCCGGGCTACCGCCTCAAGAAGACTGCTGGCATAATCCACCTCACGCAATGCAACTCGACCAACAACGGCAAGGCCGGTGCGTACGTAACCCACGACTTTTACGTGACGCAGCAAAAGGATACAGAGCCCCGGCTTGCCGACCCATTCAACCAGTTCCAGAAGGACGACCCGCTGGTAGATTTCTCGACGTTTTTCGACGACGAGAGTCTGGAGCAGGAAGACGTGTAAGTATCCGCATCTCCCTCACAAAGCCTTCAACCTCGGAAATAAGGATTTTGCTGATTCCATTTGCTACGTATAGCGTCCTCTGGTTCAACCTCGGCATGCACCATCTCCCGCACACGGGCGACCTCCCCGTGACAATGTTCAGCTCCGCGCACTCGGCCATGCGGCTCGAGCCGCTGAACTACCTCGCGGGCGACCCGTCGGTGCAGAGCAGCCAGCAGATACGACTGGATTATGATGATGCGGGCGAGGTGGAGCATGTAGAGACGTTTGGGAGGGACGATGATATCGCTGCGTCTACTTGATGCTCTTGTCTCTTCTCGAGTATCCTGTTGTTTGTGTAAGTAAATGATTGGCGGGGGAAACACAGATATAGGGGTTTGAGGGAGGGAGAGGATTAAGCGGGAGGGGGTGTGTGTAGTGTATATTTTGGTGTGATGTGAAGATATGGGCTGTTGGGTGAGCGATGTGTGTGTGTATTCAATCTGAACAATACTTACTACTTATGCGCTTATATTGTCTATCCGTTTGACCTGTCTCGCAGCCCCAACACATTCATTTCTTGTTTGCGACTTGGTCCTTTATGTGGCATCCGTTTTTCATTGTTTCTTGGCATGGCTATGTTACGTCTAGTCCAGCATCAGTGTCCTGATTTTAGAGAGAGAGAAAATAAAAAGGGGAGGGGGGGGGCGGGTTTAACTGCTCCATCAGGCCTTGCTTTGGGAATCTCAATACATAGGGACTGGAACGTATGATGCAAGATCAGATAGCGACCGCTAGTTTGAAGTATATGTGTCAAAGAAGAAAGAAGGTCAATCTCTAATACCTTGGGCTAGGAACTGTACTGCGACAGTAGGGGAATGCGCTCGAACAGGCTAACGATGACGCCACCTTCATCACATAATCCAACACCAGCATCAATATTGACCTAACCATTATTTGCAGTATTGTCTCCAATATGAAGAGCCAGGTATCTATTAATATCATACCACTTGGATAATCATCAACCCCTTTCCCGCGCCCCCCATGCCATCCCTCAGATCTACACACAACCACATTTACATCTCTCTCACATTACCACGGCGCCCCTGCCCAACGGCCTAACATATTCCTTCCAGGTATCCAAAAACGCCCTTCGGTCCTTTTTATTGTTGAATTTGATTTCCAGCTCGGAGTAGCCAAAGCGATTCAGATGGGGTGGTGTTCGAGCGGGATTTGCGGCGCAGCGCAGAGCGCTCTTGAACGATTTTATCGAGGCGTCTGAAGCGACTGAGGCTTTTGTTGCGCAGCGGGTTGGGTCGGGTAGTTCCATGGAGTCGGTGCGTTTACGCGGCGGGGAGAGGGGCGCTGTGCTAGTGGTACTTGAGGATTTTCGGCGTGGGAAGAGCTTGTCGGTTGTCCATCGCGATGCGTCTTTAGAAAAGACCAGTGTGAGTTTCTCGCTTTCTTTCTTGAACGTGGCGTCTGTGAGCCATTCAAAGGCGTAGTGCGGCTCTTCGACCCAGTGGCCCTTGTCTTCCAGCGCGGTAGTGTAGAAGAGGAGGACCAGCACGTCGAAGGTGACGGGCCCGTCTTCTTCCACATGTGTTTCGGTGCGCAGCCACAGTCGGAGATTCCGTCCCCGTCACTCTGTCGGGTTCTTGTCTGACGAAATGGACAAGATCGGGCGATCGAATTTCAGTTCTGCAGCGTCGGCGCCGTTGTTGGTGTAGAGAAGCGTCTGGAATTTCTCGGCTGTCTCGTAGCCGGAAAACGTGTACTTGATATCTGTGTATTGCTTGTCTAATTTTCCAAAGGAGCCGCGGGGAAAGTCAATCGAGACGGCGCCATCTGGATATGTAGTCGTGAGCGGTATCGACGGGCCTGTGGCAGGGAAATGCTGTTCGATCCACGTTCTGAGTTTACGGTCTTGACTCGACTGATACACTGCACGGATCGTGATGCCAGTGTCTTCTCGGTATCGCCATCGGACATCGCAATCTCTGCTTTCAGCTCCGTACTTGACTGATCTCCGCTCGACCTGGGCGGATCGGCAGATACGTTTCCAGTCGAGTGCTGCCTCGCCTAGAGCCATAGTGGCTAGCGAAGTGCGAGACATGCTGCGCCGAAGACTGTAAGACGCGGCGTTGTCTGGAGTGCTCCCCCCAGAGCTCAAGTCCGCACCCGAGGAAACTGGTTGCGAAGCGGGTGAATAACTCACACTGCTTCTATTCGTGGAAACAGAAGGCGTGTGAGTCGCATTACACGAGGTTGAAGTATCTGTGGGTGACTCTGCCCAATCTATGGAACCGAAATATGAATCTCCATGCGGACTTCCAGCTTTAGGAGAGTAGGATGGCGTGTGTAGATTAGGTCGAATGGTCGCTGCAGAACCGTCCATTTGCTGTTCTTCAAAACCTGTAAAATTTCCCGAGTGGTCAGTCTCCAGTGTATATGTGCGCGCAGGCGCTGGGGGCATATTGCGGACTTCCTGCCTCATTGCGTCACTTGGGGAGAGGTGTGAACGCTTTTCAGCAGTCATACGTTTGGCGCGGTTTTCTTCGATCAGAATAGCGTCATCGACTTGCCGACGGAGATGATATAGTATGGCAGCTGTCTGAGCATCGTCGCTCGGTACGGCAGGGGGCGCATCGTCTGATGACAGCCGGCGAGCGAGTGCTGCTTCTTTCGCGATGCGTTCATCCTCATTTTGCAGCCAGCGATCAAAGATCACCCACTCGCTGAAAAGCGGGTGCTCATCTGGTGCGGGCAGCGCCAACGGTGCGTTTTGAGATGAAAATCCCAATGCGTTGCTCGAGTAAGAACGGCGCCCGAAAGTTACTGCACGTGGTGGCGCCGAGTCAAGAAGACGCTGAGTTTGCTTAGTTGCCTCGAGATGCAAGCGACTACAGGTCATTAGTCTTAAACACTGACACAGATTCTGCTAAGACCCACAGCTGCAGAAACGATATGCACATATGCAAAGCCTGGTAGTGGCCAGTGATTTGTTTCCTTAGCCCGTCAATCTCTTTCTCCATGCCCATGTATCTGATTGTGAAGATGAACTTCTTAACGCCCATCTTCTTATCAACCAGGTGATCGGCATAAGGGTCGAGGGTCTTTTCGCATCTCTTGAGCGTTGCCTCGAAGTCTTTGACGGGAAAAGGCATGGGCTGGCCATATTGTTTCATCAGCTCGGCCAACTCGAACAAGCAGGTGTGAAAGGTGGTGAATTCTTTCACCATTGCGGAGACTTGCGCCTCCGAATTCTCATTGGCATCTGGGCGCGAATCAATATGGAAATCTTTGCCATACAGCCATAGTCAGTGACATACCTTTGAAAGCGAGGTATACCCGAGTCGAGATCTCCAGGAGTTTCAACACGTCTGACGGACTACATCCGAAAGACATGTTCGCTGTCTTGTGCCGCGCTGAAGCGCAACACTAGCAATGTAAAGTCTGCTCATGCACTATGGAACTGCTGCCATCCAGCGGAGAACAAATGGAGGGAGCACGAGGCTCCCAGAGAAAACGATGGGTTGTAGGGAGGGCCTCAGCTTGCGCCCGGTTTCCGAGCACGCGCCTGGGCAGGCTACTCCAGAGTGAGACGGCTGCGGCATATGGGGTGGCTCAGCACATTGTCTGACCGTAGAGTGTGGGCGAGGCACGCGCTGTTCGAAGCCTCACAAAACAGATAGTAAGATTGCCTATTGCGAGCTTGTCAGGGGGCGGGAGAACGCTCGTGTTGATACTGTGGCGTTGCCGAGGCTGGGACGACGTTCAATGAGATGTCGAAGAACACCACGTGGGGAGGTGAACGGCCATCGCCAACCACCACAACAGCCTCCCCTCATTACCCGCAACAACGTGGCTCTATCATAGTTAGACCGGAGTAGTCGTTTGTTTCCGCGGAACCGGTTTCGGCATAATCGAAACTGCATGGCCTCCTTTGCCCTGACATCTGCCCATTGAAGAATCCCGGAGCGCGACTTGACTCAGATGAGAGGACGGCAGAATCACTCGTACTTTGTCCGAGTATGGTGACCGCGGACCCAAGGCTGTCCATATCGAGTCTGCAGTGTGCTCATGCAGCCATGGACGCCACCAATTCTGATTTCGGCGAGTATGGCAGGGTTGATTATGAACGCAGCAAGTGAGAGAAGAGTACCAGCCCGTATTTCTGCCTTTTTGTTGACCGGTCTGCCTTGTTGATGGAGGCAGTGCAAGCGTGCTGGTCAAGTGTGTTCGGGATCATTTACACCTGTGGCTGGGGCTTTGCACATCTAGAATATTAACGAGGCTGTCCCGAAACGTACTTACTACAAGAGTGACGCACAGCTGATCAATTGTGTACCAGACACATCCGAGCATTCTGATCAACCTCTTGAGAGTTATTCTTGCAAAACTATGGGCCTCCGAAACTGGATTACGCGACCTATAAAAGGCCATCACATTGGCGTCGAGGACCTAACTGCCGGAGGAAGCGGAATTCCTGTAAGTTCCCATTTGTCATTTTGAAATGTTCATGTATGCCCTGTTTCGATATCCTCTCCAGTCATCGGCTGACAATGATGTCAGGAAATAAGAAGGCGGCGATGGACACTGGCCACAATCGATGCCGCGCCCTTTCAGATATGGGTGGTTGTAGTCGCCGGTATAGGGTTTCTGACCGACGCCTTTGGTCTGTTCGCGCTGAATGTCGTCACACCGATGCTGGGATACGTATACTGGCCACATAACCCCCAGAGTGATACTCCATCGGTAAATTCAGAAGTAAAGACTGCGATGATGTGCTCAACGCTCGCTGGTACAATGATCGGACAGATAGGATTCGGCTTTGCCGCAGATAGGCTGGGCAGACGAAAAATGTATGGACTTGAACTGGTCATCATCATAGTCGGTACGATGCTGCTGCTGATGAGCTCCAATGGCGAAAAGAACAGTATGGCTATTGGGGGGTGGTTAATTACTTGGCGAGCAATCATGGGTATGTGTTGATGTGACCACCACAGAAAAGGTAGCTGATACGAAGCAGGCATTGGCATTGGTGCTGATTGTCCCCTCAGCGCTGTAAGTTGCATTTGTGTTTGACAAACCAGGACTGATTGCGTGGCTAGGTGATCACGGCCGAGTTTGCGCCTCGAAAACACCGCGCGAGGATGTTGAGCTGGGTCTTCTTCGCTCAGCCTGTAGGGCAGCTACTTGCCAATGTCTTATCGCTAGCGGCCGTGGAAGCATACAAGCCATGGATCGAGAAAGTTGGACCGGCATGTAAAGACAATGACTTCGAATGTTTCCGAGCCATCGACCGGCTCTGGAGACTGGTCATAGGTATCGGGGTCGTGCCAGCTACCATTGCTCTTGTCTTCCGATTTACCATCCCGGAAAGTCCACGGTATATGCTGGACATATTGCAGAATACAAAGGGCACCCTCGAAGATACCGCAAACTATTTTGGCGCGCCCGAGGTAAATCCAGAGAACGGTGAAGCCGAGATGTCCGATATACTACAGCATGCAGCCCCAACACGCCCGATATCATGGCATTCATCCAACTGCTCCGAAATCGCACCGGATGAGATTGTCCACAGCGATGACGAATCTATCCATCGCATAAGCAATGAACAAAGCCGTCCGAATGCCTTGCAGGCCACCCAACCATCGCCTGGTGATCCTGACTTTGTTCCTCCACTCGCTTCGTGGGCAGATGCGAAGAAATTCTTCATAACTGAGAAGAACTGGCAATATCTTCTGGGAACTTCTCTAGCCTGGCTGTTCCTTGATTTTGCGTGTAAGTGAGCCGATATGTGGCAGTGGCACACCACTGACCTTGTCGCAGTTTACGGATTAGGACTTTCATCGCCGAAAATCGTTAATCACATCTGGGAAGCAGATCCTGATAAGAAGCAATCAGTATATGAAAGCTTGAGTGGCAACAGCAAGCACACCCTGGTCATGGTCTCGATTGGAACAGTCGTGGGCGGGCTCTTGATGATCAAACTCGTCAAGTATGTCTCGCCAAAGGTCATCCAGTTTTGGGGCTTCGTGGTTCTTTTCGTCCTCTTCATAGCAACAGGAAGTGCGTGGACGACACTATTGGATAACAGTCGATCTGGCCTCATTATCCTGTATGTGCTCAGTCACATTGCGTTCAACCTCGGACCGAACGTAACAACCTTCATCATTCCTGCTGAGATTTTTCCGACAAGGTACCGCTGCACATGCCACGGTATAGCTGCAGCTAGCGGGAAGCTGGGCTCATGGGTCGTCCAGATCTTCATCGCCTACGCCTTTCAGTCTGATAAGAAGGGCCAGGGCAATCTCAAGTGGGAGGAACGCAGGGATTTTGGCCACGTCCTGCAGGTTATGAGTGCGTTCATGCTTGCTGGTGCCGTAACGACTTATTTTCTGGTTCCCGAGACCAGGGACCACGACAATAAGAGCCGGACCCTGGAGGTGTTGGCATGTGGCAAGAAGATGATTGATGAGCTTAATCGTCAACGGAAGAAGGAGGACGAAGATGAATGAGTATAGAAACCGTGTGTATTTCATTCCTTTGTACAATGAGCCTATTTCGAGATTTGATCACACCGTGGAGTAGAGAAGTGGAAAGGCTGGCTGTCTCGGACAATCGCTCATCGTGGCGTTTACACTATTCCCGTATTGGCACTAGTGTATCTTTCGGGCGCCCGCATGAGATCGTGTATGTAAATAGCTTTCTACGCAAACCTTATATCTCTAGCGCTAGTGTAGCCGCCGAGCCCCAAGTGACATCGGACGTAATTCGGTTAGTTTACTTGGAGTCTTTGATGAATATGTGTCAAGTGTAATAGCCCAACGACAAGTCAAAGTGTACTTGTACCAACCACCCTAACATCTTATCATCATATGGAGGTTTCATTCCTCGCTCCAGTGAAAGCTGCTTCTTGATCAAAGTTTTCTGTTTTCCTAGATACCTTCTGCAATAGTGTATCGCCAAAAATGCTTCCATACCGGTCTCATTCAACCCCATGCGGTAAACTTGAGAGTTCCAAAGGTTCTAGATGCTCACGGCACTGAGTGAAACGATGATGACCAGGTACTATCTAAATATCATCCTGGATTTGGCAAGAAGCAAGCATGATATCCTGGCTGCAATGCGGAGGGTGCCCGGAGACGAGAATGAATACTGGTGCTGAGACCCTTTCTTTGTAATGACGCGGAATGGATCATCAGGGTGAGAACAAATGGGAAATGTCTAGTCCCAAGCAAACTTCTTGTGAAGATGACAAGAATTGCATGCTATCCATATCCTTGCCGTCTCGGGATGCGTGGCGCGCAACACGTGTAGACGGGGGTCTCAGACCAACGAGGCTGAATCTCAGACGACCCAAGAATGTCTCTGATTACACAGCAGTACAGCTTCGCATCTACATGTATAAAACTCACCTTTCAGTGGTTAGAAAAATGGCCATATCAATAGATACGTAAAAATGGTTACGGACCACTCTTTCTGCGGCCGCCTCCGCCGTCTCCTCGGACTGCCGTCGCTGCTCGAGAAAACCAAGTTCCTTATCCTCCAAGACGAACAAGGCTATGGCGAGCGCATCGGTTTTTGGCGGTGCAACTGCGGACACAAAAACACCATCCTGCATCTGGCCGAGCCATGCCTCCATCCCCTCGGGCTCCTCCAATGCCGCGCGTGTCCACTCAACTGGTGCCCGCCCATCCCCGCAGTCTTCACCACGCAGCGCCTCAACATCACTTCGCACAAGCCCATGTCGAATGCGGCAAATACGGTGCGCGCAGTCCCGGAACTGCAGACCCTGGCGTCTACCCACATTTACGTGTGTCTGGGGTACGGCTGCGGGCTCAGCTGGCGCACCGACATCAAGGCCGAGTGGCTAAGTGGTCACAAGAGACGGGTACTGTTGCTGGGCGGAAAGCGGGGAAAGCTGCATTGCGACTGTGGGATGAAGATCTTTGAGCCAGGAAACTATCACGTGTTTGAGGTTGGGCCTCTCATGGCGAACTTTGCTTCGGCCTTTTCCAGAATGGCCATGGGTGGTGGTAGTGGTGGCGAGGGTAGTAATAGCGCCGGCGAAACCCAGCCTAACGGTATCGCGGATAATACTGGTTCTGGGCTTGACGCTCAATCTGGGCAGCAGGCACGTGGGGGTGGACTGATCGACTAAGCATCTGTATGTTCGTAGTGGTGGTGGTGGGGTGGTGGTGTGGTAAGGATAAAAGGAGTCCAGATAGTGGCGCGACGTCAGTGTAAGCAAGCTTTTGTTGGACTTTGCATTGAATCCTGTAGTGTAGATTAATCGGATTGTATTCTCGAGATTAGATTTGTAACAGCGAAGCTTTACCAACGTCGACTCGTAACGCGTAAGATGGCTCCCCCCTGGTACTAGAAGAGCCGCAGAAGGACGTCCAGGACGGAAACTGGGCCCCAACAACGTTAGCCATGTCAAGGCCTGCCAGCCGCTTAACCTTCCCAAGCCTTAGCGTTGCTGAGGGGCCCCAGGCGATAACGACGCGCCATTTAACTCGAATAAGCAGCCCCCGAAAACCCACCACTCTGTGTATCACGCCTACCTGCAACCATACCACTACGATGCTGCATCCTAGCCGGATTGCGTACAAGCCCCGCCATAGACGTCCCGTCAATACGAAGAATAAGACCCTCGGCCTTTTCCCCACCAAACGTGCTATCTCCCCCCAAAAGCAAGTGCGGAGCAGAGGCAAAACCTAAAAGAAGCACCCCTAGTCCATGGACCAGCACACCACCCAGCAGCAGATGCATCCAGCAAAACACGCCAAAAGTATGCATACATGCATGAGACGGGCAAAATGTCGGAGCAAAATTACGTCACGCAAGGTTTTTTAATATAGCGTTGGCTGCGTGCGAAAGGATTCTTCACCAACCCAAAAGCTTATCAAGTCTTGATATCTGTCTTATCAGCACCGGGCCTATCATCAGCAAGCATCATCTCACTCGACCCTTGCAATCCGCAAACTCTCCGTTGCCCTCCGCACGGAAGGCATAGTGCGGCTGGGCGCGCGTTCTTGGGTTGCATGCTCGACTAGGCGTGATCCAACCACGGGCAGGCATGGCCTTGACGTCTGACCACATGCGGCCAGCGTCGTATCACCAAGGGCCCTGGCGCCTTTGAAGAGCGTGGCCTGGCAAGTCGGGGGCGGCGCATTGCTGCTTCATAAGTAACGCGTCGGTACCTGCATTGGCAACTGTTCTCCCCAGTTCCCACCCTCCTTTGAGACCTGCGACGCGGAGCGCAACCATGGCGGAGAAGAAAACAGAGTACACCATTGGTCAGCCAGACGCCGAGTATGGCGTTGGCCATGTCCATGAGGCAAGTCGACGAAGGAGCTCAGCTGTTGCACCTGCGGCTGTGGCCGAGGAGATCTTCGACGAGCGCTACGAGACAACGCAGCGAGGCCTCAAGTCACGGTATGTCGCCCTTCCTCCCCTAGTCTCTCGCGATGAACGGACTTCTAAGACACACGTTCTCTCCACAGCCATGCGCAGATGATTGCCCTGGGTGGCACAATCGGAACCGGTCTGTTCGTCGGTAGTGGCCAAACGCTTGCTCGCGGTGGCCCAGCCTTCATCCTCGGAAGCTACATCTTCATGTCAGCGCTGATCTTCTGCGTTGTGGCCGGCATCATCGAGGTCGCGGCCTATCTTCCCACTCCCGGTTCTTCGATGAACCTGTTCGGTGCCCGCTACGTCTCGCGCTCCATGGGCTTCGGTCTCGGCTGGCTCTACTTCTACTCGCTGGGTATTCTCGTGCCGTACGAGATCACCGCTGCCGGTCTCGTCATCGACTACTGGCACCCATCTGTCAACATTGCCGTGTGGATTTCCATCATGATTGTCGTCATTGTCGGCTTGAACTGCTTTCCCGTCAAGTTTTATGGCGAAACAGAGTTTTGGTTCGCCGGCACGAGTACGTGAAAATCCCATGTTTAAATTAATTGTGAGGCGGATACTGACTTGGCTCGCCATGGTGTAGAAGTCATCATGATTATCGGACTGCTGCTTCTGTCCTTTATACTCTTCTGGGGCGGTGGCCCTCACCACGACCGTCTTGGATTCAGATACTGGAAGAACCCCGGCGCAGCGAACACGTATCTTGAAAAAGGCGACGCAGGACGCTTTGTTGCTCTGCTATCCACGCTGGTCTTGTCTGCCGTACGTATGCCCTATTTCGTTTACCACCAACACTGTAGCTGACAAAACGACAAAAGTTCCCTTTTGCCTTCGCCCCCGAGCTCCTCGTCGCCACGGGCGGAGAAATGGAATCGCCGCGACGCAACCTGCCCACCGCCGCGCGCCGCTACATCTACCGTCTCGTCTTCTTCTACATCTTCAGTGTTCTCGCCATTGGCGTCATCTGCCCGTCCAACGACCCTATCATCACATCAGGCGGCGCAGGCGCAGGATCCTCGCCATTCGTCGCGGGCATCAAACGCGCGGGCATCCCCGTGCTCGACAGCATCATCAACGCGGGCATCATCATCAGCGCCTGGTCGTCGGGAAACTCGTTCCTCTTCCTCTCCAGCCGCAGTCTGTATGCGCTCGCGCTGTCGGGCAACGCCCCCAAGATCTTCAAAACCTGCACAAAGTCCGGAGTCCCGTACTACGCCGTCGCCGCATCGTCCGTTTTCTGCGCCCTCGCCTACCTGAACGTCGGCTCTTCTTCCGCCGTCGTCTTCACCTGGTTCGTCAACCTGACCAACACCTCTGGCTTCATCTCGTGGATCTGCTGCGGCATCATCTTCCTGCGGTTCCGCAAGGCGTGCGATGCCCAGGGCGTCACCGACCTGCCGTACCGGTCGCCCGTCGGCAAGATCGGCGCGTGGATCGTCATTGTCGCCTTTACCATTTTGTGCCTCATCAACGGCTTCGACGTGTTTTGGCCCGAGAAATGGAACGTCAGCTCCTTCTTCACCGCCTACGTCGGCATTCCCATGTTCTTCTTGTTCTACGGCGGTCACCGCATCTGGGCGTGGGGAGACTCGTGGGCCTACGACCCGCTTACTGTGGATCTGCAGACGGGACTCGACAGGATCTTGGCAGATGAAATTCCACCCAAGACGGTTCAGGGGCCGTGGTGGAAGAAGATTACGCTCATCTGGCAGTAAAAGGCGGTGCTCGAGGGGGGTTCAGGGAAAAAAAAATGTGAGGGGTGCGAATCTTCAAAGTGTAAAAACTTTTTGTGTATCCTTGTTTTTTTTTTACCACCATCTTTGGTATGTCGGCCATGATCGAAATATCATACATGTTCTCGATTGGAATCGATAAACTCTTTTTTTTCTTGCCCCTCCCCACAATGTGTCTGATCTCAAGCCCGTTTGTCCTGGTTTTCACCACGTCAAGTGCTTCCGCGGCTGCTGCATCACGGGGCGCGGGACACAGCCCCACGAGCACACGCTGACTTTGAGCGGATGGAAGACGGCCAGGCCAGCGCTCCAGAACTCGATCCACTCTGCGCGCGCCACGACGTACTTCTTGCGGCACACGTGACACTCACGGAACACGCCATAGCCGCCAGCAGCGTTCCTTTCCGCCCTGTCGAGAATCAGTTCGGCGTCGCGCGGGATCGAGTATTCGCCATTGTCGCTGATCATGCGGCGGACGTCTTGCACCGTATCCATGCAAAGCGAACTCGTCAAGGTTGTTGTGACGAGTGAAGAGACTTTGGAGGATGCCGGCGGGACGAACCAAGACGAGGACGGGACGCCATAAGTGCCGCGATTTGTCTCGACGATGACGGGGTACTTTTCGGTGTCCGAGCATGGGAGAGAGGGCGAACCGGGGAGCAGAGTGCCTGTCTGATCATAGTATGAGACGAGGGTCCGGGCCATGTAGCGAGGCGCGCGAGTCATGGATTCTTCTCGGTGCAGGTCCTTGATGTAGAGGGCAGGGTGATGTGGGTAGAAGCCCTCGTCTTTTTCAGTCCCGCACATTTGCGCCTCGTCTGCGCCACCGAACGAGTTGGCCCAGGACTCAAAGTACCGAATGCGCCAGACAGTTTGGTCGCGATCTTGGCATGTTGCGAGCGACTGGTAGAGGTGCGCAAGTTGGGCGATTGCGTCAGCGCGTTCAATGTCGAGGGTACGAGTATGTGGGTTGTGTTGGCTGGCCTGCGGCTTCTGCATATAATCCGTCTTGAGGAAGCGCTGGCCTGTCATTGGCTCTAGAATCTCAGTGCCCATGGTGGTGAGGACCCTTAGCTTGCCGTGCGGTTGGAGGAGGTTAATTATGTCAAAAGGGAGGTACTTGAGCTTGTTGTGTGAAAGGTACAATGCTTCTAGCCTCACAAGCTGGCGGATCTCTTGCGGGAGCTCTTCAATTTCATTCTCGCGCAGGGAGAGGCTGGTGAGGTCGGTGATGGTGAAGAGGGAGGGAACGAGGCGACGAAGGCTGTTCTTGTTGAGAGTGATGCGGATCTCAGGCTCGAACGAGCGGAACTGCTGTTCGGTGGGACGTTCGCTGTCGTTGATCAGTGGGTCCCTGATGACATTCTTGAGCTCGCCAATGCGAGAGATGTCGGCGTCTTGAAGCCTCTGCCCTTCGAAATCATACACTTCCTGGTTCCTGTCCAGACCCTCGTCAATCTGGCGGTTGAATGCGCGCTGGGCGGGACTCGAGATGATGGTGGGCATGGCACGGGCGGCGGCGACTGAGTGGTAGCGGGGCACGTCCAATTTCATCTGTTGGTCGTCACTGGAGTCGGAGCACATGGCGTCATCTGCGTCGTCGGCTTCGTCGGGAAACGGCGACTTGTGGGGCGCGGGGAGGTCCTCGAAGCTGTCGGTCGCGTCGCTGAGCATGTAGACGCCCGAGTCAAAGTTGCGGTCGAGGTTGCGCGAGAATTTTGGCTTCTTGACTTCTGGGCTGTTGTGGGCCGACTCGTGGCGGTCCCACCACGCGCCCTTGCGTTTGTTCTTGTGGATGCGCGGCGACTCATAGTTGGTGATGTCGACAGACTCGCGCGAGTCGTCGCTGGAGAAGAGCGGGGGCGGCGAGCTCGACTTGGAGGCGAAGGCGACGTGGTCGGGCTCGAAGAATGGCGGGCTCTGCGGGCTGATGCTGCCCATAAGCGGTGGTGACGATGGGGGGATGGCGTCGCCGTCCATGGCGGAAAGAAACTCCAGGGGAACTGGGTAAGGGTTTGGGGAGAATCCGGCGAGTCCGGCGAGGGTGAATGGTTCTCTCGTGGCTTGTGCGATGAAGGTGATGTGGAACTTGGACTGCAACTGCAACTGGAACTGGAGAGGTCGGGGGCGGGACGACGCGTACTAAGTTTCCGCGGACGCGACGCCCCGCCAGGCTGCCGAGCCAAGCCAGGGTCCCGAGGCAATGCCGTCATGTTCGCTGCAGTCCCGCGCGCGCTGATAACGCCGCCACGTGCTCTGCTGGCCTGCTCCACATCCCATATCCACCCCTCTCCCCAAAACATGCCAGGACTTCGGCGCATGCTAAACCAGCAACATCAGCACTAATACCAGCCATCTCGCGCACGACCGTGACAGCCCTCGGTCGAGTGCTGCGTGCAAACACCCACCTACCGAGATACTCCCGATAGTACCCATACTGCCATATGAGGGGCTCCATGGAAAAGCAAGCATGGCATGGTGATGAGAGAGCGATGGTGATACATTTAAATTGACGTCTTGCGGCGTGGGCTGGCCATTGCCAAAAGGAAACAAAGGAAGCGGGCTCCAGCCGCCGATCCTGGCCTTATGCATATGTGCGCTTATAACCCCCCCATCCGCCGCAGGGCTACATTCGGTACCAGCCGTCCCTCCATGCCCACGTCTTTAGCCTCCAACGGCTCGCCCTTGGACATGGCCAGCTGCGTCATGACCTTGCCCATCTCCCTGGTGGGCGTCATCATGCTCTTGTAGAGCAGGTTCATGGGCCCAATCAGAACCTTCTTGTACATGTCTTGCTTGGGGATGAATGCATGGATCTCTGCGTGGTTTGTCCAGTCGACCCCTCCTGGTCGCACGTTGTATACCCTAAACATGGGCTTCTGCTTGCCCAGTTCGACCAGCGCCGATTCAATCTCGCCCTTGACACGTCCAAACAGAGGCGTAAAGATGCCCGGAGATTGTGTGGCGCCTTCGCCCGACACATGGACAAAGGTAAATGGCGAGTCGGGGTGCAGCGTGGCAAAGGCGCGCGCCGCAGCGAGAGGGTATTCATGGGTGATTTCTTGGTACTGCCTGCGATCATGGTTGTAAACACCTGCGGCCCCGTCTTTGCATGTGTATTATACATGGGCTGGCTACATACTCCTTGGTAACGGCGTTCTGCGATATGCCCTGTGCCCAGACACATCCATGCGCATCCTTCAGCTCGTCGAGGAGCGCCTGGTCGTAGTTTTTGAAGTCGTTGTGTATGATGACATTGGCCTTGGCGTGGCCTTCTGCCATCTTGACGGGGCGTCTGCTGAGGATGGAGATGCGGCTGATGCTCTCTTGCGCCAGCATGTTGTGGAGGACCGACGCGCCAACGAGGCCCGTCGCGCCGGTGAGGATGAGATGCATCTTGGCGCCAAAGTTTCGCTGCGTGCTGATTGTCTCGGTGTTGTTGAGCAACAAGTTGAGAGAGACTGCTTGCCGCCTATATACTCAGGCAGCCAGGCGAGGCGAGCCACCAGCACCATCAGCACCATCGGCATCGGTCAGGCTGTACCATCAGGCCTATCTCCGAGCAGGAGCGGCACAATGGCCATGTCCGTTTTCGCGCGCACACGATGCGGTGCAGCGCCAGCCACTGGAGATAGCGATATGTCCGGCAGAGAGAGAGAGAGGATGGTGTTGAGGGGGACACAGGCCGCTCCCACTCCGGCCATCGTCCGTAGCGCGTCACGTGCAGCTCGGCCAGCGCCCGGGCGGATGACTAAGCGGACGGCGGCCAGGGGAAAGTCACCACGAGCATGCAGCCCCCCTGGACCTGACTTGCAGCTTGCACAGCCCCCCGTCCCTCGACCCTGGAAGCGACATCGACGCGTCTGTTATCGCATGACGGCCTTCGCATTGAAAATTCCGCTCCGCTCTCAGCGTCCTCTCTCAATGACAGGCTCCGATGCTTTTGCCGGCCCCTGGCGATCAGCTGCGGGCCGGCTTTGGGTGCTGCCCGGGCCAGGCGGGCGACCAGGTACAAGGCAGCTCCAGCATGATTGAACGCCCAACACTTCTGCCGCTACAGGTGGATATCTTCCGCTCCCCTCCCGCCCGCGACCTCTTCTCCCCGTGGCCCAGTCTCTTCTGTCCTCTACTTACCGCGTTCCCTTCTTTCCTTCGTCGTGGCTAGGACATACTCGCAGCCATGGCAGCCATGGCACCCCCAGCCGCCTCAACGGCTACCGCGGACCGCCGCATCGTCCACCAGATCCTACGTCACCTCTCCGATATGAAGTACAGGGATCGCCGTCAGCGCGGGTCGGATGAACCCGTCGAATTCCTCGAGTTTCGCCCAACACTGGTGCCTTCGATTCTCGTCAACAAGCTATGGGCAGACGAGGGCACGTCCATTCTCTGGAGACGTTATCCACACCTTCCTGCTCTATACGACATGCCCGTGGATCGGCGCCAATGGTATGCGGACAAGGTAGAGCGCCTGTTCGTACCCAGCCCCACCGACAATGGGGTTGGCCTGGCCTACTTGCAGGGCCTGGACTGGCCGAGCCTGGAGACTCTCGAGTTGGACATTGACTGGAGGAAACACAACAAACACATAGGTTCCATGCTGCATGCAGGGCTCCAACATTTGAAATTGCTCGGGCCACAGAGCAGTGATTTGGGCGACGTCACTCACACTGTCCTGTCTGCGCTGTTCAAGCAATGTCCCAGCCTTCGCAGTGTACACATCGGCCCGGATGCAATCGACCCTCGGGACCCGGTGCGCAGCCAGGAACTCATGGACCTACTCGACTCTGCATCAACTGTTACTGACATTTGTATCATGAATGCCGCTGTGCTGGACAAGGACAGAATCTTCGAACGCCTAAGCCAGCGGTCAGGTCTCGAAGCCCTGCAAATCGACCTCGATCCCGGGCTGCAGCTATTACCTTGTTTCACAGGTCCTAGCGCCCTCCCCTCCCCGTTTCTCACTCTCAGGCGTCTGCAAGTCATGTGCTATCCGGAAATCGCCATTGCTCTGCCATCTCATCTGCAGCTCATCGAAGACTTGCACATTGACGTCGCAAGGGTACCCACCCACGTACGCCAGGACAATGACACAACCACTTTAAATGATATCATCGACGAATTGGCACAGTGCAAACAGCTTCAATCGTTGCACATAAACATTGGTCAGCTCGCACTTGACTTTCCCTCGGCTATATCATGCCCGTCGCTCTCTGGTCTCACACTCACTCGGCTTGCTGCCGGCTGTTCAAAGTTGCAAAATCTCAATCTTCTTACCACAGCGCCAGGTGCTATTGACGGTTCAGCCATCTCAATTCTCCAGTTTGAAGAATTTTGTCAAGGCTTACCGCAGCTGGCGAGCCTCAGCCTGAAGCTCCACCCACAAACAGCCATTGAGTTGGAGTCGACAGCGCTTCAGAGCCTAGGGAGAAACTGTCCACTGCTCGAGACGTTGCGCTTGAGGATCTCGTTGCATCTGCCAGATTTACCGATGCACATCGAGCCTTTGCCGTTGCACCCAATCGACGCCTTGTCTCAGAACCCGATGGATACGGAGAGAGCCCCACAAACGCCTTCGATCACCATCAACGACGACCAAAAAAATGCCTCACTTCAGGTTGGACATGTCACTGGGTCTAAGACACCTAGCGTGCCTCTTTTCCCTAACCTCCGACACTTCGCTCTCGCACGGCCCCAATCCATTCTTTCAATCGCAGGGAATAGTTACGCCGCATCTTCAACCTCTCGGACAGGATCCTTTGTGGACCCTCTTGTTGAACAGAGTCTCGTCGAGTCGTGGGCTCAACCACTCGCAGCTCACCTCCCTCGTCTTGAAGTATTGGAGGCTTGGGGTGACTGGACAGGGCACGACAGCGAAACACTCAACTACTTCTTACCACTCGAGGAAGTGCTAGCGACAACATGGGAGTTTCTGAGCGGTGTAGAGCAAGACCTATGGGATGAAGAAGACGTTGGCGAGGTCGACAGCGGCTCCGAATGGAAAGAGAACCGTACAGACCGCTTCAGTATGACAAGTGTAGACTGGGACTTGGCCAGCCTTGTGAATGAATTCAGGGCTGAGGAAGATTTTGACAGCCGCCACTTTTTGGATACCTACGATGAGGAACCAGAGGACATGGTTACACCCGTAAGAATTCCCAACGAGGAAGACGCCTACTTTGGGAATCCCAGCGCCAAGATCACACCTGCTTCAGACGCTGCAATAGTTACTCTTGGACCAGAGGCGGTTACTTGTTCAGTTTAGACACAGCTCACCAGGAGAAGATACGTGATGGAACGTGATACTCTCAAGACGATGAGGAAGCGACTGGTTTTCAGGACAAGTATTTTTGGCTGTATCTGATCTATGTGCGTTTAGGGTAAATTTAGAGGTAAGGCCAAGAAGACGGGTTGACGTCAGAATTGAAACTTAATAGCACAGTCCATCTTCGCTTGCTGAAAACGTTCGCTATCCCCCAGCCACCCTAGTCGAGTTTTCGGGTTACATCTTGTCCCCTTACACGAATTCGCATAACCGAGGTATGCGCGTATTGATGTGGGTTGGTCTTGTCCATCCAATCTGCACACGCAATCAAGTCGTCCTTTTCCACAACGCCATCTCGGCCCACTCTGCACTGCGGTTGGCGTATCTGATGTAGATAATGCCAATCATGCGCCGAGAAGATGTGCCGCGCTCCACTTGTTTGGCATCGTCTTGATTCCGAGAAGCCGGGAGTGGTGATCGGGAAACACAGATTGTCTCAGCATTCTAAAACGCCTCAGACCCACGCCATGTGCCAAGCAATGGCATGACCCAGTTTTGGCGCCTTGTACCAGCGCTTCTCACCAGGTGGCATGGGATCCAGTCGGCAGCCGGTGAGCGGCAGGCCATTGTCCGAGGATACGCGCTTGCATTGCGCCTCTCCCAATGGTAATGCCTCTTGACACGAATCTCTCCAGAAGCACGCGTCTTGCTCATGAACAGAGATTCGAGAACAAGTTTGTTTCTATGCAGGGGCAAGTTGGAGTAGCTTGTGCCGATCCAATGCCAGTCACAACATTTCCATCTGTTGCCCGCTTCGGCTCGTTGTTGTCACCCTTGTTTTTCAGTCCTCCCAGGAGCCAGCCTACGACGGAGGACTCGCAATCTAGTCGCCAAACAGCCTTAGAATCCCACCTCGGCAACTATGAGACTATCGGCCCTCTTTCCATGGACAATACAACGTCTCGGCATCTTTATCCTCGTCTTCGGCGCTCTTATACAGCAAGCCTGCACAGTACCACATGGCGTCCACGTACGCCAGACACCACTTTCGCTCCTCAAACTACCTGACTGTGCACTGCGATGCTTTGTCAACCACGTAGTCGCAGACAACTGTGCGGTTATAACCGACTTTGCCTGCCACTGCGGAGATGAAAGTCTTTTCGACTCATATTCAAGCTGCATCGCGCAACGCTGTGACCAAAGCCTCAGAGAAAATGCCATGACTGCACTAAGGGAAGACTGTGGCAGTAGCCTGAATACCAACGATGTCACCAAAGCCAACGGTACAACACCTGTGGATGCCAGCCCAAGGATAGGAACCAGAAATGCCACCAGCACTGGCACAAGTCAACTTTCCAGTATGACAACAAACGAAGCAGAGCCTGCACAGTCGAGCGAATTGAGGAGCAGCACTTTGATAACGAGCACTTCCAGCCAACAATTGAGCGTGGTAGTCCAGACGACAATTGTATCCATCACAACAACCGAGACCTCACGTGCCACGCTATCACCTGCTCAACCCACGTCGACGGAGACAGAGGTACAAATCTCGCCTATTGCCCAATCAACGGAGCTCTCCCACGCAGCAAGAGCCGGTATAGGTGTCAGCGTCGCCGTAGTCGCTTCCGTCGTCACCGTCGGCCTAGGCTGGTACATCTGCCGTCTGAAGCGCCAGCTGCACGCCGCACAGGAAGTCATTATCGCCCGGACAGACCTCATGGACCGCCACGACGCAGCCGTGCCTCTTCCACCACCACCCACGGCGCGCACGCGCCAGTGCGTTCGAAGCTGGCTTAGCACCAACGCAGAGCCCGTCAGCCCGATATCAGCGCATCCGCGGCCCATGGAAGATGGCCCGACCACCATATCCAACATTGGATACGGCATGGTGCTCAAGAAGCGCGGCGAGATCCTCAGCATCTTAATTGAGCGCGAGGGCGAGGGCGACGAGTATGCCGAACGTGTGGTGCGCGAGCCGGTGCCGGGTCAGAGAGAAGGCCTCACGTCGCCGTTGGAGCTGGATGGTATAGCGACGGGCTTGTTTGAGATGCCGGCTGTTGTTACGCCGAGGCGCAGTATAGAGCGGTAGGTAGGTGAGTGAGCCGGAGATGTTTCTCTTTTCTTTTCCTTTTCATGTCCTTGTTACGAATGAGCGACGGTTCTTTTTTTGGCCAATGAGACCATGTACTTTTATCATGTGATTCCCAATCAAACTTTTTCTTTTTTTTTCTTTGAGTCCTGGGGTTGTGTCTTTTTGGAGGTTAGTCTAGGGAGGAAGGTGGAGGGTCAAGTGTGGTGGACAAGGTGGGGATGTGGCCATGTATGTGTGAGTGTTTGAATTCACAGTACTTGCGCCTATTATGATATGAAGACTGTTAAGATTTTCTTTATCTGCTTTACGATCTTGAGGCAGCCTTTTTTCTTTGCACAGTGCAGATGGCGTGTTTCCAGGCGGAAGAGGGGGAAATTGCAGGTTTAGATTATAGAGAAACAAGAGTTGGACGTATCAATGATATGGTTGGTTGGTTGATTGATGCAATGATATGATGTCCGTTTCTCCTCGCGCATTCTGGTCTGCTCACTGCAAGTGTAGATAAGAGTGGTATACGCTTTGTCTGCTATGCCCCGCTCACATGCTTTCATAACAGGAGAGAGAGAAAGAGAGAGTATGAGTTTTATTACCCCGCTCGGCGTTTGACGCTCTGCAAACAGACTGGGTATATAACACTCAACTCTGATTACCACTCCAACCTCTCTCTCTACACCTTGGGACCGAGCAATATAACATCAATCCACCAGCAAAAATGAAGCTCTTCACTCTCACCACTACTCTCCTTCTCCTCCTCAGCCCCGCCATCGCACTGCCCACGTCTGTCAGTTCGCTCTCGCAAGCCAATACCGATGCAGCAAGCACCCAGCCAGCATGCAAGCCATCCTGCCAGGCCTATACCGATGAAAGAAAATACTGGTGGCACCAGCGCAATCTAGCTTACGTCCGTTTTCCCGTTTCCCTTTCTCTCTTGACTCATGACTTTCTGCATTGGGACTAAGGCTTTGTGTAGGAGAGGTGTTGTAGAGGATTGGGTATGCTGCGTGTGGATCTTCATGACGATGATGAAGAGGAGGAGGAGGAGATGCTAAAGACGGTCGAAGCAAAGATTTCCGTGCTGTAGAAGCGGTATAGTGGCGGGCGATGCTATTAGAACTAAGTAGGGTGAGAGCGTGGGTGATTGGATGCAGGGGGTTTATAGTTGAGTTGAGGTATTTCATACAAGAGTATCGAGGCTGATACTTGGGAGTAATTGAGAAGAAAGATGGCTTGGCGCGAGGATAGCACTGTGAGGAGGGTGCAAGATGGGTGGTTGGATCTGGACTCGGGCACGTGGGGAGCACTGTCTAACAGCGACATTGTCGCAGTACACGAATGGCAACTATTCTCAGGTCCTGTCGAGGCATCTCCATCATGATTCTATTCCTCTCCGTTTTTTTCTTCTTCTTCTTTTCCAAGTGCCGAGTGAGACTGGCGTGTAGTCATGCCTTGGCTCTCGCCGACGCCACGTGACTTCTGTCACTCGGAGTGGGGCCAACTTGGACAAATCTAGAGACTGATGGAGCTGCAAGACTGGGATATCAGCTTCTCAGGCTTGAATACAGCCTCGACGAGTGGAATCTGAATCGAATGGTCTGCGACGTGTGTACGCCCGTATTCTCGTCGTATGTTGTCCTGTTACTCCAGTCAGACGTGTATGGCGCACCATGGCTGACGTAGCATGGCAATGCTAAGTCCTGTGGCGCAGGTGCAGGGCGTACCGTTGCTTGCAACAATTATATTGGAGTAATACTTACTCCGCTTCTGCGATGGCGACCGCGTCCCGGTATATTGGGCCGTTTGCGCAACATGTTGTATACTTATAGCCGTTGGTGGTGCCCTATCTTGGCCTTGAGATACATCTACACCCGCCTCTGCAGACTCATTTCCTACACCTCTTCTTCATCATCTTCATCTTCTTCTCAACGCCCGCCGCCAACAACCATCTCTCCCCACAGCATCCGGGCACGATGCGCCGTTAAAGTTTGCAAAGGCAAATCTCGCGTCGGCCCTTTTGTTCCCGTCGCATTGGGCCGAAAGTCAGCGCTGCGGCCGCCAGATCGATGACGCGCATGCGAAGCATCAGCAGTCATGGCCAGACCGACACAGCCTCGCAAGGGGCGTGGTGCCTACGCGAGGGCTTGTCGTGCGCAGTCGGCATCGCGATTTCTGGGGACACCGAGTAGCACTTGGACATTGGGGCGCACTGGGCGAACTGGGCGAACTGGGCGCTGGGCTGGGCGGATGTAATGACTTTTTGGCCTGGACCGAGGCTCGTCGTTTGCATTGCCGGCCCCCTCTCAACAACACCTACATAACACAGCTATTCCGAGTCATGGCCGATATGGACATGGGATCGAGGAGCGGTTTTTTCCCTTCGTTTCCATCAGGCCAGTCCCCCGTTTCGTCGCATCGATATCGAGCTGAGGTAAGGCGGGGCCGGGAGCAAGGGGGGTTCTGGGTATGGTGCTGGTGCCAATGCTTTGGCTGTGTAATGACCCCGGTGCCATTTTCGCCTCCCGGCACACCATCGCACCGCCTCGTGCAGAACCCATGTCCCAATGGGGACCATGATGCGACGCTTTCAACAGGGATGCAGTGGGTCGGCGGCCGTTGGTCAAGACTTCTTTCTTCTCGGCGGCCCTCCGACATGCGCGGAGTGACGGGCTGGAGGTATTGGCAGCCTGCGTGGCCTCCGCCGCCTGAGGCCATGCCTCTCTTCTCTCCTCGCCTCGTCTCTACTACTGCTGCTGCTGCTGCTTGATCGCCTGCGTTTTTGTGTCGGTCGACGGCACGTATTTGCTTTGTCACCGAGCGAGAGGAGCGATGCAGGGCGCCCCCAGATAAAGAAGCACAAAACAGCATCTCGCACACCCCAAACACGCCTGAGCCAAGACAAGCACCTCGACACTGCCCGCGACCATGGCCGGCGCCATCGTGAGCCAGACATGGATCCTCACAAAGAAGACGCTGCTGGTCGTCTTTGTGCGCCACTGGTTCTTCACGAGCGTGCGCGCATTCTGGGCTCCCATCATCTTTGTATGTCTCTCTCGCGCCTCACATACATGGGGAACCCACACGACTGACCATGGCCCCCGCAGATGTTCTTTATCACCTATGCTAAGAATTTCTTCGTTCCCCCCTCTGACTACGGCATCGGTAGCCCGACTCCCATCCGCTCCTTTCCCGACGCGCTCGGCGCTGCCCAGGGCGGTCGCGACAAGGTTGTCTTCATAAATAACGGACATACCGGCGGCCAGATTGACCAGGTTGTCGACCGACTGTCCAACACTGTGCGCCAAGCAGGACGGCAGCCTGTTACCATTGCATCAGACGTCGACTTGCTCGAGACGTGCGCCAGCTCGTTGCGTGGAGCGAGTACATGTTTTGGCGCTGCCTCGTTCCACTCAAGCCCCAACGAGGGCCAAGGACAGAGCTGGAACTATACCCTCAGGTCTGACGGCGCCTTGGGGGAGAAGATCTTCGTCAAACAAAAGGACAATGACGTCCAAGTCTACATTCTGCCGTTCCAGCGCGCCATTGACCAGGCCATTGCCGCCATCGACGGATCCGCCACCATACCCGACACCGACGAGTATCCCTTTACCGATAAAACCCAGAAAGAGTATGATGATAGAATCCGCACGCTGTACATGGGCGCTCTCATCAACATCATGGGCGCTGCCTTGTACATTGGCATCTGTGGCGTCACGTACCAGCTCACGGGGCAAATGGCCGAAGAACGAGAGCGCGGCATCTCGCAGCTTGTCGAAGCAATGTCTCCTGCGAAGAAGCCGTGGCACACGCAGTTTGCGCGTCTTCTGTCCATGCACCTTGCTTTTGACTTTATCTACTTCCCCGGATGGGTCATCATGGGCGCCATCGTCTGGGCCCTGGCTTTTCCGACGTCCAACGTTGGCATCTTGATCATCTTCCACATTCTGGCTGGACTGTCCCTTACGAGCTTTTCCATCTTTGGTGCGGCGTTTTTCCGAAAGGCTCAGCTGTCTGGAATCACCATTGTCATTATCCCCATCTTGCTCGCCATCATTGCGCAGGTGGCTGGTCCGTTCAGTACTGCTGCTGTGTACGTGCTCAGTTTGATCTTTCCGTCTATCAACTACGTCTTTTTTATTATCTGCGTCGCGCGATTCGAAAGACAACTTATTGCGATGAACATGATCAAGGCCGCTCCTGACTACGAAAACCACGTATGGACGACTCCTGGCATTGTTTTCTGGGTTTTTGCTATTATCCACACCTTTGTCTATCCAGTCCTGGGTGCACTTGTCGAGCGATGGCTTTATGGTACCGTATCGGCTGATCGAAAAACCACCACTTCTTCGCCGGATCACAACATCATTCTGACCAATTTCTCCAAACACTGGACGCCCAGCTGGTTCCGTAGAAATGTTCTTTCAAAGTTTGGCATCAAGCCGCCAGAGACTGTCATTGCAGTAAACGACTTCAGTATCAAGGCGCGCAAGGGCCAAATCATGGTGCTGCTTGGTGCCAACGGTAGCGGAAAATCCACGACATTGGACGCCATTGCTGGTCTCAACTCCATCACTAGCGGCGCCATCGAGATTGACGGTACTGGCGGCCTTGGTCTCTGCCCGCAGAAAAACGTCATGTGGGATGAGCTCAACGTCTACGAGCATGTCCGCCTGTTCAACCAGCTCAAGTCTACTGGCGAGTTCGATACCAAGGAGAAGATAGAGGACCTAATTCGCGCTTGCGATCTAGGGCACAAGATCAAGGCCCAGTCCTGCACGCTGTCTGGTGGTCAGAAGCGCAAGCTCCAGCTTGCCATGATGTTCACAGGCGGCTCCAAGGTCTGCTGTGTCGATGAAGTCTCTTCTGGTTTGGACCCACTGTCTCGGAGAAAGATTTGGGAGATTCTGCTCGCTGAGCGTGGTGATCGTACTTTCTTACTCACAACCCATTTCCTCGATGAGGCGGATGTTCTCGCAGATTATGTCGCAATTCTTTCTCGTGGAGTACTCAAGACCAAGGGTACCTCAGTTCAACTCAAGCATGAGGTAGGCGCCGGATACCATGTCACGTACCCCAAGGATGCCCCTGTGAAGCCACCAACCGGTGCAGTCAAGAAGCCTTCGCCGTCCGAAGGCATGGTACAATACCAGTTCGCGGATGCGCTGCCTGCGACCAAGTTTGTTGATGTTCTGAGAGATCACGGCGTCAAGAATTATGATATCGTCGGACCCACTCTGGAAGACGTGTTTCTGGCAAACGCCGAAGAGGTCAAGGAATACAATCTTCTGGATGCGGACCACGCCGAACAAAGCGCTACTGTCACGTCTGACAAAGACATGGATATACCCTCGGACCGCAACTCTGACTCGGACAAGCGGCTCGAGATGGGCAAAGGTCGCGGCACCGGCCTTTTCAAGCAAATGTTCATTCTCATGCAAAAGCGAGTTACCATTGTCAAGCGTAACTTTTGGCCTTATCTGTTCGCACTCGTCCTACCTATTGCCGCCGCTGGCTTGGTCACACTCTTCCTCCAAAACTATACGGCTGTTGGCTGCGACCCAGGCGCTGCCTCCAACGACCCCGAAATCTTCTCGCTGTCCAATGTGAGGGATATTCCGCTCGTTCCCATTGGACCTCGCAGCACTGTCGGCCCAGCCATCGATACCATCGTCCGGCGAACTGGCATAAGGGACAATGACTTTCACCAAGTTGACACGCTTGACGAGTTCAACGACTTTGTAAATACCCGCTTTCGAAACATCACGCCAGGAGGCTTCTTCCTCAACGGAAACGGCCCACCTGTCATGGCCTACCTTGCCAACCGCGGCGTCATTGGCGGCCTGATCACGCTGAACACGCTCGACAACGTCATCAGCAATATTACCATCACGACTCAATACCAGCAGTTTGCTGTTCCATTTTCCCCCAACGCAGGAGATACGCTCCAGTTGATCCTGTACTTTGGCCTGGCCATGTGTGTTTACCCGGCATTGTTTGCTCTATACCCTACACAAGAACGGTTGAGAAATGTTCGAGCTCTGCATTACAGCAACGGCATCCGAGCTGTGCCGCTTTGGATGGCGTACACGGCGTTTGATTTCATATTCGTAGTCATAATTTCTGCCATTACTACGATTATTTTTGCATCGGTAAGTCGATCAAGTACCTATCAGGGACATGCTAACGTATCTCAGGCATCGAGCGCATTCTACGGACCAGGATACCTCTTTGTTGTCTTCTTCCTGTATGGCTTGTGTGCGATTCTCTTCTCATACCTCATATCAATCGTCGTCACCTCGCAACTTGCTGCCTTTGCCTTTGCGGCTGGAGGCATGGTATCGCTGTACTTGATTTACTTTATCGGTTACATGGCGATTCTAACCTACGCTCCCGCCTACGCGATTGACTCGTACATTGAGTACTTCCACTGGACCGTCTCCTTGATCTCGCCCTCAGCCAGTTTGTTGAGAACACAGCTGTTATCCCTCAACTCATTTAGTGTCCTGTGCGATGGCAATCGGATTCCGAGCTACCCAGGTATGCTTCGCGTTTACGGCGGCCCGATCTTGTACCTTGTCGTCCAGGCGATCCTCCTTTTCATCGCTTTGGTATGGTGGGATTCTGGGTACAGGCCGCCATTCCTCAACCGCGATAAGAGCCGCCAGCAGCATTCGGAAGAGAATGTCGAAAACATTCCACCTGCAATTGCAGCTGAGATTGCTCGCGCCGAGCAGAGCAAAGACAGCCTCCGCGCACTGCACCTCCACAAGCAGTTTGGGTCCAACCACGCCGTCAACGACATCACTTTCGGTATTCCTCAAGGCCAAGTCTTTGCACTTCTGGGTCCCAACGGTGCTGGAAAGTCTTCTACCATTTCGCTGATTCGCGGAGACATTCATCCTACAACTCACTTCAATGGCGGCGGCGACGTGCTCATCGAAGACATGTCGATTGTCAGGAAACGGGCTGCGGCCCGCGGAAATCTCGGTGTTTGCCCGCAGTTTGATGCCATGGACACAATGACGGTAACGGAGCACCTCTACTTTTATGCTCGGGCGCGTGGCGTCACCGATCCCAAGGCCAGTGTTGAGGCCGTCCTCCAAGCGACGAGTCTAGCGCGCTTCAGCGACCGTCTTGCATCCAAACTTTCTGGTGGAAACAAGAGAAAGCTCAGCTTAGGCATTGCCCTCATGGGCAATCCTTCAGTCTTGCTTCTCGACGAGCCCTCCAGCGGTATGGATGCAGCCGCGAAACGTGTCATGTGGCGCACACTTCTCGGAGTTGCAGCTCCTGGCCGTGCTCTCCTCATCACCACGCACTCGATGGAGGAAGCCGACAAGCTCGCCACCCGTGTGGGCATCATGAAGCGCAAGATGCTGGCGCTCGGCACCGTCAGCGACCTCGGCGAGCAGTACGGCGATGCGTGGGTCGTCCAGCTCGTGCTGGCATCCGCACCCGAGACCACTGAAGAAGAAATGCAAACCGTAAAGCACTGGGTCCAACAGCGAATCCCAGGCGTCCAGTTCGACAAATGGGGCTCCAGAGGCGGCGGCCACGGCCAACTCCGCTTCAAGGTGCTCAAAGCTGCCGCCACGTCTGCCCCTGCGCACGCTGAAAAGCAGCATGGAAAAATCACTGAGCACGAAGTCACCAACGTCAACTCCGTGTCGTCAGCGCCAGATCTCGGTGGTATCCCCGGGCTTATCCAGCTCCTCGAGACAAATCGCACCGAGCTCGGACTGGAATACTACTCTGTTTCCCCCACTACTCTCGACGAAGTCTTCCTGCGTGTTGTCGGGGAGGAGGAGGAAGAGGAGAAGAGCGGGACTGTGCAGGGTATGTCGAAGGGGAAACGAGTGCGGCAGTTGTTGGGCTGTGGGCTTTTGTAGTCTGTCGTTTTCTTTCTCTCTTTGTTTTGGAATTTCTTTGGAGAAAGCCTGTGCATACGTATATATAGTAGTGCTGGCGCCGGCGTTGTCGTGTTCATAGCCAGAGTGGTGTTTTTTTTTGGAAGGGAGGCCACGAGTAACACAGAGATACCAGTCAGTGGGTAATCAAAGGACTAGAGTACATAGTCGGTTCAATAGGATAATATTTATGATTCATTATTGAGTGGTTGCATGGATCTGAATTGAGCCTGGGCTTGGTGGGACAAGGTACATGGGATATTTTTTGAAGTGATGATATGGCGTGTCTTGTGAAGAGAGAGAGAAAGAGAGATGGAGCCGTAATTGTGATACAGGAATGCAAGTCTTGAATTCTCTTGAATTGTATTTCTCGTCCATATATACACATCTCAGCTAATCCCCACTACTTACGTACTTCCCCACAATCTTACTCATAACCGCATAATCCGCCCGAATCACCTTACTCCTTACCATGCGATCAGCCGGACTACACGCATCCTTCTGGTACCCTAACCGCTCGTACATGGCTTTTGCCCGCGCGTTCGCCGTAAACACCGTCAGCATCGCCTTGTCGATTCCACATGCGCGCGCAGCCGCCTCGGCAAATGCTACAAGGCGCGAGCCCAGACCCCGGCTGCGCAGTTGGGGCGCCAGGTGGATCTCGTAGATGTAGACGACTTCGCGGTCCGTGTACGGCGGGTCGTCCCATGTGAACATGAAGGAGAGGAAGCCGAGGATAGGGCGTTTGGTGCTAGGATTGGGACTACAAGTAGCGTTGGATGGCGCCGCCGTGTCGTCGGTGTCGCTGGCGCAGTAGCCCTCAGCCAGCTGCTCCAGCTCGTCTGGTTGTTGCGGGCGCGGCGGGACGCGAACAGGTTCCACGGCGTCTGCATCTGGTGTTCTCTTGCGCTTTTTGGTTTCCCGGCGCGGAAGAAGAGCCGCTTTACTTCCTGCTGCTGCTGCTGCTGTTGTTGTATGTACATCCTGAGTCGCACTACACACGGTCTCGGCGCCGCTTTGCCGCACGAGCAGGTACAACATCTCGCTGTCGAGCATCTCCTCTCGCTTCTTGCGCGTGTTCCACCCGATGCTGGAGGCCCGGTAGTCGGCGCCCGACGTCTGCTCTACGAGGTCAAGACACGCTTGCATGTCGTCGTTGCTCAGCGACCGAGCAGAGGTCGCGAGTTGGAATTCCACTGCACATTCGGAATGCGGCGCTGAGTATGGCTTCAGGCCTGCGATGTCCTCTTCGAGTAGCTTTTTTACCGTGTGTGCGCGTTGCACGACGGGAGACATTGTGCGTTGTGGAGTGGTTGTAGGGGGTTTTTTTTTTAATTATTATTTGCGGCTTGGATGGTGATGGCTCGGTGGGGAACTTGCTGCTTAGAGGCTCAGCGGCCTGGTCCGCAATGCCCGCTGTGAGTTAATGAGGGCGTATATTGCATGAGTCGTGGGTGGGTGGACGCGTGCTACGCGGGTGAGCGCGTCGCGGGGGACGCGTGGCGGGGCAGTTGTCGCCAGAAGACAAAGTGGTCATTCTCGCCGAAGGTACGAGGAAGTAAGTCTTTCCAGGTAAGTCTAAGTGTTGAGTATCTTCTGAACCAGGATTCATGGCCTAATGTTCCGTACAGAGAACAGCGCACGCTATCGATCTGGAGCACAAGTCAATGTCTGGCGCGGTCCCACGTCGGCATCTTTGCAATCTAGCTCCATCCAGCCATTCATCTATCCAAACCTAGCCCATCTTTACGTCAGTCCGCATCCGCCCGACGAGTCTCATCCATCCCATCAACCGCCATCTCTCGCGGTATTCTCACGCCTCCAGCCTCAGCAAGTCGTGTGTGTCAGATCGCGTCGAGGCATGCTGCGACAATATGCCACGGTAGCGTCCAAGCCTCTCTCGCGGCTCCGGGCTCGAGGAAAAAGCCCTGTCAGCCTCGACCACGTATGTGATTGTTGCAGATCCAAAGAGCCAGCCAACATCAGCTTACCCTCGTTCAGTTCATCCAGCGACAGCGCGCACTGGCGTTGTGGCGGGACATTGTTCGCAGTACTGCCAATATCCCCGACAGCGCGACGCGGAAAGACATGCGACAGTTTGCAAGATCCGAGTTTGAACAGCATCGCCATGTCAATGATCTTGTATGTGATTCCTTTATATCGAGTCGTATTCCAGCTGATTGCTTTTAGGGTCACATTCGCTATCTCATCTCTGTATGAACTTTCGCCACCACAACAACTTGCCGTGTCCACTAACAAGACCGCAGTATGGGAAAACACAGTTCCAGGCCATGAAAGACACTCTCATGAACTCTGGAGTGCTCACGGAATAAACCTCATCCTAAGTTATCTTCCTGCAGCTGTCATGGTGTCTTGTGCTGTGCTCTCTTCCCATTGGCCCGTTTTCCGAGGGGCATCCGTCTAGTGTACCTAATACCAGCACCAAACACCTCATCTCCGTCTTACGCGTACTCTTCTCAATCCTTTGCATTGCACTGCCGTGCAGTTCCATTCTACTTGTCGTCCTTGCGGTATTCTTCGTCACTCGTGCTACACCAGTCACGCCTGCGTATGCCTTAACATAACCCCACTGACCCCGTTCCTGCAATGGCGCTTCCCAAACGCTCTGTGCTAATCGTGGGCGCGGGCCCCGCCGGTTTAGTTGCTGCAAAGACATTCAAACAGGCTGGGTACGCCGTGTCCGTCTACGAGGCAGCCGAGCGAGTGGGTGGCATGTGGAGAGATGAGCAGGGAGGGCCTGGCGATAAATGCAGCCCTGATATGCGAACCAACCTTAGCAGATTCACCGTGGCGTTTCCGGATCTACCATGGAAATCTGTGAATCCAATTCTACAATCCAACGCGAACTCACAGGCTGACCCGCCCTTGTTCCCAAAAGCATGGCAGGTCGGGCAATATCTTGAAACGTATGCAAAGACGTTCGGCATCGTTGACAACATCATTCTTCAGAGGCGTGTTGTCGATACCCATCTGCAGGATGACGGTACCTGGAAGGTGACTAGCAACGATGGATCCGGGGATTCCAGCACAGACACGTTCGACCGCCTCATAGTTGCCAGTGGCTTCTTTCGCAAGCCTTCCCATACCTTTGATCCTTCGCCTTCAAAAGACCTTGCAAACATCCAGCACTCTTCTCGTTTCCGGGATGTTGGCGAGCTGAGTAGTCTGCCTGGCAAGATCGTCGTCATTGGAGGGGGCATTAGCGGCTCAGAAGCCGCATCGCAAGCTGCTTTTCAAATCTCAAACGCAAAGTATTCGCCTGGTAAAGAAAAGCCCGCCTATGCTGCAAGCAAGGTATACCATGTCATCAACCGACCCTTTTACTGCATGCAACGATACCTACCACAAGACCCCCAAGACAAAGACGGCAAGTTCAATCCAGCACCAAGCTTCCTTCCTATTGATCTCGTGCTGTTCAATCTCTCACGTCGCGGTGATGGAGAGATAACAGCAGCCATCGACACTGTGCCCCCTGAGAAGGCCAGAAAAGGGCATGAGTTCTTAAGAGCGAGCTTAGGAGGCGATCAAAGCGAATTCGGTTACCCGGAGCTTGTATACGAAACTGAGCGGATGCAACACCCTGGATATACTGGCATTACTGATACATATATGGAGTTTGTAAGAGATGGGTCTATTGTGCCAGTGCGAGGGTGGGTGGAAAATGTTACGCAGCAGCCAGACAGCGATCTTCTAGCTATCAAACTCAAGCAGTACGAGCCGTGGTATTATACTTCTGAGAAGGAAGCCACCGTACGTTATCTCTTGTGTGTATATTAATGTAAGAACGCTAACGGTACCAGGGCACCAGTACAATTGATGATGTCGTTGGTATTATCGAAGCCACTGGCTACAAAACTGAACTCGACTGGCTCGACCCCCGTGTCAAGCAACTCCTTAACGACGAAACCACTACCCCCAATGCACGCATACCCCTTCTTCTGTCCCGGGGCTCGATCTTCGCCAGCAAAGTCCCCACGCTCGGCTTTGTTGGATTCTACGAAGGGCCCTACTGGGGAGTCATGGAGACACAAGCTCGTTTTCTCGCCGAAACCTGGGCCAAGATTGAAGAAGCACCGACGCATCCCGACCTTTTGAGCCGCGACGTCTACAAGCTCGATGTCACGAGGAGCATGCGCGAAGCAATCAACGCCAAGTCCCTGCAGGTGCCGCAATTCTGGATGTCCGACTACGTGGGTCTAATTGAGGAGTTTGCACGCGAAGCCCGTCTCTCGCGCGACGACTCGCTCTTTGGCGGACAAACGGGGCCGACCTTTCCTTCGCGCTACCAGGGCAAAGATACCGGTGCTGCAGCCAAAGACGTCGTCCAAGAAGTCGCCGACCTCGTCAAAGCATCCAACCAAGACGCGCGCTTCATCGCCGCAGCCGTCTTCACAGGCATGCAGGGCATCTGGCATCTGGAGCGCAAAATCCAATCTCTGACCACCACGCCTGGCGGCACCTTCACGGGGACCGCGCACTTCGATGCGCGTGAGCCCGCCGATCCCTCGCTGTACACGGCTGAGTATCTGTACAGCGAGCACGGGACCTTCACCATGGACACGGGCCGCGCGTTCCCGGCGTCCCGCCGCTACGTATACCGGTACAGTGAGGCGCGCGACCAAATCACCGCCTGGTTCGTCGACACCGACGACAACGAGTCCGTCGGCTCCCTGTTCAACACGTGGCAGTTCCACGCCCCGCACGCCAAAGACCAGGGTTGGATTGCAAACGGTCACCACTGGTGCGACCCGGATACCTACACGAATACGTGTGAGTTTAGGTTCCGCGGCGCCAGACTCGACCGCTTCATGATTAGATACGAGGTCCAGGGGCCCCGCAAGGATTACCAGCACGAGAGCTGGTATGAGCGGCCGAAGACGCGGGATGCAGAGAGAGATGCAGCGTGAGCTGTGTAGAGTAGGTAAATGCCAGATCGTTGCAACATATGGCTGAGTAATATACACACACATACACGTCCCTTGGATTAGACAGAAACTGATTGCAAGGGTATCATACACACAACATGCTATCGTACAACATTGATCCCCCCCCCCCACTTCCCATCCCCCCAATCTACTCCGCGCCACCCTTAACAAGGCTACTCGGATGTGTCGGCGGGCCGTCTCTCCCCACGCTCCTGAGATCCCTTAGCAGAATGCTCAAATGCTGCTGCCGATTCTGATTGCTGCTCCACGTCACCGCCTGGGAATAGTACAAGATATCCCAGGCGTCGTCGCTGAGGCTATGCAGGAACGTGGGGAGGCTGCGTGCCTTGTGGTACGCGCGCCACAGGATACGGCGGATGTCGTCGTTTGCGCCCATGTAAGCGAATTGCAGGGCTTGGTTGAAGGATTTCAGCGCGGGTGCGATGTTGAAGGGTGGTGGGAGGTGCACGCGCAGGGCGTCGAGGGCGGCGCTGTGTTCGGGGTCCTGGCGCGCCATGGCCATGCGTTGTTTGAGTGTGGCCGTGTGGCTGGCGTCGAGGTCGTATGGGTCTGGCGCTGTTTCGTGGGCGACAGTGGTCAGGTCACTGGGCTGGGCCTTTGTTTCTGCAATGAGGCTTTGGATGTACATGAGTTTTTCCACGAGCTTGGGGTCTTGCATGATTTTGTCCACTTTGGCTTGTAGCTCCGCGGGTATGTCTTCGTCGTCTTGCTCGATTTCATGGGGTTGTGAAGCTTTGGATAGAGCGAGCTTCTTCAGTTCTTCGGCGAGCTCCTCTGGGTCCATTTCGCGCTCGAAGACGCCTTCGTCGTCTTGCATGCCGGCTGGATCTTCGCGGAGTGCGGCGTCGAGTTCGGCTTCGAGGTCGGTGTCGCTGCCTAGTGATTTCATCACGTCGCGCATCTGGTACAGGAGCTTGTCTACGTCGTGCATATCCTCTGGTGTCGGCATGGCTAGATCGTCGTCTGGGGCCTCGGCTTCCGCAATAGCGTCTTTGGTGTTTTTCTCGTACTCTTCCCATTCCGCCTCCAGTTCTGCATCGTTCATATTCTGTTGCATTGCAGCAAGCTTTTTCTGCATGGCCTCATTGCCCTCCAGCTTGGCCATGGCTTTTTGTAGTACAACTTGGAATTCCGGGCTGTCGAGGTCTTCCATTTCGGGCATTTTTTCAATGACTTCCTGCAAGTCTGCTTTGGCGTCGCCAATATCTGGGTCGTCAACGAGCTCTTGGAGGGCCTCGTGCGTGGCCATTCGTAAACTCGCGTTGAACTCCCTGCTGCTGGCCTCAACCTCCATTGCCTCTTCTTCCTCGAGCGCTTCGAGTTCCTCCTTTGATTTGATGCTCTCCTTGATGTCCTTGAGCTCTTCCGTCAACTGGGCAAAATTTGGGTTCGTGAGAAGGCTGTCAATCAGGCGCCGGTTCAGTTTGGCATCGTCGTAGTCGGGATTCTTTTGCGATTCGTCTATCATGGTATACATCTCCTTGTCCCTCTTACGATCCTCGACGGTTGCTATGCGCTCAACCAGGCGCTGAGGCGTGCCCTTGTCCAGATCTTGTTCGTACCAATTAATGACAGGAAGATCGTCGCGTTCAAGTTCGGCATCGGATAGCGGGCGCATAGCCTTGTCCATCCGTTTTTCATCGTCAAAAATGGTCCGGGAGCCCTTGATGCGCTCCAGGAGCGAGGGGTCTGGTTCACCCGCAGCATTGGCATTTGTCTTTTCAGTTTTGGCTTTGGATCGCTTGCCGCGTAGAAACTGGGTTGGAAGGGGGCGGGCGAGTGGACATCTTATAGACTGCGGTCGTGAGAGAGCTCTTATAAGCGCTCTCGAAGGAACGTATGCTCGCGAGAGCGCCATGGTGGTGTCTGAAATTTGTGGCGATGACGTTGGCTGATGTCTTGGATTTTTGGGTTGGCTGCAAACAATGCAAACAGCGTCTTGGCACCCCCGAGAACTCCGCAAATTGCGCTAAACCAGATCGAGCCTTTACTACAGTCATTCGCATCCACTAGCATCCTGTTCAACTTTAGCCGGCATCTCAATCTGAATATTCTAACTTACTTTCTCACCATTTTCTGATGAATTGGCCAGGAATATGGCCATCAGTGTCTACAGTCAAATACAATCGACACTACCAGTGCAACAACAAATGCCAGCATGGGCGGCCCTGGTACCTCACTGGTTCCATTCAATACCCTCCTTGGTATGCCCCCTTCAATCACAGCAGTCGTCACATTCTTTCTACCAACTGCTCGTCCACTTCCATTAGCAATATCGACTGAGACAATAGCTGGCCCTACATTGAAGAAGTCAACCAGAACAAATGTCGGCTGGCGTTTCACTTCCGTGCTGCAATCCAACAGATGTTTCCCAAGACTTCCAGGTCCGTCCCACGAGTTTGTTTCCATCACATGGCGGGGATCCGGTGTCTCAATGTTGAAGGCTTGTTTCCAGTACAGCACGTGATTCATCAGAAAGAGCTTTCCAGAGCGGCGCATCTGATGGACGGTAGACGTATTGGAAGGCCGATCGGGGTCGCAGGTGAATCTGGATGGATCCGTGACATCGTAGGCATTCTCCCACACAAAGTCAAACTCATTGAGGAGATATGGTGCATTCTCCTTGTCAGGAGCGAGGGGATTGATGAAGCTTACCAATCGTTGCCCGTTTGCTATCATATCCCTCAGGGTCGGCCATGTCTTTTCAAACTCGGTAGACGGATTAGGGGCTTGGTTGATGATCGGGGGAACGTATCCGTAGTGGGCAAGGTCGGCTCTCGAGTACTCAGCTGAAACTTCTCTCGCGTCCACTCCGTCCGTATTCACAAGCAGCAGTGTGACCACTTCATGTGGGTTTGCATCCATCCATGTTCTTATCTCCCATAACCAATCATGTAGAGGGCCGGCGTCGAAAAATACACAGGAAGAGTGGCAGAGGTGCAGCTCTCGCGCATTTGTTTCAGAGTTTGAGGCGACGTGAATCTGTGCGCTGAGCAGCCGGACGCCAGCATCGAGTTGCACTGTCGTGTTGAAAAACTGATTGCCGCTTTCAAATCACTGTGCTGACATATCCAAGTATGGAGACATGAGATTCAAGATGAAGAATGTGGTGATTCTTGCAACTCTCAATATTCTTCTCATAAAACTGACTATTTAGGCATTCTAAGTAATCTCGTGACTATGGCAATATACAGTCACAATTACAACTTACCAATTACCCATGCTTTCCGCTAGGCAGGCTATTGTAGCGATTTTCATTGTATAGCTACAATATAGTCAATGGTCTAGATAGAGAATGAAAGTCTCTTCACGTATGAAATGGTACATTCACATCCGAGGGGAATGACTGTTGCTCACATTGCATACAGTGCTATTGTACAGCACGACTCTATCACGCCCGCTGGCTTCTTCAACGACGACCTTACCCTATGTGACAGCGCTTCTAGCAGCTTTACAATGCATCTGCCATCCCTCAATGTAAGTCTCCCATTTCCCTTTGTTTCCATGTCTACACTGCAACGTGGGGAACAACTCATCCATTCCCATGTTTCACCTTCCCATTGTCTTGGCGTCAGCCGCCATATCGGCTGCTTCTGCAGATTGGGCATGCAACAACTCACCGAAGCTTTGTTCAGAATCATACGATCGGATAACACATCTTGGCGCACACAACTCGCCCTTCCTCCGCGACGCTTCGACCGGCTTCTCCTCTTTTCATGAAAGCCATTCTTATTATCAGTCTGATCAGACAGTCTCTCATGACTCATGAAGAGCTATACGTCCTTACTCAACTGTAGTTCATGGCAAACAGTCTTATGGACCAGTACTCATGAAATAGTCCCCTTTCGTATCTCATAACCAGTATTATCCTGCTCTAAACCCAGCAGAGCACCTCGTACTCCATGATCAGCCACTTGGCTCCGTTGGCTCCTTCTCACTACAAAAAAAATTAGTTCCCAGGAAGAAAACACGATACAAAACTGTAAACCTACCTCAAAGCCTTCTCAACCGCGTCTTCGCAACATGTCATGTCGTATACGACAAGGCCAGCCCGCAATGTCATACGCCTTCGTTCGTGCTTAAGAAGATACACGAGTACCTCCTCGATCTGAGGTCGCATGCGCAATAACCTGTCTCTGATGAATTCTGCTTGCTCCACGGTCATGACGGCACCCGGCGTGTTCTCGATGGACTCGACGGCCGCTCTGGCTTCGCCAACTAGCTGCTCGGTGCGGCGGAGGAGGAAGTGGTGGCGGCGGGAGCGCACGCCTAGTAGGCAGGGGATGAGGAAGAGAGGGGGGAAGTCTTCTCGTAGGGGTTGAGTCATGATGATCTTGCCCGTAGAGTATGCGGTTGAAAGCGAGCTGTTTCTGTGTAAAGGTAGTTGGAAGAAATCAGAGCCGGAGGAGTAATTTTTATACGACAGCGGATGGTGAGATCGCCTGTCACAGGAAAGCCTTCACTTCACCTTCATGTCCGAATTGGGTTAGTCCATTCACGCAGTCAACAAATCCGTTTGCTCGGTCTCGATGCCTAGTCCAGTTGCCAATCTTTGGAGTAGAAAGGATTGTGTGGCGAATCAATCAGTTGTTGGCTGGTAGATGCCATGTCTGTCAGGCAGTTTCATATAGACTTAGGACATCAAATGCAATACATACACAGATGGACTCACTGTAGGAGTCATTAGTCTTCGCAAGACTCCTTCCAGTCATTCTTCTTCATGACTTTTCAAGCAGTTCTTCTCATTTCTCTTTACTGGAATGATATTGAATTACAGGCTTAGCATAGATTCTCGCGTCATATTCCCGCGACCAGTGCACTATACATGATTCCTGAATCTTCACCAAACATCTGCGTGTGCACTTACAATCACTTCCCTATCCACGTAGCGGCCCTTGAGAGTCCAGTTGAAGAATAAGTCAACGGTTGACGAAATATTGTACACTCAAAGCAAAACGGACTTGTCAAATCTGGCACCATCAAGTGTTGAAAACCACACATGCGCAGTGCGAGCGACTCAGATCAGAAAACGTAGGTGATTTGCAGCTCTAGCTCAACCATTACAATTAAAAAGAGCAGGTATATTCAGAATAGTCGCTTTCAGACAAAGCATAGGAATACTCATCCAGCACATCCTCGTAGTCCCCCTCCCAGACATCCGGCCACGCAGCATCTGGCCACGCAGCATCCGGCTCGGCAGCCTCAAAGTTGAAATGATAATTATCGCCCGCCTCAAAGTTGATGTAGTAATTATCGCCCGCCTCAAAATTGATATAATAATTCTTCGCAGCCACCATCATGGATTCATCTCCAAAATCGCCTAGCGCATCGCCGCCAACAGTGTAGCCACGGAGGTGTCGCAACAAGCGCTTGAACTGCTGCCAGCTGCTCTCACGGTTTTCGAGGCGCGCAAGCGTGTTGCGCTGTTTTTTGGCGACGGGCATTGTTAGTCTCGTTTTGAAAATCACATGACCAATGCATGGGCTACTTACGCGAGCGGTGCTGACTCTCTGTCTCTCCTTTTCATACGCCTTTCGTGTCGCCGCGTCGTCAGCTAGGAACTTCTCGAGCACCGATAAGTGGCGCTTGCGCCAGGGCGGCCGCCATTTAATGTGACTCCAGTGCATATAGGGAGCGAGGACACGGGGGGCGCGGGAGCTGGGTGTATCACCCTTAACTCGTAGTAGAAGGCCTGCATTTGCTTATTTGCTTTGTTTTTGTGAGTGGCGGGTGAGGCTGTGAACTTGGGTGCGTTGGAGAGATGGAGAGCTCAGGTGGTGAATGAGAGAGTGCAATATGCTTCACTGATTGGAATGAGCATCGTGATGTGTGTGAAAGGGTGGGCTCGCTTTACCCTGGGGGACTTGACTCCCACTTCACCATCACCTCCGATTGGTTTCTGAGCAAGCCCGTTTGTTTGCTTCAACTCATCGCTGGATTTGACTGATCGTGTGTTAAGAGGTAAAATAACATCCAACTCAACTTAACAACGTCAACTTAGTTCCACCGTTGCAGTCATTCAACTTTTGCCCGCCATGGAGTACGGCGACATGTTTGCTACCTCTCCTCCCACTACCCGACGGCAGTCGATGACTTCGCAGAGGCCAGCCACAGATACAGAGCCACGCCGATACACGCGTCCTGTGGATGCTAGTTTCGGACACCGACTAGCCACGGCGCGCAACCAGGCTCACGGCGACGCACTTCCTACTCTTTCTGGAGAAGATTGGCGGGCCGCTGGAGCAATGCCGGCATCTCAGGTTGGAGAATCTGTCCGAGAAACCACACAGCTTCCGCTCAGGGTCCCTCCATACGGATGGGAGAGAGGATCTTACCGGTCGCCCTTTGAGTACAACATTCCCGGACACCACGTTGGAGCCAACACCAACCCAGCATCTCGGCCATTCCCACATACTCGCCCGCAGAGCATTTCATTCGGCAGCATGCCACCCATAGATACCCGCACACCGCCCAGCATGGCATCGCGAGCAGCAACCCTCCAGCACAAGCCCGAGCCCATCTGTCGCGCTGTCACCCCCGGCCCTGATGTAAGCCAGTCTGGATGCCGAGCATGTGCCCGCAAACTGTGTTAACCTCGCAAACAGACCAAAGAGCGGCTTCTCCTGCTGGGCCCGCTGCTCGTGATCCAAAACACATGCGCGACACTCTGCCGCGAGGACCGCGAGATGCTGCACAGTTTCCTGGACAAGTACATGGGAGAATCACTGCGGACGGTAGTTGAGCGCGACGCTCTCCTGCCGCAGGTCATCTACAAGATCAGCATTCCCATGACAGATGGCAACTGGCAGAAATACAACCAGCTTCTCTCTGTCTTCGCCTTTGCCAACAGCATGCACAAGATGCTGGCAGTGGGCTCCGAGGAATTCGACAAGTACTCGTTTGTCGTGGACGCCGAGTCAGGCACCGGACACGTGGAGAGCTGGAAGGCACTGGCGAGTGCGCGGTCGAGAGGCTTGTCCATGGAGATGCTGTTGCAGGAGCTTGTGCAGACGTGGAAGAAGACGTGGACCTAGGAGGTGGCTGGATACGGGATGCCAAGTTGGGAGATGCAACTTGTTTGATGCTGCATGGCCGTTGCAAGTGGAAAAATATCATGTTCGACTAGATGAGTTGAGGGCTCATCGCCTTAGATGTAATTGAGGAGTTACTAGGAATTTGGAACGTATATCTGTTATAAATGTTTTTGAATGGAAGGCGAGGAACAATCCTGGCAACACTGCCATGGACCTATTCAAAAATTCTATGGCCAGTGGCGGATAAGTATGCTCCACTGCGTTGTGTCGCCCGCATGTCGCATTCATCAGCGATTCATGCCCACGCCTCCTCCATAACACACCATGACAAGACCATCGGAATATACATCTACCACCGAAAACCCGCGAGTCTATTCCCCTACGCAATAGCAGGACGCAGGGCCAAACCCATTCTCCTGCAGCCATCCCCACAACAGCCGGCTACCCCGGCCCATAAGTATACAAACCCTGTACATGCACCAAGCGCTCCAACCAGCATCACAATAATAGTAAGCCCGCCGAATCGCATCGTTGCAAACGCTCTTATATGTACGTATGTCGAATATCGCTAGTCCATTTGTATTTTCACGTCAGACCAGACTAAGCTGTGTGAGTGTAAGTAATAAGCAGTGGCTTATTTCGTTCTTAAACCGCCCAGCCGACCTTCCTGTTCCGGAGCACAGCCTCCCAAATGACAATTTATACGATCGACGTCACGCCCGCAATATAAACATGGCGGGGAGATTTCCCACTTGCCACATGCTTCCGCCCACATCGCTGCCTCCCGCATTTTCCCACGTTCGTAGCCGCCGCCGATCGAGAGGGGCTATTGAATTACACGAGAAAGAGAGAGGGGGGGGAGGGGGGGAGAAGCACCTCGTGTGGTGATGCGGGGGGCTGCATACTTCCGTACATTTGAAGCCTCGGACGCGGAACTGGAGTATATAACCCGAAACCATATTATTATTAGTATTGGTAGGTTTGTTTGTTCACACACACACACAATGCTACGTACTAACGTATTTTTGTCCGCCCCACCAATCGCCGGCTTATCCCCAGTTCGTAATCTTACGTAGTCGTCGCTCACATCATCATCATCATCATCTCAACGGCCATTGTAGGTAACCATGCCCCGATATGCGCCGAAACAGGCTTTCGCAGTACCTCTCCCGAATTCCGCCTGTCTTCGAATTCACCTGTTAAAACATCGCTCTGCATATACCTGCGTTTTGGTGCCAGTCTTACGCGCTATTCCAACGCATGAAGCGGCGGTATACTTTGAATTTTAAATACCGCTTCGCACAGACGCTGCGCGCGCTGTTTTGCGTGAATGCTCACCCTTGCACCTTAACGAACTATTACTTTACTTGGAAGGTTAAGATAGGCTTTATTGCGGTCCCCTTTTTTTTTTTCCATTAGAGTCTAGTGAGCTCGAGGCTATGTAAGACTTTGGCCGAGGCCGTTCTAACTAGATTTATTTACAAATACGAGTTTGTGCTTGAAGTGTGTCTGTGGTGCTTCGGCCTTTGTCTAG